TGGCGGTGGCGGAGGATGTTGAGGCTTGTTGGAGACTCTGTGTATGGTATCGCTATCCACACTTCCAGGGTGCAATCTCACCATCGTGCCGTCTCTTCGTGCAGTGGCTTGCAATGTCTTGATCAGCTTTCGTCGGGGGAAGCATCTCGCTTCGCCTTCTCTCGTCGCTTCCTGCATCTTACTCTCGCGGTCGTAGCCGTGCGCTGAGTGTCCGTTGCATACGGCGCGTGATGAAGATAGATCGATACGAGAACAAGCGTGGACTAGAGAAGCCAGACTTCAAGCGCATTTCAGGACCTCCGGCTCATGCCCTTGCCCGTTGACGACGAGAGTCTTGAGCGAAGGAATGACGTTACGGAAGTCGCATGTCGAGCCCCAGGCATCCCCTAAAGCACCCATCCTCCAACCGACGGCGGTGAGGTCGAGGGAAGAGAGGTGCGGGAGACGCGGACCGACCCATTCGAGGATGTCGCGGGTGAAGTCCCTGTGCCAGACGTTGTCGTGCCAACTCGGCTGGCCTGCAAGGGAGTGAAGGTTTGGCAGGTCGGGAGAAATTCGTCGCCGCCGCGCCCTTGTCGACCTTCGCACGAGATTCGCGCCACCTTGAGCTTGAGGGTACGGACGCGCGCGGCCTGTTCTTGTGTGAGCGAGAGATTGGGCGGAGAAAGACACTGGAAGTTGTGGTTGCAGATTATGCGTCGATAGCAGACGAGGACCACGAAGGAAAGGTTGCGGTAAAGTAGCGGTTCAGCCAAATGGCGCATGTCCTTCGAGGTGCGACAGACGCGTGTGAGGGTGTCGCGTCCAGTCGATTCGTCGGCGAGAACGTGTTCCAGTATTGAAAGGAGGAGTTCCGGCGGAAGGCGAGGAGAGGGTGGTTCGTCCGGCGAGGCTTCATCGAGCGGGTGATCCGGACGGGACTCTTGCGGTCTTACGGGAGCCTCCGACGTCGCACGAGTGCCCGCAAGGTCGACGGTCGTCGCTGAACGTCGGTCCGAGGCGTTGGCGCGAGGAGGGGCGTCGAGACTTGCTGGCGACGCGGGATGGACCTGATCGTATGGCGGAGGCTCGGAGACGTCGACTTTGACGCAGACAAGCGATCCTAGCAGTCGTCCGAGCGAGCGAATGGAGAGCATGGCGGCGAGCGTGAGCGGGCGGTGCATGAGAGGCGGGAGGCGGAAGGCGAACGGCGTCCGCTCGACGGGTGCTTCCCAAAGTGCTTCACGAGGGGAGAGACGCCTAAACAGCGCCACAGGAGGCGTCGTTCAGCGGGAAGCTACGCTCGCACGAGCTTCGAGGCGCTGACCTTCCCAAGTCCAGTACGAACGGCGATGGCGCGACAAGCAGTGGAGAAGTCCCTTGTGGAGAACGAGTCGAGTACGTAGATGGTGAAGAAGCTGAGGGCAATGATGGACGGATTGCCTCGTCATTCGTCGGCTTGGCTTGAGTAAGCGAACCCGTTCCGCTCTCTCTCGTCCAGCGGGCATGTGCGAGACTCAAGTGTTGCAGCCTGCCTGCACTACCGCCCGATGTCGTAAGATCCACTCGCGCGTCGTCCATCCCAGCTTCCATCCGTCAGAGCTGCGAAAGGAAAAGCGTCAGTCGGGAGCTCGCGCACAAGCGAGAGAGATGAGAACGTACCGCACAGACGTGCCACTCTTGGCTAAGCTCATTGAGCAAGCCCGTCGGGTCGATGGGCTGTGTCTTGCTGAAGCGGTCTGCAGGTTCATAGGGGTCAGTGACTTGCACAGAGTCAGTGAGATGTCAATGCACGGTTTGGCAAGCGCTTGAGGACAACCTTGGCGGCAGATGAGGCGAGACCGGCGCGCTGCAGGACGTTTTCTGTCTGGGCAACGGTCCCGTGCGGGTGGGCGCCTTCGTTCCTCGTGTCGTTCAGGTCGATCAGCCAGTCCGTCTTGGTCAGGCGAGCAATGGCAAGCAGGACGGGATCGGCAGGCGGAGGGTCGAGCGAGACGTTCTGAATGAAGTCGATGAACTCGACATCGAAAGACGGAAAGTCCTGGATGTTGTCCTTGATGGCCTTGGGAAGCTCGAGCCAGTTGTCTGCGAGCGATTGGTACGGAGTATCAGCCGCTTTCTTCTTGTGGCTCAAGCGGAGCGTGAGAGAAGCATCTGACGGACCACGCGCAAGTTTCTTGAGTCGCCTCTGCGCCTCCTTGATCTCCTCTTTCGTGTCAGAGCGTACGAGGGCGTTGTCGAGGATTAAAGCTGCGAAGACACAATCAGCATGAGCTGCAAAAGCTAGCCATGAGACGAGCGCACCTTCCAAAGCAGCTTTGCACATCTCGATTACTAACGCGGGTTGTCGCTCGGCGATCATCTCGTCGACTTTCGCCTGCACGCTCGCCATGTTTGTCTGCATAATCTCCATTTCTGCGCTCTGGGCGCTGTTGGCCGACTTCAGCCCAGTCACGCGCAATCGAAGCGTCGCAACCTGGTTGTCGAGCGATGTGTCCTCCTCGACCGGTTCCGCTGCCAAGCCCGCCTGAAGCGAAGATCAGCATCATGGTTCCGCTAATATGCGAACCTTGCAGACCTGGGCAAATGCGAGACAGTTCTCGCGACGCTCGACTTTGGGAAGACTGGCCGCAGCGAAGGAGAGGATGAGGCGGACGAGTTCGAGCGGGAGAGGCGGGACGGGCATGTCGGGTGCGTGCTTGAGGGCTGTACGCAGAGCGTACGAGGTCAGCTACGCCCTCCACGCCCTGTGCCGAGCTGAAGATCGACTTCGAGACGCACCTTCTGATGAAGAACGGCGAGCAGAAGAAGAGGTCGGCGAGGCTAGCAAGGCGTTCCGACGAGCCGAAGAGATTTGTAGCAGTGTTTGTGAGTAGCTGTGGACCCAGCAGGTGGGTTGAGCGGGAGTCGAAGCGAGCGGTTCAGGGAAGAGGAGCAAGTCGGGCGAGACGTCCAAGGTGCACAGGGTTGCGAGGATCTGAACGCGTTCAATGGCAGTCTACTGTCCTCCTAGACTCTTCAGCAGCTCGTCAAGATCTACAGCGCCCGTTCCGCCGTCCTGACCTCCCCCTTCCGTGCCAAAGGAACCAAAGTCCAGGTCTCCCAGTCCCGTCAAGTCCAAGCCGCCCAGTCCACCTGCTCCACCTGCACCTGACGACGCTGCTGGTTCCGCCGAACCCGCGAGACCGAGAGAGGAGAAATCGAAGGAGCCGAGGTCGAGGGAAGGGGCGGAAGAGGCGGCGGGGGCTGCTGTCGGGCCTGAAAGAGGTGGCGCGGACAATACGGAGGCGAAGTCGAGACCGAGGGAGCTGAGGTCGGTTGGAACGGAGGCAGAGGCGGGCGGGGCTGAGGTGCCGGACGCAGCAGCGGCTGATCCGCTGAGAAGGCTGTCGAGCGCTTCGAGCGAGAGATCCGGGAAGGCTGAATTGGTGACGAAGGCGGTGTCAGGTGCGTTCGAGGTGGATGTGAGATCTGCGGAAGGGTCGATACCGCCAAAGGGGGGGACGTTTAGGGAGGAGAGGAGCGCGTTCAGGTCGTCTCCTGCCACTGACTCTGCAGCAGTGTTGGTCTGCGCCGTCGGAATAGGGTTCGAATTGGACGTCAACACGCTTGCGGGTGTCGCCGTGCCGGGTAGCTGGAACGGTAGGGAAGTCGAAGTGGGAGAAGGCGAGTTTGTGAGGTCGATAGACATGCCGGCGGCGGCTGGAACGGCGGCAGCGGCTGGCTCGGTCAAAGAAGATGGTAGGCCGAAAGGAAGGATGGCTTCGGCGCCTGGTTCTGCCTTGACGGTCGGTTGTTCGGGGGAAGGGACTGGGGGAGGAGAGGCGCCGGTCGCTTTCCGCACGTCTCGCTCGATAACGGCAATCGCGCGGAGCTGTAACAAGTATCGCGGTGTCAGCTCGAGTGAAACGAGCAATAGCAGGGAGTAGTACGCACCAACTTCCGCTCAACGTCGTCGCAGACCTGGTCAAACCTGGCCACGTCCACCTTTAACTGCTCTGCCAACTGTATCGGTGCCGGCGGAGCATACTGTGCGGTCCCCTGCTGCTGCAGTCGAGCCTGGAAAGCGAGGATGTGCGACAGGCGGGCGAGTGTTGCCTGAGGATAACCAGGTCAGCGAGCGACACAGTGGGACTGGGCGAGCGGGCGCACCTTGAGAGCCGACTCTAACTGAGCCTGCGTGGCGTTCTGGCTGTCCATTATAGCGAGCAAGCGTGAACTGTCAACAGCAGACCCTCCCCCTCCGTTCGCTGACCGGGTCAAAATCCGCCAACAGCTCTACTTCGCTTGCCTTCTTGCTTGGGCTACTGAAGACGGCCATTCGAGGCTCACAACGTCCGCTGGAATGCCCTTGACCCGCTCCGACAGCTCGCAGTCGGCGTGGGTGCTTCCGCAGGACGACGAGGGCGACTTCCCGGAACAGGTGCGTTTGAGGCCGTTCTTCCGCCGTGATAAGGGTCCTGCAGGCATGCTGGAGCTGCTGTCGACCCGGCAAACCCGCAGGGCTGACCCTCGCTCGTACACGCTCCCCTTCATCCGACTCGCCCGTCATCTCTCGACGCGCTTACAGCGGCGACTACGGCATCTGAGCGGGATTCTCCTGCGCAATCTCAGTTTGGATCCGGCTCGAGATGGACTGTCGACATCGCTGGCTGGACCCGGCAAGCTCGTGTCTCTCAACGACCCTCTCCCCACTTCGCTCGTCGGCAAGCTCGCCTCGACTTCCTACGACGCTGGACCGCCGTCCGCCGACATCAACGACTTTGCAATACCCTCGCCGAGGAAGGGACGGCGACGAGCGGGCAGTACGGCAAGCTGGAGCGGAACACTGGCCGCAACTCGAGCGGAAGACGCTGAACTGGTCCTCGACGCAAAGCCGCCGGCGCGGATACGACCGAAACGGTCGTCGAGCGTCGGAACGCTGCTGGGAAAGGCGGTATCGATTGACGAAGAGGAGGGCACATACGTGTCCGCCGCGACCTCGAACCTGACCCGCGCCTGTTCAGCTTCTCGCGCCTCTATAGGCTCGGCCGGTTCGGGCTCGACGATTCGCCAAGCACCGCGACTTCCACCTTCTCGACCAGATGGCGATCACCTCGCCAAGGAGAAACCGCCACCTCCAGCATCATCCCTCTTCGCGCTGAAGGAGAGACAGCGGCAGGAAGGGGCGATGAAGCGGCGACTCGTCGACAGCTTCGTCACGTTGGAGCTCGTGCCTGCGAAGACCGGCGCCTGGCAGGACGAGCGACCAGTACTCGGGAGTCGGCGAAGAAGCGGATCGGTCGCGAGCGTTGGTATGCGAAGAAGCGGGAGCGGCAACTCGCTTCGCGGGTCGACTTCTTCTCCGACGAAGAGCATGCGACGACGGACGATCTCTTCCTCGCTACTTGCTTCCGATCTTCCTTTCACCGCGTCATCCTCTTCGCCTCGACAACCGCAAACGTCGTCTGAGCCCTTCTTCATCTCGCCTATCTCGCCTTCCGCCATGCATGCCGACATCCTTGTCGACCACAACTCCTTCATTCGGCCCGACTCTCCATTGTCGCCCTTTCCAGACGACTCGGGCACGCAGTCCTGGCCAGGGCTGAGCGAGAGTCGACTGCGGATCAAGGTCTTCGCTCGACCGACGGACGGACGACGCGTTGCAAAGGGGAAGCGGAGGGAGGGGGAAGATGGCTGGCGAGTCTTGACAGAGTGGGATGTTGAGCTGGATGGGCTGACAAGTCTCGGACGAGATGTGCGCGCTTTACCTTTCGTTTCCGCGAGTTTCGCTGACGCTTCGCCTTCCAGCCGGCCAACTTTCCGCCTCTACCGCCCAACACCCTCGTCTTTGCGCTCTCCACCTCTCCATCCGATCCTTTCGCCTCACCCTCCTCCTCGTCTTCCGCCGACCTCGAATACTTCACTGCCCCACTCACCCTCCTGTACCGGTCCCGCCGTCGCCGCCTCGTCCGGCGCAACTCAGTCTCGACTCTCCACCCGCGCGCCTGGTCCGAAGACGAAGCAGACGCGAGCGACTCGGACCTGTCCTCCTGTTCTTCCGACGAAGACGGCGGAGGGAACATGTCTGATCCAGGCGTCGGTAACGGAAGCGGGACCATCCGTACCCGTCCTCGGTCGGGAACGATCCGCTCGCTCCGGTCTAGGCTGATCAAAGCGGAAGAGGAGCGGAGGAAGCGCGCGGCGGTGTTGGAGCGGAGCAGGAGGGAGACGAAGATGGTTAAGGCGGCGGATTGGGAGGAGATGCGGAGGCTTTGGGAGGGAGAGTGGGAGCTGAGGCATGTGAGGAGCGAGCAGAAGGAGGTGAGGAGGCGGATTGATGAGGCGCTCGAACAAGGGTGGGCGGAGCTGGTGCGCGCGTCGCGCCCGTCGAGCCTGAGTTTCCGACTAAGACGACTTGCGCAGGAACGCGAGCGAGCCGAGCTGCAAGACCGCGTCGATGACCTCGACAACGTCAAGGAGGCCGTTCGAGATGAGCTGCTCGACAGTACGTCCCTTCTCTGCTTGGAACCGTTTTCCGAAGCTTATCATGCCTCCTTGTAGGTCAAGCGGAGATCGATCGACGGAAAGAGGGCCTTGCAGCTCGGCGCGAACGACTACGGCGGGCGAGGGAGCTTGACGAGCAGAGCAGGGAGAACTTGCGAGCTCAAACAGCGGCTCTCGATGACAGTTCGTGAGTCGAGTGTCTGTCGCCTGTAGACATCGCAAGCTGACACGTCAGGCTGGCAGTCGCGCCCTAGACAAGCTGAACGAGTCCGCCCAAATCCGCCGTACGCAACTCATCACCCTCCTCTCGCACATCTTCCCCATCGAGCCAGTCGAGCCGACCTCGACCAAGCACCCTCAGCCCGACCTCCTCTTCTCCATTGTCGGCCTCCCCCTCCCCAACTCCAGCTTCCCCTCCTCCTACTCAGACGACCTCCTCTCCTCCGCGCTCGGCTACGCCGCACAAGTCACCCAGCTCCTCGCAGCCTACCTCGGCGTTCCGCTCTGCTACCCCATCCAGTGCCGGGGAAGTCGGAGCGTCGTGTTCGACGAGATCAGCATGATGAAGGGTCCGCGGGCGTTTCCGCTATACGGGAAGGGCGTCGACCAGTACCGGTTCGACTATGGAGTCTTCTTACTCAACAAGAACATCGAGCAGGTGCGGCGCTAGCCGTCCCGTCATCCTAGCCGGCTCTGACCCGTTCCTCCGCCCGCAGCTCATGTACTCTCAACGCCTCATCGTCCTCGACCTCCGCAATACCCTGCCCAACCTCAAGTCCCTCATCCTCAGCTTGTCGTACGACCCTTCGCACGCCGACTATCGCAACTCGACGCTGCTGCCAAGCGGACCATTCGCGGGCGTCGAGGCGGAGGAGGAAGAGCTACCGGCTTCGCCCACTGAAGCTGCCGCGCTCGCTGAGGCTACGACGGGGGCGGTGAACTTAGAAGATGACGACGAGCGAGGGAGAGATGGCGCTTCGAGCAGGATGACGAGGTCGTCATCGAACGCCTCAACCATTCGAGCGCCGTCGACGTCCCGCCAGTCCAACGGCGCCGACGCGGACCCGCCAAACTCGCCGACTCCTAGCGTCAGGAGCGTTAACGGCGATGCGACAGGTTCGGACTCGTCTTGGGTCGTCAGTGGCAACGGGAGCGGACGAACGACCCCAACAAACCGGCGCAGGAAGGACACGGAGAAGCGCATCATCCCCGCTCGGGAAGACTCCTCCGCGCACCACGTCTCGCTCACGATCAAGTCGACTCGACCTGCGTCGATCAAGACGGCGCGGAGCCGGACCTCGTCGAATGCGAGCAACTCGAGTGGGTACGGGGCGAAGATCCGTGATGGGCTGTGGAGTGCAGTTGCGGGCGGGTCGGGCAGCCGAGAACGGAGAGAAGGGCGCAAGGGGAGGAGAAGTGCGATGGAGGTGGGTGCAGATGGAGGAGAAGGGGAAGTAGCGTGAGCAGAAGGGAATGAGGAGAAACGGTTCCTCCATCGCGCTTCGTTTGCCGCAGGGAGCGAACCGTGGGCCCTTTGTGGACCTTTTAAGAGCTGTCCCGGGGCGAAGGCAAAGAGAGGCGAGGGCGCAGTTCCAGCCGGATCGAAGGAGGCCGGCATCGTTTCACTCGGCTCGCAAGGACTCTCGTGCTGGTTCGTCGAGACTTTGGAGGCAAAGCGCCGCTTCACCTCTCCTTCATCATCCGCATCGGGTTTTTGTTTGTATGCGTGCGTTGCAAGGCGAGAGCTTAGGCTCAAAGGCAAAGAGAGAGTGAAGGACCCGCCAGGATTCAGGAAGCAGGAGGAAGCCTACTCGAGGCGGAGGACGATGGCTGCGAAGGCGCGATATGCCAGTGTATCGGCGGACGAAGACGTCTGATTGGGGTTTGTTGGTCGTATGCGCGCCCAGCGAGCGTCGACGAGCGTCTAGAAGCCGCTGGCGACGATGGCACGGAGGAGAGGCGCGGATGCAGGGAGTCCGAGGAGGAGCTCGTCGGGCGCCGACGTCGAAGTCGAGCGGTAGACGCAGTGTCAGGTACAGGGACCTGAAGGAGAGTACGGCAACAAGATGAGGAAACACGACGAAAGAGGCGGAGTTCAAAGCTCCGGAGTCGAGGCGACATGGCGCTGGTGAATATTGTGCGAGCCAGTGAAAGGTTGCATGGGCGACTTGAGGGACTCAGTAGGCACGTCGGCTTCGGTGTCGTCGCTGTCGGGCGCCGCGGCGACGCGTGAATGTGCGAACAAGTCGAAAAGCGAGTGATACGCCTTGACGGCGACTGCGCCGAGGATGCCCCATTCGCGATCAGCAGCTTCGAAGGTGTCATAGCGCTCTGCGGAGCCGATTGTCAGTTTACAGCGTTGGCCGTCCCTCGTATAAACATACTGAGGAGAACGTGTACATCGACTGTCGAACCGTCGTCCAGACGAATCAAGCCTGCCTCGTCGAGCGACTTTGGCGCTAGCTGAACCTTCTCGTAGCTCGCTGACGACTCGATTGGTTCGTCGCAATGCAGCTTGAAGTACTCGCGGCGCAAGAGAACCGGCACTGCGTGAACGGAGGGTCAGCTTCACCTCGCTCACAACGCAACTTGGGTATCGGAGAGCGCACCGGCAAAGTAGAGATACCTCGAATAATCACGACCAGCACGACGCAGAGTGCGGCACGCCTTGAACGGCTTGTATGCGGTCGCGCCCAACTGCTGCTCGTACTCGTCCGCGATCGGCTCGAGTCCCGGGTGCTCGTGGTAGATGGCCTCGAACTCGCTGTACCATGCCCTGCTGTTGACAGTCAGGAGCGTGCACATCGCGGCGATGTAGCGCGGCGGGTAGACGGGGTCTTTGAGCGGGCGCTCGGTCTCGGCCTGGTGGAGCGGTGCGGGGCTCGAGGTGTTGCTTGCCATCGAGAGCGCTGGTCTGTACAGTATGGCTGGGCGGCGAGTGCGACGAGGATGAGGATGAGGGAGGAGGCGAAGAGGAAGAGCAAGGCGAGTGAAGCAAGGCTGTCCCTCTGCCTTCAGCTCGTTCTGTTGCTGTGCGGGCTTGTTCTAACTTGCTTGATCGTCTAGAGAGCCTACAGGCCGTCCCACCGCGCCCAACCCTCTGACTCTGCCCGACTCGCTCTCCCCCACTCCATCCTCATCATCCCCGACTAGCAACCCTCGTCCAGCTCGACGCACGCCGCGATGGAGCCGCTGACAGCCGCACAGCCAATGGCAGCACCTCGCTCAGCAACGCAGACGCCCAACACGTCCCTCCCATCGACCACCAACCCCTCGCCGACCACCTCGACCGCGACTCCTCCGCCCAAGCCAAGACGGCCACGGCCGTACCGGACGAGGACAACGGCGGGCACGAATGCGCCTGAGCGGACGAGGAAGGCGCTCGAGGGCATCAGGGCCTTCCTCGCGAGCAAGAGCTGCTACGACATCCTCCCCGAGAGCTTCAGGTCAGTCGTGTCTCTTTGCGCGCTATGGGGCGGGCATTCCCGCTGGAGCTCGGCAGCTTCTTTCTGATCAAGACTCGCTACGTGTCCCGTTCTGCAGGCTCATCGTCTTCGACAACAAGTTGGGCATCACGAAGAGTCTCCAGGCCTTGGTCACGAATGGTGGGTCTGCCGCATCCTTCTGCCGCCCGCTCTGTGCTTTCGGGGCGCAGGGAAGATCTCCAAGAGTGTCCGTTCGCCCCCGGGGCTGACACGTTCTTTCGCAGGTGTCGTCTCCGCCCCGCTCTACGACTCGACGACACACCGCTTCGCCGGCATGTTCACGCTCGCAGACGTCGTTCACCTCATCCAGTACTACTACCTGACGGCGCACAAGTACGAGAATGTTGTGGCGGAAGTCGAGGCTTTCCAGCTCGAGAGTCTGCGAGGTGCGCACGCCTCTTTCCCGCTTCCTAAGCTTGCACTGACCTGATTCACCGTCTCTGTAGAAATTGAGCAAGCTATCGACGTCCCTCCTCCCCCGACCATCTCCGTCCACCCCGATCAGCCCCTCTCCGACGCCTGCGCCGCCCTCGTTCGAACACACGCTCGACGACTACCGCTCGTCGACCGAGACGACCAGACGGGCAAGGAGACGATCATCAGCGTTCTGACGCAGTACCGAGTGCTCAAGTTCATCGCCATCAACGTGAGTCTCGCTTGTCCCCCCTCCCTCTACCTCGAAGCGAAATTGACTGGATATGCGGTTCGAAACGCAGTGCACACACGACTGCGGCCGTCTTGACCAGTCCATTGGCTCGCTCGGTATCGGCTCATACGCATCGTGGTACCAGCCGACCTCCGACACTACTTCCTCCTCCGCGCCAGGTCCCTCCGCCTCGTCTGCTCAGGCATCTGCGTCCGAGTCGAACGGCGAAGCTGGTCCCTCTACCGCCGCAGCGTCAAGCGATGCGTCAAGCAGCACCGACAACCGGAGCACGCCGACCTCGACCGGTACCGAGACGCCTACGAACGCCTACAACGCGCCTCACATGGACCCGTCTGCTTCGACCGACCCAGCGCATCTCGAAGGCGAGCACAACGATTCAGGCCATGGAAAGGACGGCGAAGACGCGCACAAGTCGGGCGGGATGGGCTTGTCGGACCGGTATTGGCCGTTGTCGACCGCGACGATGCAGACGAGCGTGTTTGATGTCGTGCATATCTTTTCGGAGCGCGGGATCAGTGCGGTGCCGATTGTCGATGAGGATGGCGTCGTGTTGAACTTGTACGAGACGGTCGACATCGTGGTGCGTCTTGCGATGCTCGCCTCTGCAACTCTCTGCGGGCGATCGAGCTCACGGCCATGCATCCTGCAGGACCTCGTCCGACAAAACGCCTACCAAGTCCTGGACTCGACCATCGAAGACGCCATCAACCGGCGTTCACCCGACTTTACCGGCGTTATGACCTGCACTCCATCTGACACGCTCGCCTCGATCCTCGTCTTTGTCCGCGAACGCCGCTGCCACCGCTTCGTCATTGTTGAGCCGGAGGATGTGCCGGCGAGGAATGGCGAACCGGCGAGGAAGAAGGGCAGTTTGGTGGGGATCTTGAGCTTGAGCGATGTGTTGAGATTCTTGGTCGGCCATGAGAACCTGAAGGGGATGGAAGTGCCGGGTCTCGGTGCGTTCGAGGCGTTCCCTGCGTCATCTCTCTTCCACGGCTCACCCGTTTCCCCTCCGGTCCTCCTCTCCCCTCGCAGGCGTCCACGGTCTTCGCGGCGTGCACAACGACGCGAACGCCGCCGGTCAAGAATACGACGACGCCATTTCAGTAACGGATGCCTCTTCCGTCGGTGGCGGGTCAAAGACGACGAGTCGTCGAGGTAGCGAAGCGACGACCGATGCAGGCGGGAGCGCGACGGACGTGCGATTGGCGCAGCAGGCGGCGGGGCTGGGGTTGGAGGACGTGATTGAGGCCAAGGCGGAGTAGCGGTCGAAGGCAGTCTCTCGAGTCGTGCGATTTGCGCGCGTTGGTTTTGTTGTACAGATAGAGTGTCCAGCACCCCTGTAATGATCTCCCCATCGCTTGAGCGCTACAGATGATGGCGACTCTCCCGCGACTCGACGACCTCGAAGTTCACATCCGCGTACTCCTCCTCCAGCAGCTTCCCGCTGAGCAGCGCGCACACCCATTCCGTGCGCTGATACTGACTATACCTCAGGCGCACCAAGATGGGAGGATCTCGCCCCTTGATGCGCTGGAGGACGTGCCGGACGGACCATTCGGCGAGTCGAGTGAGGTCGATCTGCTCGACTCGCGGGGGAAGGCACCCAGCGACCCAGTGAAGCAGCCCTCCGTCTTCTCTCGATGACCGCTCGTCGCAGGATAGGGAAACTTGGCGGACGCTGATGAGGGAGGGAAGAACGCGTGCCACAAGGTGTTCGTGTGGCGGACGCCAAAGCCAGGCGTGGCTCGAGAGGCCGGATGGACGGGAGAACGAAATGGAGACGCTTTGGACGAGAGGGCGAAGATGAGAGTAGGCTTCGAGGGCGAGGAGAATGTCGGGTCTTGCGTCGGGGGTTTTCTGTGAGGTATAGCGCAGGTCGAGGGGAATTCGGTGATACAGGAGCGTTCTGGCGACGTTGATGTAGGTCTTAGAAACGCAACACCAGGCGGCGAGGGTGGAAAGGCGAAGGGAAGGGAGGTCTTCGCAGGCTTCGAGGATGGCGAGGAGGATGTCGGGGCAGACGCGAGGAGGTGCTTCGCGAGGGTCGACAGCCCCGAGTCGTGCCATCTTGCGAGTCAGCGCACGAAAGGCTGCACTGAAGAGAGAAAGCAAAGCGCGAGCAAAGGGAACCAGCGTAAGAAGCCAGTTGGCGCGAGAGGACGGCAACTCCGCGGGACCGTGTGGACGCTAACGACCGCATCGCGCCGTTGCGGAGTCGCGGCTGTCTTGAGCGTGAGCATGCGGACGAGCAGCTGAACGAGCAGGGGACGAGATGGCGACTTCGACGTGAGAGTTGACCTTCCCAAGTTGCAAGAAACGACGACGGCGGCGCGGGCAGGTCTCTGCGAACCGCGAGCGAAAGAAAGAGAAAAGTGTCGAGATGGGGAAAGGGGAGGAAGCAGACGGTGACCCTGTGGGAAGCGAGTCGAGTTGTGAGTAGGAGGAAGAGGCTGGCGAGAGTGAACGGTTTAGCGTACCGCTCGACCGAACAAGTGACCTGCTGAACGGCTCCTCATGTCGTCCGCTGCACGTACGGACTACGTGCGTCCGTAAGGTCCATGAAGTCGAGTTGGTGGGCGCCGCCAGCTGGAAAGACCTGTCGATACCGGGCAATATGCCAGCTGTCGACGAGTACTGACAGCGGGTTGGCCCTAATTCGCTTTGCGCCATTGAAGCCCCTGAACACCTCGTCCGGGGTGATTTCGAAGTTGAGCAAGTCGAGGATTTGGGTGCTGGATGGTAAGCACTTCCACATCGCCATCTTCACCCGCGGGACAGCATCCGCAGAACCGTGATAAGTGACGGCCTCGACGCGAGAGAGAGATTGGAAGACCTTCAGGAAGCGACGTCGCAGAGATCTCTTGAAGCTGTCGCGGATTGGAATGGGGTAGGTCTTGAGAACGACGTGAATGTCAAACGCCCGTACTGCAGCCCTCAGCCTTTCCTTGTCCTCCAACGTATCAAGAAGTCGAACGCCTGCTGGCGTTAGATTCGCAAGGTTGATAGGGTACTCGACGACAATCCGCTTGAAGAGCGCCGGCTGTGCACGCTCCGCGAAGTATCTCGAGACGCGCGACAGCGTGGCGAGGGTCTTCAGTCGCTCGTCTGATAGGTGACCGACGAAGTAGAGGGGCTCGTCGCAGTGATGGATGATGAGGTCCATCAACTCGAGTGGAAGGCGAGGGGAGGGGAGGAAGGGGTTGAGGGTGCTCCTTGCGGCGGTGGAGGGTGCTGGGGAGCTCATCGTAGCTTTGAGTGGCGCTTGCCAGTAGCTGAGAGCGATGGGGCGAAGTGCGAGCGAGGTGAAGGAGGAAAAGAGGCGAGAGGTTCGCTGGATTGAGCGACGTGAACGAGTCGCGTCGAGGAGGTCTGTGCGGCTCTGCAGCTCGTGTGAGTTGTCTGAGCGTTGCTGTTGAAGCTGTCGAGAGCGAAGCAGACACGAGCGGGACGCGACAGCCTCGCCGCAAAGCCTGCGGAAGGACGCTGTCACCGTCCTCTTCACCCTCTCGCGCTGCATCCAGCTGATCTTCGTCGTCGAACCATGAATGCTCATACTTGCGCCGCCCTCCCGTCACGCTCTACCTCAACTGCTCCCCCAGATACGTCCCAAACATCCTCACCACCTCCTCCTCACCAAACTCGACGCTCCCCGCCGTCCTCGCATGAAGCTGCACAAACTGCCTCTTCAACCTCTGCAACATGGGCAGCGTCAATTGTCGAGAGGGGAGGGTGAGGTCGATTTTTGGGGGAGGGGAGGAGGAGAGCGGGACGAGGAGCGTGGTTGGGCCGGAGAGGGGGGAGAGGGATTGCAGGGAGAGGAGGGAGGAGATGACGGAGGAGGAGGCCGAGTCGAGCAATGTGAGGTACGAGGTGGAGGAGGTGTGGACCTGCGCATGCTCGAGAACCCATCAGTCCAGCTGCGAGGGAAAAGGAAGGGAGAGGACGCACGACCTGCGTCGCAATATTCGGCGGCTTGATCTCCCCCTCCGTTATCGCGCTCCATATCCGCTGTGCTGCTTCGCTTCCCTCCATCGCTCGTTCTGCATCTGCGGACGATTCGGGCCGACTGTCCAGCGCCGGATCGTCGAAAGCGAGGGTGACGAGCGGTGCGTCCCACCGCGCAGCAGAATTGGGCTCTTCAAAGCGCGAGATGAGGTTGTCGAGGCTGCGAACGAGGACTGAATGAGCTTGCGGATAAAAGAGAGGAAGAGCGAGGGAGACGCACGTCGCTTCAGCGTATCTAGACGAGTCGGCTCGCTGGGTGTTCCATTCCTGGCACTTGTCTGGCGGCGTGGCGACGAAAAGCTGTGCGTCAAACGCCACCTCAGGAGCAATCAGCTTCGTACAGCGAAGAGAGGCGCAAGGCAGAACACCCGGACGCACCGTGCAAGTCCTGACGCCGATCTCCCTCGCCGCGCAGTACATCTGGTACCTGCTCCCTTTGATGTAGTTCATCGCGTCGACGACGACGATCGTGTCCTTCGCCAGGCTGCGCTGTACGGCGCTGAAGAGAGCAGCTCGCGCGGGCTTCTCTGCTCGGGTGTCTACTCTGTCGCGGCGGGGCGACTTTGATCAGCTGGATCACTCGTTTCCATAGAAGTGGGCAGGTACTGACCATCGTAGGCGGCCTTTGCGATCCCGAGCGACTCGTCGTTGATGAGGACGACCTTTGAGGCGGAGCGGTGTCGAGCGGGAGTCGCGGTGTCGTTCAAGCGGTGTTCGAGGAAGGAGACGAGCTGGAGTGCACGGGTGGTCTTGCCTGAGCATGGATAGCCGCACACTGTGATCATCGCCATCTTGCGAGCGTGTGTCGAGGTGGAGAGCGATGAGAATTTGGCCAAGTCCCAAGTCGCTCTCGCTGCATCGCTCCAATTGGACTGGGAAAATGACGAGCTCGCAAGTGAAGCACTGCAGCGAATTGTACATTCACTACGACGGTCCAGCGAGAGGAGTGGTGTCGACCCCACCTCATCGGCTCGCCTCTTGGGCTCGCACTTGTCACCTCGACTCGCTCAACTGGGCATCGCTAGACTGCTAGACACGCTCAGAACACTCTCAGCACCCACGCCATCCCTCTGCGCGGCCAAAGGAACCCCTCCACCGCCCATTCTCACCCTCCCTCACTCGGCTACCCGCTTCACCGTCTCACCCCTCCCTCAATCACGATGCTGCCCGCCTTGCGCTCTGCGGCCATGCGCACCGCACTCCCTCGCTTCCCTCGCCAGTCGGTCGTGCGCTGGCAGTCGTCAGCCGCGGCGGGTCACGGCGAGTACACGAGCATCCTCGTCTCGCAACCGGCTCCCGGCGTCAGCCAGATCACCCTCAACAGGCCAAAGGCTCTCAACGGTGCGTCCATCAATACCCTCACGCGCGGCTCCTGACGACGAGCTGACGAACGAACGACGTGGCAGCTCTCAACTCGACTCTCTTCCACGAACTCAACGCCGCCCTCCGCACCCTCTCGACCGACGACTCGACCGGCTGCGTCGTCCTGACCGGTTCCGACAAGGCCTTTGCCGCAGGAGCCGACATCAAGGAGATGAAGGACAAGCAGTTTGCAGAGGTTTACAAGGGCGACTTTTTGGCGCATTGGACGGAGCTGAGTGGGTTCAGGAAGCCGATTGTTGCGGCTGTTAGCGGGTATGCGGTGAGTCGGCCGCGATTCGCTCTTTCGCTGCTCCTGCGAGCTGCGGAAAGCGGTGATGGAACGCTTCGCCGATCTCACGCGCTCTTCCTCCCATGCAGCTCGGCGGCGGCTGCGAACTCGCGATGATGTGCGCTCCGCTCTACTTTCTCTCGCTTCGCTTTCACTGACACTCAATGTCGAGCAGGTGCGACATCATCCTCGCCGCGCCCAACGCCGTCTTCGGCCAACCCGAAATCAACGTGCGTCCTCCTCTGTCCTCCCCCCTCCCTCCTCCTACCGCTCGCTTCACTACAACTCGATGCTGACTTGTCTCCAACTTCTGTAGCTCGGCGTCATCCCCGGCGCTGGCGGCACTCAACGCCTCACGCACGCGCTAGGCAAATCCCGCGCGATGGAGATTGTCCTCACCGGCAAGAACTTCTCTGCCGCTGAAGCAGCAGAGTGGGGACTCGTTTCGCGTGTTGTGAGCGAGGGAGGGGTGGTGGATGAGGCGGTCAAGGTTGCGGGCAAGATTGCGAGTAAGGGGATGTTGGCTGTGCAGGCTGCGAAGGAGGGGGTGAATGCTGGTGCGTCCTCTTCCCGTCCCCTCTCTCCCTCCCTTTTCCCGCGAGCGAGAAGTGGGACTGATCGAGTTGGTCGATGGTCTTGACGCACAGCATACGAGATGTCACTCACGAACGGCCTGCACTTTGAGCGCCGTCTCTTCCACCAACTCTTCGCTACCGTGCGTCTCCTCTCCCCAACCCTCTCTCCCTCCTCTCTCTTACCTCCGACACTGACGAGAGCTTGTGGGGTGGACGGCCGCAGAATGACCAGAAGGTTGGGATGAACGCGTTTGCGAATAAGGAGAAGGCCAAGTGGACGAATTCGTAGACCCGCTTGCCGGACCGGACAGTCGACCACTCTGCTCGACGTGCAGAATGAAAGGGAAAAGGTTGAGTAGTGCAGCTCTGTCTCCGCTTGCGAGTGCAGAGAGAAGAAGAAGCGGAAGAGAGCATTTGTTCGCTCGCTCAAGGTTCCGCGCGCTCGTTGACTTCTCTCACCATGACCCGAGTCCTGTACGGTACTGAGCACTGCATTAGGGTGAACTGAAGTAGCTACAAACGGATGTGTGAGGGGTAAGGGTGACGAGGGCGAAGAGTTCGAGGGTTTAGAAGAGCATGTCGCCGAGGAGCATTCTGCGAGCCGGAAACGAAAAAGCATCAGTATCCCCCCTTCGCGAAGAGCGAAAAGAACCGAGAGAATCGTTCGCTGGACTCACCCGCCGAGCAACCCTCCTCCGAGCGCCATCCCCGTCCCCATCCCTCCATACCCCATGCCCATACTCCCTCCATACCTTCCATACCCCCCTCCATACCCTCCATACCCCCCATACCCACCATACATAGGCCTCGCATACGGACCCGCCGGCGCCGCATACATCGGTGTATACCGTCCTTCCGCCTGAGCCCTCAGGATCTCCTTACGGCGCGCGAGGTAAGCCTCGTATTGTTTCTGCTCGGCCTCACGTTGACGTTGGCGTTGGGCAACTCGTTGGTCGTGAGTTGTACCGGTGAGTTTGTCTTTGAGTTTGCGGCCGAGGGTGCGGTCGTCTTTCTTGTCCCCGTGCGTGTGCGAGGTCGAGGCTTGGTTCGGGGACGAGTGGGGAAGAGGAGAGTGCTTCGAGTCGCTGTAGCCGTGGCTGGGAGAGGCGGAGGAAGAGACGCCAGGAGGAGGACCGGCGGGCGGATCGTACTTCTTTGCGACATCCGGGTGCGAAGGGAGGTACTCGGGCTGCGCGACAGTTGATCAGCGTAAGCTTGCACTCGCGGAGGCGGCAGAAAGGACGAGGGCGCACGTCCTGTAGAGAAGGAAGGTCAGTCTCGAGGGGATCAAAGGAGGAGGGCAGAGAACGCACGTCAAGCGGGTGGGTCCAGATACTGCGCGGTGGCTTGGCGAGCGTGTCGACGTAGAAGTAGTGGCCGGAGTTGGCCTGCGGGAGGGGATCAAGGGTGAGTGAGTGACGAGGAAGATCGAAGGGAGAGGAGAACAACGCACGTCAAATTCCCTGTGCGAATGCCAACAGCAACGCAGCAAGAAGCAGTCAGCTCAACGACGCACTCGTGCAGATTCAGCAGGCGGAACGCACCTCCTCCAACCCTCTGGCAACGGTCTCTGCTCGTCAAGGATGCTCTGCCTCGCCTCGTCCGGGATGGCGCCGTCGTCCCTGTCGTCCTCGGACGTGTAGTTGCTGCTCGCGCTTGCGACTGAGCCAGCAGACGACGAGCGGCGGTGCGTCGGTGCGGCGGACGAGTGGTCGACTGCCGAGGGAACGGCGAGGTGTGACGGGTCTTGCTGTGAGTAGGCGGGTGGTGCCTCGTTCGGAGTGGTCATCGTGAATCTGATAGCAAGGTATGGCGAGAGAGTGAGAGCGTACGAGGAGAAGTCTCTCCTCGTCATCGAGGCGAGCGAGTGCACCGCCTTGAATTGGAAGGGTTTCAGCGATACAGGGGGATCCAGTAACCGCTACTTCTCCCGCACCACCATCCCGAACCAATCCCACCCGCACTCGCATCGCAGCGGGTGGATGCACCCTTCCCTCGCCCGACTCGTCGCTCGCACAATGTCGTCCGCCGCATCGACAGCGCGCTCGTACGCCGCTGCGATAGACGCCTTGAATGGCCTTCAGAGCAACGCACAGGTCATCGACGCCATTCGAAAGTCGGGCGGCAAGGGCGGAGACGTGCAGCTGAGGGAGCAGGTCGAGTACATGAGGCGCATCGGGTACGAGGTGCGTGAGGACGTTCCTTCGTAGCGAGAACGACGCGCTGAAGTGTTGGCGCAGGCGGCCGACTTGAACCGGATGAACGTCCTGCACATCACCGGCACCAAGGGCAAAGGGTCGACGTCGGCCTTCGTCTCGTCCATCCTCACCACCCTCGCGCCGAAAGCCAAAGTCGGACTGTACACCTCGCCTCACATGGTCGCCGTCCGCGAGCGCATCCGCATCAACGGAGAACCAATCGCGGAAGACGTCTTTGCGAGGTACTTCTGGGAGGTGTGGGACAGGCTCGAGCAGGCGGACAAGCCGGTGAGTGCGCGGGAAGAGTTCTTCTCGAGGAGTTTTCGTACTGACGCTCCCTCCCCAGGCGGCGGACGAAGCTACGCCCGAAAAGCCCGCCTACTTCCGCTATCTGACGATCATGGCCATGCACGTCTTCCTCTCCGAACGGGTGCGTCCCCTCTCCCTTCCCTCCTGCTCCAGCTCACACTTTGCTCGCAGGTGGACGCAACGATCCTCGAAGTCGGCGTCGGCGGAACCTACGACTCGACCAACATCGTCCCGCAGCCTATCACGACGGGCGTGACGGCGCTCGGGATTGACCACATCTGGGTGCTGGGCAAGACGTGGCCCGAGATTGCGGCGCAGAAGGGCGGGATTTACAAGGTGCGCTCGCCTTTCCTCCTTCTGAGTCTGAAAGCTTGTGTTGATTGTTGCGAGACAGCCTGGAGTACCTGCGCTGGCGATCCAGCAGCCGGAAGGACTCGATGTCCTGGAATCCCGCGCGAAAGAGCTCGGCGCGTCGTCTTTCACCGTCGTTCCCGAGCACCCACAGCTCAAGGCCATCAAGCTGGGTGCGTCCAGCTCCTCGTTCGCACGACTGCCGAGTTGACGAGATACATGGGCGCAGGACTCGCCGGCTCCTTCCAGCGCTCAAACGCCTCACTGGCCATCGCACTCGTTCAATCCTTCCTTTCTTCCTCACGCTGCCCACCCGCCTTCCGCTCCCTCGCCCCCGCTTCCTCCGCTCCCTCCTCTACCTCCTCCGCCTCTCTCCCCTCCCTCCCCTCCTCCCTCATCGCCCCCACTCCCCTTCCCTCCGCCCTCCAGAAAGGCCTCGAGAACGCCCGCTGGCCCGGTCGCTGCCAAACCGAGTCCGACCCGCTTCTCGGGGGTGAGAAAGTGAAGTGGTTCTTGGATGGCGCACACACGGTCGAGAGTCTGAGGTGTTGTGGAGAGTGGTTCAGGGATGATGCGCTGGCGCCGACTAGCAGGTGCGCTCTCTTTCCTCTGTGCGAGGATCCGCAGGATGACGCTGATGGGCGTCTTCGAGCAGCTCCGAAAACACCCCGACGCGGTTCTTGATCTTCAACTGCACTTCCGGCCGATCAGGCTCTGAACTCCTCTCCTCCCTTCTCTCTGCGCTCGCTCCTCCCCCATCGTCGGAACTCGCACAGCCGTTCGACCACGTCGTCTTCTGCACGAACACGACGTTCGCTTCGGGTGATTCGAAGGGCGGTGTGTCTCTTCCTCTCGTCCTCCCCTCTCTTTGACAAGCGCTGACAAGAGGTGAGACACGATAGACTTGACCTCCAACGCCGTCGACGCCTCCGACCTAGCCGCCCTCCAAACCCAACACGACCTCGCCTCGGCCTTCTCCACCCTCGTCTCCTCCTCCTCCTCTTCACTCAAAAAGGCAGAGATTCACGTCCTTTCGTCGATTCAGGAGGCGGTCGAACTTGTTAGACAGGAGGGGGAGAAGCGCAGGGTCGAGGCGCTCGTGACGGGCAGTCTGCATTTGGTTGGAGGGGTTATGGCTGTGGCGGAGTTGCCGCTGTGAGAAACGTGACGGGGAAGGATGTATTGTGGATGTTCGGGTTATGCAATTCGATCGTTTATTGCGTCTTCGCTTTCGATGCGCCCTCCTTTTCTCGCTCTCCTGCTCTTCGTCTGGAGGCTGAAGAGGACTCGAGATGGCTTTTCGGTTACAACAGAACTATCACACGTTTCGCATTCTGCCGGTCGGGGTGAGAGCGTCCCGGCGACGCCTCGAAGGAAAGGAAGAGGGGCGTCTACAGCTTCGACTTGGCCTTGTCCTCCTTCGCTGCCGCAGTGCGCAAGTCCTTGCGCAGGATCTTCCCTGACGGGCTGTACGCGAGCGAGCGTCAGCGCATGAACGAGCGATCAGGAACCTTGCAGGAAAAGGGAGTCGACGCACCTCTTCGGAATCACATCCACCACGACAACTCCACCCCTCAACTTCTTATGCGGCGCAAGTTTCTCCTCGACCCACTTGGCGACGTCCTTCGTGAGAGTGGGCGACTTGGCGTGTTTAGGGTCGGGGACGACTGTGTTGCGACGTGCTTCAAGTTAGCGAGGGAAGGGAGAGAGGGGTGGAGAGGACGCACTGTAGGCGCGCGGAAGCTCCGTGGCTTGTTCTTCGGAGTAGATGCCGATTACGGCGCAGTCGGCGACGAGCGGCGAGGCGAGGAGGACGCCTTCGAGCCTGTATTCACCGACGAGGTCAGCGTCAGGGCACGAAGGGAGTAGAGCAAGAGAAGGGAGAACGCACTCTGCGGGAGCAACCTGGAAACCTGTTTCGTACCGACGGTGGCGACGAGAAACTGTCAGTCGCTGAAAGCAGGGATCTGCCCAGGCAAATCGTCATCGGACGCACCCTTGTACTTGATCAAGTCCTTGTTCCTGTCGATGACGCGGTACCAACCGTCGTTGTCGCGCGTGCAGATGTCGCCTGTAGATCGACCGGTTGGAGTAATCAGCTCCCGCTCCACGAAGAGAGGGAAGCCGATGCTACGACGCCCAGACGCACCAGTCATGAGCCACCCGTCGCTCGTAAGCGTCTCCTTGGTCGACTTCTCGTTCTTGTAGTACCCGAGCATGATGTTCGGTCCGCGGAGCCACTGCGCCCGCGCATACCGCGGTCAGCCTTCTCGACTTCGACGTAAGTGCGAGGATTCGGAACGCACCAACTCGCCCGCCTCACCCTCCTTGACGTCCTTTCCGTCGTCTCCAACGAGACGCGCCTCCATCGTCGAGAGGAGCTGGCCGACCGAGCCGGGAACGACCTTGTCTGCCGCGGGGATCGCTCCAACCGAGGTCGTCTCCGTCATGCCGAGTCTGTTGGTCACCTGAATCAGCTGCGTTCGTTGAGAGGGAGCGAAGCGCAGACGCACCCCTGGAAGACCTTCGTCTTGCCCTTCAAGCGCTTCGAAACAGCTTCCTGCAAATCCGCGGACAACGGCGCCGCACCGCACAGGATGTACCTAAGCGACGAGAGGTCGTACTTGTCGACGATCGGGTGCTTGGCGATTGCGAGCGCGATGGGAGGGACGAGGAGCGCGGTTGTGCACTTGTATTTTTGGACGGAGTCGAGCGCCATCGGGAGGTCGAATTTTGGCAGGACGACGCAGGTGCCGCCGTGGAAGAAGGTGAGGTGGAGCATGACGACGAGTCCAAACTGCGTTGAGGGCGAAGATCAGGATCGGGTGCTCGAGCGGAGGAAGGGAACTCCGCGAACGCACGATGTGGTACATGGGCAAAACCGAGAGGACGCAGTCGCGCGTGTCAAACAGGCCCTTCGTCTTCTGTGTCTGCAAGACACAGCTCGTAATGTTGAAAGCCGAGAGGGCGACACCTTTCGCCTTGCCGGTCGTGCCGGACGAGAAGGGCAAATAGGCAAGGTTCGTCTTGGCTTCCTTCTCCGACGGGATAACTGGCTTGAAGGAGGGCGAGCCGCGCAGGTCGGTGTAGGGTTTCATGCCGGAGGGAAGGGAAGAAGGGAGCGATCCGTCGGTCGCGGGAACGACGTAAATCTCGTCATTGGCAAGTCCGGCATCCTTCGCCGCCTTCTCCGCAACCTTGAGCAGATCCGCCGACGCAAGGACGACGTTGGCTCCGGCGAGCTGGATTGCGTGCGTGAGTTCGTCGGCGAGATAGGACGAGTTGGCTGTCGAAACGGCGAGTCCGGCTGCCTGTCCGGCAAAGAGGAGTACGGGGTAGAGGGCGCTGTTGGGCGCAAAGAGGAGGACTGTATCGCCGCGCTTCAAGCCTGCGGTGCGGGTGAAGCCGTCTGCGAAGCGGAGGGATTCCGAGGCGAGTTCTGCGTACGTCGTCTGCAAGGGCGCACGGGCGTTCGGTTAATGTACATCTGGACCGCAGGAGTGTCAAGATGCGACGCACCTTTGCGCCCGTGACTGCGTCGATGATGGCGACCTGGTCCCTCCGCTTGTCGAGTCGCTCGGGTGCGAAGATGAAGTCGAATACGCCGCCCTTGTGGTACTCGCCGGGTGCAATAGGCTCATACGGGCTCGTGTAGATGGTCATTGTGGGCAATAGCAAGCTGGAGAGAGGGCGAGAAGGGCGAGAAGAGCAAAGGCAAGCCCCACGACCTTCGGACTCCGCGCGCTCCGAGATGGCCGGCACAAACAGGGGGCGGCGACGGCCACGACGAAGATAAATGCGAAAGTGCAAGCGTAGAGAAGCAGTCATGTACAACAAGCGACGATCGAAGCAAGCAAGCGCTCACATCCGCCCCCTCTTTCGCGTCCTCCCGCCGCTGTTCCCTCCGTTCCCGCCTCCGAACCCTCCTCCGGGGCTGAGCGGCGGCAGACCCCTCATGCCGCTGCTGCCTCCACCGCCAAAGAGCCCTCCCGGCAAGCCCGAGTCGACATCCATGTCACCCACACCGCCAGGCGACTTCCAAGCCGCCGGCTCCCCTCCCGCTCCCGTTCCACCACTCTTGCCCTTCTCCTTCTTCCCCGCCGAAGCCGCAACTTCCTCCGCCACGGCCCTGACGCGCTTCTCGTGCTCGAGCTGTTCTTGCGAGGCGTTGATGGCCGAGGCTTGGAGCGCTGCGATGTGCTTGTCGAGCGAGGAGAGGAGCGACGAGATCGTCTCGAGCCAGGAGGTGAGGGACGCCGTGAGAGTCGAGATCGAAGGCGCCGAGGCGATCGACGTAGAGGCTGACGAGTCGACTTGCATCGAGGCTTCGTCCGACGATGCAGAGACGGGCGCAGGACGGACATCGCGGCCGACCGAGCTGAGGACCTCGAGGCGCGAGCCCTTCTGGTCGAGACGGCCCGTGAGGACGTTTGCGTAGAAGAGTTCGATGAGGAGGTCTTCGAGTTCGGGCACACTCGAGAGCGAGAGCGTCGAGAGGAGCGTCGAGTAGGGGATGATCTGCGGCAGGCGAAGATGAGTTTTCGTCAGCGTCACTGTGCTAGAACACGGCAGAGGCACGCGATGAGGCTCAAGTGCGCCGCACCTTGTTCTGCGTTGCGAGCGAAAGGACGGAGAGGTGCTTGAGCTTTGCCTCCTGCTCGGCGGTCAAGGCAGGGTACGAGTCCTTGGCGGCTGTGCGTCAGAAGAAGAACACCAGTCAGTACGCTACGCGAAGGAGGCTCACCCACAGTCGTCAATCGCGAGACGCACCGAGGTACTCTCCCCAAGTCCCGTACGCAAACAGCTCCAACAGTCTGTACTGTCCCGCGTGCTTCTCGTCGTTCGCGAGCTGTTACACGACTCGTCAGCATCATCCAACAGTCCCAAGCGAGCGCCAGGAACGCACATCCTTGATGCTGGGCTGCTCGAGCAACTCGCTGAAGACGTAGACTCCGGCGGAGGAGGTCGCTTGGGTAATCAAGTTGGCTGCGCCGGCTCCGCGGGCAGATTTGGCGAGGAGAAGGAAGGGCTGCGCGTAGAACGAGGGCGTCAGCGCGACGAGGAGGCGAGATACAGAGGGTCTGAGAAGCGATGAGGTGGGGAGACGGTCGAGGCGCAACAGCAACGCCTCGAGGCGGCGTGGGAGCTCGCACACACAGCCACACATGCTATCTCAACGGACTCCAGCGCCTCCCACGGTCCCTCGCACTCACCTCGAGCTTTGGCGGGACGGTGAACGAAGGTCCGGCCGATGAGGCGTGAACGGGCTTGCGCTGCTCGGTGGGCGGCGCGACCCGCTCGCCGATGGTCGTGTACGCAGCGAAGTCGTCCTGGATGTGCGCCATCCCAGCCAGAGCGCAGTGAGCGAGGTGTACAGGCCAGACGACCGCCGCCTCCCTGCTCTCGCTCTTACCGCCCACTTCGACTGCTCAGAACGGAATGCTGCCGCCGTCGAGACTGTCGAATGCGCCTACGAACCCTGATGCAGCCGTCCGCGGAACGGACAGCGACGCCCTGCTCTCGCGACACTCCGCCGCTTCACTGGGATACCTCGACGACCCCTTCTCTGCCCTCTTCCTTTCGCCTGCACAGCGAAGAACGCCCGAGCGACGCCCTCCCTTGATCAACATTGGGACGCATGCGCGAACATGGGCGGTAGACGAGCTGGTGGAGCAGTTTCTCCTTCAGCGGGAGGTGGGGGATTCAAGTAGCGGACGGGCAAAGGCTTGCCAGGTCCTCTCGCTGGGCGCAGGGACAGATACGCGCTTTTGGAGGCTGCGGAAGAAGTGGGAGGCGGAAGGGAGGGAGTGGACGTGCAGAAAATGGGTTGAGGTGGACTTTCCGGAGGCGACGGGGTCGAAGGCGAGGGCTGTGAGCGGCAAGGCGGAGCTCAAGTCGCGGCTAGGAGGTGACGTGAAGATAGGTGCGTCGAAGGAGCTGGTTGCGATCCCATGCTCGCTGTGTTCGAGCGCTAACGCTCGTCACGGTCCTTCACCACACAGAACAAGGCGGTCTCGGCCTCTCGTCCCCTCTCTACGCCCTCCTTCCCGGCGATCTGAGACATCTCGACGCCCTCTCGACCTCCCTACTCTCGCCTCCCGCCTACTCGACCACCTCCGCCTCCATCGAACCGATCCTCCTCCCTTCCCTCCCGACTCTCCTCCTCCTCGAATGCGTCCTCGTCTACCTCCCTCCGCCCGATACCGACACCATCTTGCGGTGGTTTGCCTCGAACTTTGCGCCCGGAAGTGCGGTCGTGTCGTATGATCCGTTCGGACTTGACGATTCGTTCGGAAAGGTGATGCGGAGGAACTTGGCGGTGAGTGTGCCAGTCTCGCTGATGTCGTGAATCGTCCTCAACGATGAGGCTATAAGTCGTGGCTTCTCGAGCTTGTAGAGGTCGCTCACGCCACTTTCCCCTCTCCCAGTTGCGCTCACTTACCCTTCCCGGCGCCGACTCAACACCGACTCTCGCTTCCCTCACCTCTCGACTCCAGAACAACGGCATCACCGGTTCGACGGGCAGCATGAGTGTGCGGGAAATCAGGGACGAGGTAGTGCCGGTCGAAGAGAAGGAACGGTGCGTCTTCCGCTTCGTACTCGCGAGCGAGCGAAGTTGCTCTTCTTAACTTCTCAAGCTCGCTCGACTATCGGCCCCGCTCATCGTCTCGCACGCTCACCCACTTTCCGTTCGCGCAGGGTCAGCAAACTCGAGAACCTCGACGAGGTGGAAGAGCTCAATCTCGTTCTCGAGCACTACGCGGTGACATGGGGGAATGTTGGAGAGGACGGGAGAGGGATAGGGTCGAAGGGTTGGTAGGCAGGAGCATAGCACCTTAGCTCTTTGATGAGTGCACACCGTCATCACCGCACGAGGGGTACAGACAGCGCAAGCGGAGGCAATGTAGCAGCGGCGCTGAAACGGTGGTGAAGGGGGACTGGGACGATACAGTACGACGACGAGCCCGCAACTCCTCGAGGGCTGCCACCGACAAGCTTCTGCTCTGGCCGTCTTCACTGCAGAGACCGCTTCTCGCTGTTGCGGCGTGCTGCTCGCTCACTTCCGCTCGATGTCTCCTGCTTCGCGTCAGGCGAAGAGGCCACCACTTAACGAGAGATATGACGCGGTTGCAGCTAATCCGACTCCAAAGCCTCGAGCGCGGCGGCTGTGAGAGGTACATAAGGGAGCGCGAGGGCATCCGCAGGGAGTCCCGAGTCCGAGTCCGAGAAGGCGCCTTCAGACAAGTCAATCGAGAACGTCGTCGATGCGTCGTCGTCTGCGGTGGCGGCGGCGAGCATCAGAGCGTGTTGCTCCGGCTCAGGACGAGGGTCTTGCGAGCGGAGTGCGTTGGCGGGGAGGGTGACCGCATTGACGATGTCGATGTAGCTCTTTGTTGCGAGGTCCTCGAGCTGTTGCGCCCAGTGTACACCGCCGTGGTCCTTGACAAGCGGCTTCGCGCGGTCGAGGAGCGCGGCAACGTCGGAGGCGGGAGTGTCGTCCGTCACGAACCAGAAGGAAAGCAGGAGCGCAATGAAGTCGTCGAGGATCTGCGGAGCACGGGCGTCAGTCAGCTCTCGCAAAAAACACGCTGCGAAGCGCGCGCACCGAAGTCTCCTGGATCAGACTCTTCGAGTACGGCGGTTTCCGTCGCACACAGTCGCGCGTCGCCCAGGTCAACATGTTGAAGGAGGAAGGCGCGACGAGAGAGGGCAGGACGGGTTTCTCGGTAGACGGCTTCTTCGCCTTCGGCGAGAGCCACGTAAACGGATCGTCCGCCGCGATTCCCTCGAGGGCGAAAGTGGTAGGGTCATCGGGATCGTCGTACCGCAAGATGTAGGGGCTCGGTCTGAGGTTCGACGCGATGAGGCGGAAGCAAGCGCCAGTCTTCTCGGCCGCTGCGTAGAATTTCTCGAACGGTGGACGAGCGGGCGGCTTGACGACGTTCTCGCCTTGAACACCACTCGTGCTCGCCGCAGCTCGCTCCTCCTGATACTTGATCTCGCAGAGCACGCGGGAGACGACCTGGTCCTGGTTCGGCAGCATGTCGAGCAACTGCTTGTCGAAGTCCAAGTGGACTGGGCCGGAGACTGCGGAGCCAACAATCTATAAGTACAAGCAGGGCGGCGGCATGCGTGGAACGTAACGCACGTTCGATGCGGTTCGCCTACGCATTAACATGTGCGTATGCGGGGACAACCTGCACCTCCTTCAAAACGTCGATCTGAGCCACAGAATACAAGCTACGATCAGCGAAGATGCTCAGCAGGTGAAGGGCGAAAGGACGACGCACATCGAGCTGGCCGCGGCAGAATGTCCCGTTGAAGTAGTTCTCTCGCCTCGCCGGGACCAGATGAGCGGACTCCAAGTCTCCTTCTTCCTTGAGCGTCACGGCGCACCGTCTGTTGAACTTGACCATGCCCCTTGGTCCTACAACATGACTCGCCGTGATCTGCCACGAAGTTTCCGCCCACATCGAGTCTGCGACGCGGTCCAGGTCCGCCGGCGTGCAGGTCTCGACAAGCTCGACCTGCTTCTGAGTGTACGACCAAGGGTCCTCGTAGAACTCTTCCAGATGCGCAGCCGTCATTCGAGCGGACGCCCAGGTGAGTGACGAGGCGGCAGATTGCACATCGGAAGCCACCGAAACGCTGCGCTTGCGCTTCTTCGGTGGTGCACGCATACTGGCAGCGCTAGCAGTTGGTGCGCGATCTGACATGGCTGATCGCCAAAAGGGAGTGTGGACAAGGTGAGGGCGTGAGGAGGCGCCAGCAGTCGGTGCGCAGAGTGGTACGCCGGGCCAGCAAGCTGTGGGCGGCTCTCCAGTCAGCTGCGAGACCCGCGACGCGCTGTATGAGCGGGACAACGCACCTCGAGATCGAGCGACGGCGAGCAGAAGAAGGCGGTCGTCCAGGCCTCGTGCGCCGGTGCAAACGGTCGTGAGAGGAGCTGGGACAGTCTAGCAAGCGATCGGAAGCAGTGCGAGCAGCAACGGGCGGCGTAAGCAGGAAGCGAGGGAATGAACGGAGGGCAATCCTCCCGAAGCGAGAATAGAAGACGTCGTAGCTCGTCGGGCTCTCTTAGGTAGTCGCAGACGACGCAAGCAATGTAGTATTCACGGCTGGGCGTCCCACAACTCCACCAACCAGGAGGTTCCCGCCTCTACCCAAACATCTCGCCCCTCGCCTCCCTCGTCAAGGCCGGCCCAAGCAACCCACCCTCCCAGCTCCTCGGCTCCTTCCACCTGACCCTTCCCTTGTCATCCCTTTGCCCCTCCTCGCCCACCTGAACCGGCACACGATCAACCCTACTCTCCAGCTCCGCGAATTGAGGTGCCAGAACGTACGCGAGCGCATCGGCGAGGAGGTGCGCGGCTGAAGAGGCGTCGCCTTCGGAGGTGTAGATGAGGAGGGCGTTGGTTGGCGGCAGGGAAGGTGACTCGCGCAGGGCGAGGAGGAGAGAGCGTGTGAGACCGCCGTGAGGGATTGGAGGGATCCGAGAGGAGTTGAGGGAGGACTCGAGGGAGGAAGTGATACCTGAGGGGGAGGAGTCGAGGTAGGAAGGCGAGATGGAGCGCAGAGCGGTCGAGAGAGGCGAAGACGAGCCGGAGGGCGGGAGGATGTGTCGCAACGGGGTGATCCTGCGAGCAGTTTCTGGCGTCAGGGAAGCTCATGAGAATGATCCAGCGAGCACACACGCTGCAGGAGCGACATGCAACCTCGCAGATTCCCAGAACCAAACCCCAACTCACGCATTCAGCCCCGAATCGCCTCTCATTCCCGCATCCGTCCCCGCAACGACGAGCACCTCCTTGAACCCGCACTTTGTGATCCACTGCTTAATCGAGTCGAGGTAATGCGGTCTTCGGGCGCGAATGACGGGCGAACGGGGAAGAACGACCGTGAGTGAGCGGGAGGGAGTGGTGTAGACTGTGTTCGCGGACCACAGAGACTAGTCAGCGTTCTCCCCTTCGAGAAAGCGCTCGACAACGATTTCGTGACTGCGGAACGCACCTTCCACGCCCAACGCAACTCCCTCCTTCTCCTCCTCGCCTCTCAACCCGTCCCTCCCTCCAACCGCAGGCACATGATCCCTCAGCCCCAGATACCCGACCAATTCCAGCCCATACGTATGCACGAGCAAGTCGCATGCGAGCTGCGCGAGGGAGGAGAGAGAGGGTTGTGGCTGTGGGGAGGGGGAGTCGTCAGCTAAGGAAGCGGAGGGGAGGAACGGACGCACGAGGAGGAGGGTGGAGGAGCTGAAGGAGGGTAACTGGGTGCCGGGAAGGGGGACGAAGTAGTCCATCGCGAGCGAGAGAAGCGGGAGCAGGCCAGACGTTGAAGGGAGAGAGGCGAGGAGGAGGGGAGGGGGACAACTCTCGCTCGGGGTGTTCTATCGTTCTGTAGAACGTGCAATAATGTCAAAACAAGGCGCTTGATGTACAGGAGAAGCGGAAGGAAGCGGTGTGGACGCGAGGAAGCGGCTCTCGAGACGTTCTACCACAGGACGGACCCACAACAAGCGCCACTGGACTGCTCAAGGGTGGTCAGGTTACAGGCAAGACAGGAGTGTGTACAGGGGTGGAGAGAGCGCTGTTGGGTGACGAGGAACAGCCAGGGAACGGCGCGGGAAGGATGACGGCTGGTTTGTCGAGGTGTCCTTCGAGCTGCACGCTTAGAGAGGCGAGCCCACGGCGTCGCACTTGGCCGCACAGTCGACAGGGTACTTGGCGTTGCACTGGAAGCAAAGCGGGTCAGTCCAAGGACCAGGAAAGAACGGAGAGGAAGCTGCGGGCTCACCTCGGCTTTGTTGGTCGTCTCGTGCTTCTGCTTGCACGTCAAGCCATCCTTGATGAACTCCTTCTTGCCAATCTGCGCGGCGAATCAACCCAGTGAGCTCAGAACCCTCGAGCGATCCGTCGGAGCCAGGACTCACGTCTCCAACGACTTTCTTCTGGTCCTTCCTGACACAGCGGACCTTGAACGACCCGCACGAGTCGCCGTCGTCAAAGTTGAAGCGGAGCTGGTCCGCGACTTGGTCGGCGGCGGACGAGAGGGCGTCTTGGACTTGGCCGGCGGAGGGGATGGAGGCGGCGAACACGGCGGGTGCGACGAGCGCAATGAGAGCGACGAATGAGAAGCGCATAGTAGAGTCGAGATTAGCTTGTTTCGAGGAGAAGCGAAGTGTGCGAGCAAGGAAGTGAGCGGAGGGAGGGAGGGAGAGAGCGGGAGGATCGCAGTTACGCGGCCTCGAGCAACTGCGACTGCTGTCCCCACCTGTTCCTCGCCAGCGTGCGTCCCGACGACCAGATCCAGCAGTTCTGCCCGAACGAGCGTCAAGCGAGATCACTCTGAGTGACGCAGTGCCTCAAGGGGACCATGTTGCCGCCGAGCAGCCCCAGCCGGAAGGGAATCGTGCAGTACGGTGGTCGTGAGACTGCCGCACACGTCTGTCCAGGCCATCCGTTCCGTCCATCGTTGGGCGCCAGCATTTCCCGCGAGTGGTCCAGCACAACGAGGAGAATCACCGGTAGAACAGCGACGACGGCTCGAGGCGCCATGAGAATTGGACAGCCGTGGTGCCAGCGTCGCCGAGAGCAGCTCGAGCACATCCAAAACCCGTCCCGAGAGTGAAGCGGGCAGTCGACTCCGGCAGCACGCTTGGGCTCGCAGGAGACGAAGGACAGCGGAACGCTCGCAGACTCGCCATATACCCGCTTAGCTCGAGCAGCTGCTCACGAGGGCTCAGCACAGGCTGCCGGTACCGTACACGCTACCCACCACCCACAGCAGCGCGCCCGTTGCGTCCGCTGCGACTCTGTCTCTCGGTTGCATCGCAGGCGGGCCTCACTCCCTCTGCACTCGCTCAGGTGCGCCAAGTCTCCGCTCAGAGGTCATCCAGTCCCGCAAAGCTGACCACTGAGCCACCCGCGACTCCCGCCGTGCGGCCGCGACGAGCAGCGAGTCGTCTGTTCTCCTGCGAGGTCCGGCGTCATTGCGAGGCGAGCCTCTGCTCTCCACTCGACGCCGTTCTCTGTTCGACGCCAGCCCTACTCCAGCACGACCCGCACTCGTGCTAGGCCAACTCGCGCCGGTCGAAAGTCGATCCCCGTCGTCCTTCGCCTCTTCCCTCCACCCGCCGCGGACTCGTCGACCCGCTTCACCCCGGCGAGTCTGCATCTCGCCCAGTCGACAAACCCTCCCCTTCGTATCCTACGACCCACGGGGCGACACACGCTAGACGGCCCGCGATGGACATCTACACGACGTCCTTCTGCCTGCCGCGATCCTCGGCTTTGTCGACAGACCTCGTCGCGTCCCCCTCTTCCTCCTTCGACCTCGCACCGCAGTCTCCTACTTCCGCACAACCAGCACAACAGGCCCAGCAAGCTCAGCAGCGCGCACAAGGACACCAGGCGAGTCAGTCGGATGGAGCGGTTGCGGTTGCGACTCCTTCAGCCGCTGCGTCGTCTGCCAGCCCGACTGAAGCCAGCTCGGCGACACGGGGTCACTCGACGTCGAGCAGTGTCGGAAGCGGGCAGGGCGCGGCAGGAACGGATGCCACAAGCGTGACGGGCGGAGGAGGAGCGACTGGAAACGGCACGACCGGAGGCGACGGCTCGCAGACGGACGGGACCTCCACGGCCGGCACTGCACCGACTTCGAAGCGCAACAGTGTCGACTTCAACGATGCGATGCAGCGCCTGTGCGTCGACACGATGGCGGCGCACCAGTGCATCGTCTCGTTCACTCCGATCGAGCCGACGTCGCCTGTTGTCGGCGCTCCGCCTCATACGCCTTCGATGGAGACGAATGGAGCGGCGGGACAGGCGGGAGAGAAGCCGGGCAAGATGTACAACGTGCACTTGAGCGGAGGGTACCAGCAGGTCATGGCTGCGCGGGGACACGTTCTTCGCGAGAGCCCCTTCAAGGTGCGTCGCCACCTTTACCCTCGTCGCTCGTCGCTGACGAACTAGCGAACGCAGCGCAAGTCGGTTGTCAAGGTCCCTCGCGCCGAAGTCCTCGACGGCAAGGAGAACGTCAAAGTCGAGATGCGCCGCAAGCTCGACGAGATCGCCTCGCTCACCAAGGCGCACCTCGCCATCGTCGGTCAGGCGACGGCGTCCATCGGCTTCGGCCTCGAGACGGAGAGGAACGTTGAGATTGTCATTACGGGCCCGTATGAGAGCGTCGAGCAGGCGCGCGTTAGGCTGCTGGTTCTCCTTGACGAACTGGTGCGTTGCGCAGTCTTCTAACTGGGCGTTGCGCTGACATCGTTGCCTTACAGAGCGGTCTGCACTCCGAGGTCTGCGAGATCGACTACAAGCTGCACCCCATCCTCTCCGGCCGCAAGCGCTGCGTGATCCAGACGATCCAAGAAGAGACGGCGACCAACATCTACTTCCCGACTCCGCTCTCCGGCGTCCTCGGCCAGAAGAACCTCAGCCTGCTCGCCAAGCAAAACCTCATCTTCATTACGGGCGAGTTTTTCGGCGTCCAGCGCGCGAGGGACATGTTGTTTCAGGTCTCGCTGCACAAGGTGAGTCGGCGCGGTCGTCGCCTCAGTGCCTTCGACGGCTGCCGAACGAGCGCTGACGCGACGTCCTGTCGTTCGCAGAGCAAGTGCATCATCTCGCGCGACACGGCCATCCTCCCTCGCAAGCTCGACTGGATGCTCTCGGACCGCCTCGAGGACATCAAGCAGATCATGAACGACAACGGGACGTTCATCAGCTTCCCGCCCATCGGCAGTCAGGCCAGCCTCATCTCGGTTTACGGAGACCACCGCGTCAACATCGAGCGGACGATCCGGTCTATCATGGCTCTCGTGCGTTGGGCTTCATCACGAGCTTGTAAGGGCGCTACTGACTCATTCGCCTGCAGGCCTGCCAATTCTACGTCGCCTCGTTCTGGCTCCTCCCCGCCTCCTTCGACGTCTTCATGCCGCCTCCGACGATCAACCCCGCACAGATCCCGCCCATCCTTCGCCACATCAGCGTCACCTCGGGCGCCGAAGCCGTCTTCAAGAGCAACTGCTTCGAGTTTCACGGTCTCGAGAGCGAAGTCAGAGCGGCAGCCCAGCTCGTGCTCGAGCTCGACTTTGTCAAGGTGCGTTGCGCTTCACAGTCCCCTGCGCGCCCGTACTTACGACTGCATCGTCGCAGGCGTTCCACCACGAGATCCGCTTCCAGATCGAGCTTGCCAACGAGCACCGCGAGTTCATCTCGGGTAAGAAGAACGGCAAGCTTAACAAGATCATGAAATCGGCGAACGTCAAGATCAAGTTCGAGACGTTCAACGACTACAACTTCCTGATCGATGTCGCCGGCAACGACCCGGGCGTCCTGCATGGCTTGACGATGCTCCAGGAGGAGTTGCCCGCCGAGATCTCGTTCCACGTTCCCGAAGCGTACCACAAGCGCATCATTGGCGTCGGCGGCAAGAACATCCAGCGCATCATGAAGAAGTACGGCGTCTACGTCAAGTTCTCGAACGCCGAAGAGTTTGCCGCACTCGGCGGCTACAACGACAACGAGGACAACGTCGTAGCGCGTACGCCCGCCAAGAATGCGATGAACCTCGAGCACCTTAAGCAGAGCGTTATGGAGCTCGTCGCGCCCAAGGACAAGGACTTTATCGTCGAGACGGTCTCGATCCCCCGCCGCTACCACCGCACTTTGCTCGGCGAGAAGGCCATCTTCATCCACGACATCGAGGCCAAGACCAATTCGCATGTCCGGTTCCCGAACAAGGAGACGGCGAGCGACGTCGTCAGCATCTTTGGGCCAGAGAGCCAGGTCCACATCGCCGCCCAGATGCTCCTCGACCACGTCCCCTTCGAAGCGTGCGTTCCGTTCGCCTCCCTCTTCTCTGTTCCTCGCTTACCTTGTCATTGACTTCACACAGCGAGTACCGCCTGCCCCACTCGACCGAGATGGCCAACCTCGCCCTCTCTCAGGACTTCGTCAGTTTGACCGAAAAGATCAAGCGCGACCTCAACATCACGATCCTGCCGTGGGTGGACCGCTCAGGCGGTAACGAGGAAACCATCATCCGGTTCTGCCTCAACCGCTCGAACGTCGATTTCCTCGCAACGTGCCGCGACCTCGTCGAGGAGTACCTCGTCCAGCGCAATGTGAGTGACTCGTTTGACTCGAACTTCGCATGCGTGCTGACACGCTCGCATCGGCAGATCAACCTGTACCCAGGCTCGCTCCGGCCGAGGTCCGACTCGTTCGCCGACGTCTTCGCGCCGTTCAACAGCAAGCTCCTCTCGACGTCGACCATGACCGGCGAAGGCGACGCTCGTCCAGACCCTCGACCCGGCTCGGACCGCAAGCTCCGTCTCGCTGCGTCGTCGCCCAACATCAAGGCGATCTTCGACGCGAACCCAGGTGGATCGGCGCCCGCTCACCCTCAGCACCCTCCGCGCTACCCTTCCGCCGGCGGTCCGATTGCCGAGGTGCCTCCGCAGGTCGAGGCGATGGGTGCCGGTCCATTCGCGCCCTTCTACCCTGCTCCGCCCGTCCCTCGCATCCCGCCTCAGTACGCCCAGCACCAGCCTCCGCCTCACCACCATCAAGTCTCGCCGGCGCACCACCCGCACTTCGGTCCCGGTCCGTTTGCATCGGCCGTCCCTCAGCCGCACCAGATGCCGCCTCACCAAGCCGACTACCACTGGGGCGTCCCTCGGCCGATGCAGGGCTTCCCGTCGCCCGTCCCGGCTGCAGCGCCCGGCTACCCTAGTGGTCCCGTCTCGCCCGCTCCTGGTGCCGGCTTCGCCCCGATTGGTCCGTCGCACGCACAGTCGCCCGCCGCTCGCTACGAAGACGGCTTCCGCTCGCCGCTCCAGCGCAGTCACCACGGCCCATCGGCGTCGTTCTCCGTCGCGCCTTCCGCAGGCGCTGGGCACGTGGCGTCCGGCTACTCGACGCTCGCCCAGTCGTCGTCTGTCGAGGACAAGTTTAAGGACTTGAGCGCGACGTCGCCAAGCGGTGGTCGCCAGCCTCGCTCGCTCGCAGGTCGCGCGCAGAGTCTCGACCTGAGCCAGCACGCGGCTGCGTTCACGCGAGCGAGTACGGCGCCGCGTCACGAGGCGGTCGACGAGGTGGCGAGCGTCCTTGGCGGGCTCGGACTCAACTAGGCGGCGGCTTTCCCCTCTCCTCCTTCTCGCAACAACACCAGCATGCCAGCACGCAAACAAACCATACAGCACCTCGATTCCCTCCGCTACCTCGTCACCCGCGCGTCAAATATAACTCGGAACTGCCCGATACCCCTCTCATCGTCAAACCTCTGCGCCGGCACACTTTCATCGGTCGCACACCCACGTATCGCAACACCGTTTCGCCCGTACACATTCACGCTCATGCACTTGTCTTCTCCGCGCGCCTCGTCACCAAAAACCCGTGTAACGTTATTCCTCGCCTCCCCTCTCACGCCTCTCACACCAACCCCGTCTACCACCTCATCCCCCGATATCCAGCTCGAGTTTACCCCTTCCTAGACATCTCCCTTTCCTCTTTCTCTCTATGCATTGCAACCTCTGCAGCCCTGTCCACGTCTCCTCCTCGTCGTCGTCTTGCGAGCTTGCGAAGGTCCATTCCTCTCGACCATCTTCTCCGTCGCGGTGCGTTCTGCGTTCGCCTTCTGGCTATCCGAACGTCGTTGACAGCGTCTCATCCACAGGACGCGCGCGACTCGCGCACTCCACATCGCTCTCGAGCCGCCTCGCCCTCGAGCCTCTTCTCTTCCCTCTTGCTCTCGACGACACGCTTACTCCCGCTTGACTGCTTCTGACGCTAGCTGGACGGAAGGATTGCATCGCATCGACCTACCTTAGCACGCTCCAGTCGTTCGAAAAGCCTCGCTCGCCTCTTCTCGACTTCACCCCACCTCGCCTACCTCTGCTGTACCAGCGCTTCCTAGCTGACGTGCACAGCTAGAACGGTCGCTCTGGGCAAGGCCGTGCAGCAGGGCCCAGCAGTATGCAGCAGCCGCATCTCCCCCGACTGGTGCGCAGCTCTCGCTCTACCTGGCATCCCGACGCGAGCTGACACCGTCGTCAACACAGTACCTCGGCCACGGAGCTGAGCAAGGACTTTCCCGCATGCTCGACTCGCCGGCCGCCCAATACTACGCTTCTCCGGCGACGTACGGCTCGACGCCTTTCGCCTCCGGAGGAATGCTCAGCCCGCCCGGACTCGACAGCGGCCGCCCTTTCGCCGGAGCGCACTCGTCAGAAAGTTCAGGATGGGAAGGAGCGTGGCAAGGTGGCGCACCGACGACGCTGGGAGTCGGCAGGACGACCTCGTTCTCCTCGACAGGCTCGCCGCTCACGCCGGTCAATCCGTCTGTCCTCAGCTCCGCCTTCTTCCCGCAATCCGGCATGACGCACTCTACGATGCACCACCCCTCCTCGGCGCCGCGCCTTCCTCCTCACCCTCACTCGCACCCGCAACAGCCCGGTCCTCCTCGCAAAACGACGTTGCATGCGTCAACGCCCTCCTTCTACCCCGGCCAGTACTCGCATCCCCCTCGCTCGACCTTCCCTCGCGATCAGCGTGTGCCGAACGCCTCGAGACGCAGCGACAGCGTTTCCTTCCGTCCTGGCGACGACCCTCTGCGAAGCCCAACTCTCGCCAGGCGGGCTTCCGCAAGCCCCGCAACGTCGTCGGTCTCGATCAAGAAGGACGAGCCGAAGAAGCGGAAGATTGTCGTGCGACTGCCGCGCGAAACGCTTACGGACGACGAGGACGACTCGGAACAGCGGGCGAGATTGAGCATCTTTGCCCGAGCTCCGCTTACGAACGACGAGCGCGAGACTGTTGTCCAGCGCATGGACGCAGACGCTCGCGAGTCCGTGGCGCTCGAGGCGGACGAGCTGGTTGGGCGCGCTTCGCATCCGGACGAGGTGAAGATGGCGGGCTTGCCGGAGAGTATCGACGTCTATCTTCCGGGCAAGAGTGCATGGGAAGAGGTGTGGGATACGTTTGAAGAGGACATGAAGGAGAAGCACGGTCACGTCGTGCGTCTCGCCTTTCTCGATCCGCTTATGCTCTTCGTCAACTGACGATTTAACATACAGGATCTTCGCCGCCCTGCTTTTCTCCCTCCCTCCCGCGCTTCGACTCTCGCCTTCTCCTTCGACTCGCTGCTCTCGTCTCGCCGGCCGGGTCACGGTCGCACGGCTTCCCTCTTTACCTCTCCTTCCCAGCTTCTCCCGCCTCGTCTCCGTAACGCCCTTGACGGCGTCAAGCGAGCAAGCAGCGGTCATGCTTCGTCGCTGTCGCTCTCTTTCGCCGGCGGCTTCGATGCCTTCCGCTCGCCCTTGACCGGCTCTACCACGGCGGTCACGAGTCCCGGTGCGATCAGCCCGCTCAGCGGCTCGACTCGCCTCACGCCGTTCGCGCCTGCATTCGTGCCGAGCAGCACGCTTGCGACTGCTGTTGCGACGCCTTTGCCGACGAGTCCGGCGCCGGTCAAGGATGCATCGTCGCTATCGTCAAAGGAGGCGAAGGAGGGGCAGAAGTCGGTGGAAGCAGCGTCCAACGACGATGGTGGTGCCGAGGTTGGCGCAGAGGAGGAAGAGGCTGTGGGGACGACCTCGCTCGATGTGCTCGTCTCGGTCGAGGGCATTAAGGGCGGGTTCGTCGAGGAGGACAAGAAGCAAGCGCTCGTCCTCCACTCGATGGACGACAGCGATAAGCGCTCGCCTCCGTCCCGTCGCACGTCGGGCATGTCGACCAAGACCGACCGCACCGGCGTCGCCAGCGACTGGACCGGATCCGACATCGACAGCCTTCGCTCGCCCAGCCTCAGTCCGAAGCAGCCTCGTCCTGACCTGAGCACAGAGCTGAGCAGGGCGCTCGAAGAACTTGGTCCGCTCGACTCGCCGGAACAGCTCCCGGCGCTTCCTATCGCCCAGGTATCCGTTCAAAGCCCTCCCGACGCTGAATCGGACAACTCTCAGTACGGTGACGGCGAGCTCAGCGATAATGAGCATGGCGAAGACGGCGACGAACACGGTCGGGAGAGCGGTAGTCCCAGACGACTCCGCTCAAAGTTGTCAGCAGGCTCAGCCGGTTTCGCTCGTCCCGCCGGCTCACATCGCAAGGTCAATTCTGAGCTGCTCTTCGAAGCACCGAGCGATGTTGACCGACCGAGTCAAAACGAAGATTCCCCGGCAGAAGCGAGCTTCCACCGCGTCAAACAAAACTTCGAGTTCCCGCCTCGCTCCGCCCACAGCTCGCCTCGCAAAGTGTCCGACGCAGCCGCCGTCGCTCTTCCGTCGTCGCCAGAATCCGCTCGAGATGAGTACGGCCTACCAAGTCTGCCTCCGCTCGGAACCTTCGGAGGACCTGTCGACCTCTCGCCTACCGACCGTCTCGACTTCGGCACTTTCGGGCAGCCAGGATCCCTCGCGGTCTCTCCAATCACCGGATCCAGCCAGGGTTGGCGCCCTTCGTCGACTCTCGATGCAGCTGCCAGCGAGTTCCGCCCGTCCACCGGCCGCCTCAACGCCTTCGCCAGCGACTTCGTTCCTTCGCTTGACGGTGCCGCCGCCGCACCCCTCGACCCGATCAGTCCGTCGACGGCGACATACTTCCGGCCTGAAGCGAACGAGACGCCTCGCCGAATCAGCGGCAGCCATGGTCCTCTTCCGCCTCTGCCCCTCACCGCCAGCAAAATACCTTCCACAACCTCCTACTTGGATGCCGACGCACTCGGTCCGGTCAGCTCGTCGATGCGACGTGTCATCTCAGCGCCAGTCCTGGTTCACCCACAACCGCGCCGCCCGCTTCCTTCGCCACCGCTCTACATGTCGACGCCTCCGCGCTACACCGGTTATGCCTCGGCAGACGACGACGTCGAGCTGCTCCGCGAGCCGGGCGATGAGCGTGCGGAGGAGTCTGGCTTCGGCAACCGCAGCGTCGCCTCCATCGACGACCCGCTTCCCGAGCAGTATGCGCCAATTCGACCCGTCTTGACGAAGGAGCCAGTCCCGCGTGCTGTTCCAGCGATCAAGAACGGCCCGAGGTTGCCGCAGGAAACGACGGCTGGGCAGGCGAGTCCCGCTCGGATGGGCGACCCTCGTGCGCGAATGGAGAGCATCGACGTCGCTTTGCCAACGATCGCTCGTGAGATGGGTCGCGCAGTCCCGCTGGAGCAGCGTCCCCAATCGGTGCGTGCCGCTGTCAAAGCCCCTTTCATCCGTTCGATAAGCTCACTTTGTTCTTCCTCGCAGACCGGCGACGCTTGCAGCGTCATCGAGATCGACGACGATCAGACGGCTTCTTTCACCGACCACGACGATGTCCCCCTTCTCTTCCTCGAGAAACTCATCACCGACCAGTTCGACCATCTGCGTACGGAACTCACCGCCACACGGTCAGACGACAAGCTCGTCGAGCTCCTCAAGTCGATTAGCGAACGTCTTGAGACTCTCCCATTCACGACCAGCGCCTCAGGCGGCCCATCGCAGGGCCTCCATCCTTCTTCGGCGAATCGTTCACGCGACTCGGCAGTGGATGGCAGCGTTCGACCCGCTTCGGCCCCAGTCACGCGCGCCGCAACCCCCGGCTCTGATGTGAGCCCAGCGCTCGCCTACTCTGGCTTCCTCGACGACCTGAAGGCGACCGTCCAGCCTCTCGTCGGCCCGCAGCTCAACACATCCGCTCTTGCCGGCGACATCGCCTCATTCCTCGCACAACAGCTCGACAGCACTCTCTCTAGCCTTTTGTCGTCGACTCTCAGCCCGAAGCTCGCCGTCATCGATGACAGGCTAAGCACGCTCGTCGACCGCATCGAAGCTGAGAAGGTCAGCAACTCGGCAAAGGTCGTCGAGGGGGTGCAGAACGCGTTGATGCCGCTCTCCGACCTCACGACGCTCGTCGAGACGACCAAAATGCATCTCGCCGGCACACCAGCGACTGTCGACCTGCCTCGAATCGCGGACCTCGAATCGCAGTGCGTCTGCTTCCCTCACCCACCTCACTGCGGCCAGCACTGATGCTCTTCGCAATAGGCTTGCCAAGGCTCGCAATGAGCACGGCAAGGCGCGCAGCGAGAAGGCCGTCCTCTTGGACCGTCTCGATGCCGAGAAGGCTCGTCACGGCGAGGAGGTGGCGGACCTTCGCGCGCGCCTTGCGAAGTGCGAAGACGACCTGAAGGCCAGCACGCTCAAGCTCGCTTTGCGAGACGCTGCCCACTCGGTCATCAAGGACGAGCTCGACCGCACTCGTCGCGAACTCGACACTCAGCGCACGTCGCTCAGCGAGGTCGCGCAGGCGCGGGTCAGAACGGAGGAACAGTTGGCAGTGACGCGCGAGGAGCTGAGCAAGAAGGAGCGTGAGGGCGCGGAGCAGATGCCGCGGCTTGAAGCCCTCTCGAGCGAGCTGGCAAAGGCTCATGGCGAGATCGCAGCGCTGGAGAAGCGAGTTGCGGCCCAAGTCAGTGCCCTCGATTTCGCTTTTGTCATTCCACACTGACGTTCACTCCGCAGGACGAACGCCTGGCCACCCTCCAGCGTCTCAAGGCGGTTCAGCAGCAGTCGCTCGCCGCCGCAAACCAGCGCAACTCGGACCTTCGAAAGGAAGCTGCCGAGCTCGAGCAGCTCAAGGAGACGCTCAAGGAGGTTCAAGCCGAGCGCGAGACCGCCCGTACGCAGGAGACAGCGCTGCAAGAGCGCTGCAACACACTCGTCGAGGAGAACGATCGTTTCCGTCGACAGTTCGACTCGCTTCAGCAAGGCCTCGAGACGATGAAGGTCACGGTTCGTCGCGAGCTGGAGGATGCCGACGCTCGCGTCGCAGCCGCGACGGCTGAGCGCGATCGCCTCGCTGCCGACAACGCCCGCTTGGTCGAGCAGCTCTCGGCGCTCCAGCCCCTCTCGACGCCAAGCACGCCAATCGTCGCTCATCACCCGTCACCGCAAGGCAAGGCCAGCGGCGGACAAGCCGCCCGACTCCAGTCTCAGCATACCGGCTCGTCGGCGGGATCCGACCTCACCATCGCCCACACCGACATCTCACCTACGCCAAGCATCTCCAGCCAGTCCTTCACACGTGCGGAAGACGGATGGTATTCCTCGGCGGAATAGACGTGGGACCTCTTTTCTCATCTTCGCATCGCAAGCTCCGCATCACGCTCGTTTACCGCATCTCTAGCAATGACACGTAATGACCATCCCGCAACATCTACTCGTCGTCGATGATGTCCAGCTTCGGACCCGCGCCACGACGACCACCCGTCTTCTTGCTCCGCTTGACTGCCTCGCGATGGCGTTTCCGAGCAAAGCCGCGCAGGGTCTCACGCAGCTTCTGGTGCTCCTCGTCGATATGTTCCCTGAGAAGGCTGCAGTGTCAGCGAGTAGAGCAAGGGAAAGGAAGGGAGGCTGAACGCACTGGCTTTCATGCCGCCAAAAGTCCTTCGATGCCTCCGCAAAGCGCTGGCGACTCTCCTCCGCAGCCTTCTCCAGCCGCGGACGCATCGCATCGTCCAGCTTCGCCACCTCGACCTCGTCGAGTGCGCCCGTCGCGCGATCCTCGAACGCTCCGCTCGGGAAAGCAAAGAAGGGCTGCGACGGGCCCTTGAAAGCCTGTCCGGCCGGTCCGCGTGCGCCTCGGTACCCGCCATCGCGAGTCGGGGGAGGGACGAAGCGCGATTGAGGCGGGAGCGAGATGGCGGGAGCTGGAGGAGGGGAGGGCGTCCGTTCGAGGGGCTCGAGGTCGAGGTCCATGCCGGCGAGGAGGGCGAAGCCGCCTGACTCGCCGCCGTCTGTGGCCGCGTCCTGTGGCTTGAATATGGACGAGAGAACGCTCTTGCTGTTTGGGGTGGGCGCAGCGGCGACGGTCGTCCCCTCCGTCCCGTTCTCCTCTTCAGAGGAGCTCGATTCGTCGCTGCTGCTCGAATCGCTGTCCGAATCCGACTCGGATTCACTCGACGGCCCACCGCCGCGCAGACGAAGCGTCGTGTGCGCAGGCATCGTCGCGAACAAGTCGCTGTCGTCGTCCTCGTCCCGCGCAAAGCCCTCGACTTGCGGCAGTAGTTCCGCCTTGGCAACGACGGGTGGCGCCGTAGCCTCCGCATTTACCTCATCGACCGCGTCTGGCACGATCTCCGCCAAAGCGCCGAGTGCGAGTTGGCGCAGCGTAGCGCGCTCCATAGCGTGGGCGACGTCGCGCTCCGTGTCGTCGAGCGAAGTGGCCATGAGCTGGAAGGCGTCTTCTTCATTGTAAATGAGGGTGCGAGGGGCGGCGGGCACGTAGGGAGGGGGAGAGGCGCTGCGCTCGCGAGGAAGGGGTCGGGTCCGGTCGGCAGGCGAGGCGGTAGTCGGGAGAGTCGTCCTAGTCTGCGAAGCTGAACCGGCTGATGTCGGAGCCGGCTTCGCGACGAGAGTGGCGGAGGTAGACTGATTCATCCGATCGAGCATGGCGGTGAAGCGGTCCGTGTAAGGGGCACTCCGCTGCGTCAACCTGACCGTCTCTCGCCGCCTGACCTGCCCATCACGCGTCTTGAACACCCACGTAACCTCAGGATCCGCACCAGGCGCCGTCCCCTCCGGCTCCTCGCACTCCCACGTCCCGATAGCAACCATGTGGGCCCCGACATCCTTCCCTGTCGCCCGCAAGACGTCAAAGACAATCCGCTTCCGTCCCCAACGACGAGGATCGATGCGCATCCGCTGTATGCGCGTCGGAGGAGGCCGAACGGCCGATCCTTCGCGCTGTGATGCGCGAGCGGCTTTCGAGGGTTTCGCTTTGGCGGTGCCGCGCGACCAGGCGGTCTTGGCAGCTTCGGGAGGGGGTGCGACGGGGTGTGAGGGGCGAGCGATGAGAGGGAAGAGAGCAGTCGGGGTCGGTTTCGGGTCAAGAACCCAGCCCTGCGAGCGCAACGGTCAATCCATGACCTTCAACCCCAGGAAAGGAGGATTGGAAGCTCACCCTGTGCCGTTCGATGTTCTCGGGCGTAACAAGCTCGAACTGAGGCGCCAGTTTGCCAACATTCGGGTCCTTGGAAGCCTTCTTCCGCTTCTTTGGCCGGCCTGTCGAGTTCTCGCCTCCTTTCTGCGCCTCCTCGCGCTCGCTCGCGAGCCTGCGAAGTCGAGCGGGTCAGCGCAGTCATACCTCGCAGAGCGAAAGCATCCGCACCGTGTTCGCCAGTCGGGCTTCGCGGGTCCAATCCGCAGCTTGTGAGCCTTCCACATCGAGCCGTTCAGCATGGACATGCCTGAAACATCCAAGGTCAGTTTCCACAGTCATCCTGAACGACTCGGCCACACACATCGGGCAAACTTGGCCTCGGTCGTCTCGAGCGAGAAGAAGGCGAACGAGCGGTGGACACCTGGAGGTCGTCAAGGTCAGGGGCGGGGCAGGCGCGCTCTGTAGAGATGTACACACCTGTTTCGGTCTTTCCCAGCCCCTCGACGCCCGTTTCTCCGCCGACAACAGTCCCGAACGAGGAGAAACGCTGGACGAGGTCCTTTGGCGAGACGGAGGGTGCGAGACCGCCGACGTGGACACGCTTGGTGACTGGCGCTGTCGAGAGAGCGGCAGCGGGTGCCATAGCGAGTTCTAGCCTGCTTCGTGCGAGTCGAGCGGTGTTTGGCGTCGGTGGTCAACCCGCGAGTGAGCTCGAGGAGGTTGAACTCCGCCAACTGTGGCCCACGCTCCCTGGGGCCAGAAGGAACTGCTAGACCTGCTCAGAAAGTCCTCCATAACCGCTCAGGACCCTTCGCCAGACCTCCCGCCGTCTTTTCCTCGACTTGCGTTTCTCATCAGTCAAAATCGCGGTGCGTGCACACGGCCTCTTCGACGGTCTTGATGCGCTGACTGACGAGTCATGGACTGTAGGGAACCATGCCGGTCCCGCCCCTTCCCCTCGAACTCATCGCCCTCGTTTGCGAGCACCTCGAGACGCCTGTATGGAGCCCGCACGAACCCGTGCCCGACGGGCTCAGCATGGCGCTCACCTGTCGAGCATGGAAGGGACTCGGATACCGCCTCATGCTGCGCCGAACGGAAATATTCCTGACCATGCACCCGACCGGTCGTGGCAATCGCCTAGCTCGCCTACTCCTCGAGAAGCCCAGCCTGTGCTCCTACATTGAGGAGTTGAAGCTAAGAACGGGACTCTTCGAGTATGCGGGTCTGGACGATGTCTCCGAAGAGGAGTTCGTGCACCGGCTACTCAGCCAGACATCATCCATCCGTCTCCTCCGCCTCTCGCCTCCTTCCCGCCGCACTCCCCAATATCTGCAAGCACTCCCACCGACCGTCTTCTCCGATCCCTTGCGCACACTGCATCTCGATTGTGCCGGTTTCCGGCCGAGCGCGATTGACCGCGTCCTCGACACTCTCGCTCGCCTTCCTCGCCTCGACAGCCTTTGTCTCAGCCCGTCCAAACCGGGCGTACCATGGGACGACAGATCTCCTGATTTGTCGACAACAAAGATGTCGCGCCATACAGCTTGCCCGCCTCGAGATCAACTGCGAAGCCGACGTCTACGACGCCTCGCTCGTGCGATCTATCGTCACGGGTGTCCTCGATGCCATCCGTACCGAATCGGTCCGCTCCTTGTCCCTTGTTTGCGCCGACGAAGACTTCCCGTCCTTCCTGAAGATGATCATGGCATGCAGCGACGTCCGCCATCTTCGCATCGTGTTGTCGCGACTTCCCTTCGAATGCCTAGCCGACATCAAAACAGGCGGATTCTCGAAGATCCTGGAGGTCACCAGTACTCTCAAACACCTCCGAGTCCTGGGCATCGAGCAACCGCCTGAGGGATTGGATGAGCGCCCGGGGTCGCCTCTTCCTATCGAAACCTTCCTCGCACTCTTCGCTCCGACGATCCGTCGTCTCGACTTCAGCTGTTGCCAATTCGAGAACGACTGGTTCGTTGTGCCGCTGTACGAGCCGGGGACGGACGGTCTGATCGTGCGGCGTCAGGCGAAGGTGCGAAACTGGGAACTGGACGACCGGCACGGAGACGAGTTTACGGATCTGGTCGAGGTGGAGAATCTGGAAGGGATCGTCTGTTGGCGCCGCATGGACAGGCATCAGCCACCTCCAGTGCGTTCGAGCTTCGCACTTGCTCTCGCTTCTCGCGCTCACGCTTTCGTATCTCGCAACAGGCTCTCTCTCAACTTCCGCCGGTGTATCACTAGGATAGAAGTGAAACGAAGTCGTCTGTACAGGCTGAGCGACGCGGATGCGGGAAAAGTCTATAGTTGCCCTCACACTTCTTCGCCGTCCCGCCTCCTCACTTGCGCTCTTGCTTCTGCTGGTCCTGCTGGTCCAACTCGACGTGTTGAGTTGTCGCTGGATGGTCTTGCGCGAGTTCGGCGGCTTCCTTGTTCACCGGCGATCTGCGAATGGCACATTCAGTTTCAGCGGCGCAGCTGCAGAGCCCGCACTCACGAAGCCGCCTTCTCCTCCGAATACGCTGAGTCCTTCTTCTCCATCTCTGCGTTCGGCTTGGCAACCACAGCTTCGCTCGCTTCTTGCACCGGCTCCACCACCTCCTTCTCCTCACCCGCCTGCTCCGGCTTCTTCACATCAAGCGTCTTCTTCCTTACAACCGGCCGCCTGTACCTCAGGTCCCTCACGCGCGGCATGAACGCCACAGTCTCCTCATCGACATCCTCGGCGGTCGACAAGCCCGACACGCCCGAGACGAGCGAAAGGACGTCAAAGTTGTCCGTCTCGTCCTCCTTGTCAATCTCGCCAAAGGGTTTGCTGGTGCGCGTGGGGAATGACGGTGCAGTCGAGGGTTGTGCGGTGGGGCGGCGTACGATAGGGCGGCGGAAAGATCGTGAGGGCGGAAGAGTTGGCTGAAAGGGGTTAGAGGGGGTGTCGGCGAGGTCCTTAGGGACGGTAGCGCCGCTGTCAGACATTCCAGAGCGCACAGAAGAGGGTGGGGAAGAGGAAAGACTGCCAGCAGAGCGGTCCGCGGCGTTTCCGGAGAGCGAACAGGCCTGAGCGGGTGGTTAAGGGGAACGAGAAGAGGTCGCCCGCTGCCAGTCGCGTCCCCGGCGAGTCTTGATAGATCTCTCCGAGCCTGTACAGTCCTTGCCAGCCCCTCCAACGCGTGTGTCGAGTCGTGTGAGGTGTCGTTGAGCGGAGAACGGTGAGAGACGAGCGGGAAGGGTGACGCGCTCGTCAGCAGGCTGCTAGCCATCTTCTGCAGTGGCTGGCACAATCAGCGAGCAACAAGAAAGCGGCAAGCAAGGTGGGTTGAGCGAGACCCCTCCAGTTCTCTCTCTCCCTCGTACTCCTCACCCGCTCTCGCCATGGACACTTCTTTTGAGCGGCTGACTGAGGCCATCAAGCTTGCAGCCGACAAGCTGGGCTTTGACGATGTCGCCATCCGTAAGGCGGCGGACGACCCGGCCTCGCTTGCCCGCTCGCGGCACTGCAGGCTGCAACGCTCTCGTCTCTGGCAACGCTGGCGGATACGGGGACTGCCACGCCGTCCAACACTCCCGAGGCTGTGGCAGACCGAGTCAGGGCGTTCAGGACGGCTGCGATTCGCGAGCAGAACCGCCCGCCTCGGCACATGCCTCCGTCGGAACGCTTGCAGCTCGTCGAGACCATGGAGAAGACGCGCAGCAAGGTGTTGAGGCTTCTTGACGGGTCAGACCAGTCGGGCGGGCTCAACCTGCTCATTCTCGGCGCGACCAAGTTCTGCTCGACTCGACCTCTGCAAGAACTCAAGCCGAGTGAGCTCCGTCCCCAAGCGTTGCCATCCCGAGACCATTCTACTGACCTCGCCTCCCGCGCCAGTCACGTTCAAGGACATGCAAGTCACGAAGACGCACAAGGGGCGGGTCCTCCTCCTCCGAATCGTCTCCGTCCCCTGCTACATTGTCGGCATCTCTTTCGCCGCCGAAGACACGAACGGCCGAGTCGAGCACATCACGATTTACAACCTTCCCCTGCATGGCATTCGTACCGGCCCCGACCTCGACGCCCTCTTCCCCGTCGGCGCCCTCTGCGCTATCCGCGAACCGTCCTTCAAGATGGGCGGCTCCGAGAACGGCCACGCCGTCCGATGCGACTCGGCTAGCGACTTCTACTTCCTCGAACCCGACTCGCCGATCCTCGCCGACGCCCGCTGGCCGGGCCCGGCTCCTGCCGAACCGCGTCCCGCCTCGTTCGACTGGAAGGCGCTCGGCAACGGCTACTTCGCTCAGCGCAAGGACTACCTCGCCGTCCGAGCGTACAGCGAGGGCCTCGCGCGCTGCTCGTCCCCCGAGCAGCGACTCGTCTACTACCTCAACCGCGCGCAGGCGAACTTGCGGCTCAACAACTTCGGAGGTGCCTGGCGCGACACGTCGGCCGTGCTCAGCTTCCTCAAAGCCGGCATCTCGGGCGGTCCGCCTCGAGCGGAACTCAAGGCGACCATCCGCCGCGCGCGGGCGCTTACAGGCCTGCGTCATCTCGAGCGGGCGCACGACGAGTATAATCGTGCCTTTGAGCTGGATCAGGACGAACTAGAGGTTCTTTCCGGGCGAGGACTCGTTGGGGCGCTGTTGAGCCAGCGCGACACGGGCGAGTGCAACTGGGCCGGCTTGGAGGAACTGGCGACAGGCTGGATGGCGCCAAGCGGTCTGCCGGTCGCCGACTACTTCGGACCCATCAAGATCGCTCGGCTCGAGCAAAGGCTGAGGGGACGAGGTATCGTTGCAACCAAGGCGATGAAGGCGGGTGACCTGATCATCGGTGCGTTGACGTTTACTCCTCCTCTGATGGGCTTGCGAGCTGATTCTGATCCCCTGCGTTATTCTACCAGTTGAGAAAGCCCTCGCTGTCGCCGCCAACCTGCCCGCCGAGCGCACCCTCGCCTAGACTTGACCTCGGACACGATCGCCGACACCTCGAAAGCCGAGCTCGTCACCACCCTGGCTGCGCGAATGATGGACGACTCGTCGGTCGCCTCGCTCATCTACAACTTACATGGCGGCCCGCGTTACCCTGCGTCAGGCGACTTTGCTCCGACTGCCATGCGAGACCGTCCGCTACTCCCGTTCGCCACGCATGCGACGGTGGATACGACCCGTCTTGAAGCCATCTCGCTCGTCAATGCGTACGTGCTCTTGCGCCGCCGGTACATGTCTTTCAGCTGACCTTCCCTTCGAAACAGGTTCCCTCTCGGTCGGCATAAAATCGGCTATGAGTTCATCGACAACTACGCATCCGGCCTCTTCCTCGTCGCGAGCATGCTCAACCACTCGTGTCAGCCCAACGCGCACTGGATGAATCTCGGCGACGTCGTGATCGTCCGCGCGCGAACCGCCATAGCTCCTGGCGACGAAATCTGCATCAGCTACGTCCCGAGCGCGTCGAGCCAGACAGTCGCCGACAACATCCTACGCCAACGTGCCATGACGGCTTGCGGGTGCGTGATGTGCGAAGAGATGATCAACGACGGCAGCGATCAGATCAACTTGCGACACAAGCTCCTCGACGACAACATACCCAAGTATTCGCAGTTCATACACAGAGAAGGCGCCGCCGGTCTGAAGTCTCGCAGGAATAACAAGCCGGCACTTGCGAAGCTCATCAAGAGGATCGAAGCGACCTACCCCAAGGATGGCATCAGCTTCCGGCCCGATCTCGTCATGCCCTACCTCGTCATATCCGAGTTCTGCGACACAACGACTAATACGGGCGCTGCGGAGAGCGTGGCGTGGGCGAGGAAGGCGTTGGTGGCATCTGGAGCAGACTTTGTGGACGACGAGGCCGGCAAGATCACGCCCACCGCTGCGCCAATCTCGCAAATCGGCAACATGATGGTTCTCATGCTGCGGAACGCGTCCATGTACGTCTGGGACGGCGGCGTCGTCGGACATGAGGGGTTTGCCTGGCTGGCGGCGGCGGTGGAGATGAGCAGAATCCTTTACGGCGATACTGTCGCCAGCTTCGCCGTACGTTTTGCCTCGAGGCTGGTCCTCTACGGTCTCGACAAGGCTGTCAGGCGGTGGATCAAGGAGGCGGAGGGAGGATCCGGTTAGGCTCCCACTTTCGTTGCAACGCGCTGTCGTCGCCCGCCTTCTTCCTCGCGAGCGCTCTGAGCTGCTGTGTGCCAGCGTGACTCTGCACCGCGCCATACGGTGCTTGTGATCGTCCTCGCTCGCTTACCGCCTTGAGCCGCCGACCCCACCTCGTCTCCGACTCCGCTTCCTCTCTTCTGTCGCGCTCAAACACGCTTCGCGAGGCTCGCTGCTGCCATGGCTGAGTTTGCCACCCACTTTGACATCCCCTACGCCGATGTATCCAGCCCGCGACACGCCCTGGACTTGTACATCCCGCCCTCCGCTTCTCCCTCAACTCCGCTCTTCGTCTGGATCCACGGTGCGTGGGGCCTGCTCGCACCTGTGCTCTAATCGCCCACTGACTAGCTCGATGCAGGTGGCGCCTGGCAGGAGGGTGCGCCCCCTCGATTCCCTCCTTCCAGTTCATTGGCTGACAGGAAATGCGTTACTCTCGCAGAGTGCAAGGAGAACTCCCGGCCCTCTTTCGCCCCTCTCCTCGTCAAGCATACTGGCTTGCCGGTCGCCTGCGTCGAATACCGCCTCTCCCCTCACGTCTCGCACCCGGCGCACATCCTCGACGTTATCGCCGGCTTCGAGACTCTCACCGGTCCTCTACTCGAGTGCGAAGGCGGCGAGGCCAAGTGGGACCGCAAGACGCTCTTCATCGGCGGTCACTCCGTTGGCGCATGGATGACTACCACGCTCGTCCTCCGTCCTCCCCCCGGCCACGATTCGTTCTTTGTCCCCACCCACATCCGCACCGCCATCAAGCGCGCCATACCCGTCGTCGGCATCTACGACCACGTCTCGACGCTGGAGGAATACCCCGACTACCAGGAGTGGGTGGCGGCTGCCTTCCCCGATCCCAGCAAATACAAGACCGAATCTCCAGCGCGGTGGGACAAGTTCGACGACGAGGCGGGCAAGAACCTGCAATTCCTCGTCATCCAGTCGTGGGAAGACGAGCTCGTCAGCCCTCGTCAAGCGCGAGTTCTGATTCGCCGACTCAGGCAGCTGTACGGTTCAGCGTTGGCGAAGGAGATGGAGATCCCGGCAGAGGCTCCTGTGGAGGAGGAGGAGAAGAAGCAGCTCCCGCCGAACGTGGAGGTCGACTTTGACTCGGTCGGGTCGACGCACATGGGCATGTTGGACCGGGAGGAACTGCCGAGGCGGATCGGGCAGTACTTGCAGGACGTGCGGAAGTAGCAAGATCGTCTCTCCCTGGAGACTGGCCTGTATCGAACGAAAATGCGAGGCGTTGCGAATCATGCGAGTCTGAGTACCAGCTCCTCCTCAGACACCGCTGTCGATCTTCTCCATCTCTTTGCCCTCCTCCTCGACGCACTTGCACATCGCCTCAAGCCATGTCTCCAGTCGAGGTCGGGCGGAGGAAGCGAAAGATGACGAGATGTGCCGTGCATGAGCGAGGACGGGGAGGCGGCGGAGCGTACGGCCGGACAAGCCCTGCGAGCGCGACGCAGGTGAGTTGTTCTTCGGGAGACGTGCTAAGAGAGATGGCGCACCTTGCAACGATGTGCGAGATCGAAGAGCAGGGTGCTGCACTGCCATTCTCTGTCGTCTCCGTTCGCCCCCAAACCCGCCGAGTGGTACACCTCCACCGCCTTGAAGTCGAGGAGTCGCTGCATACGTGGTCCGTTAGCAGCCATTGCTGAAGAGCGATAGCGCGCCTACGCACGACGGGGGGAATCAGGCCAGCTCGCATGATCTCCTGCAAGCAGGTCTGCAAGATCCAGTAGACAGCGGCGGCGGGCGGCCTGCGCAGAGAGGGACGTCAGCCCCGTACGTAGATGCGCTGAAGTCGGCGGACTCACAGGCCGATGTACTGCTTGATATCGGCTCGGTCGATAAAGGCGTTGTCTGCGACCAGCAAAGGTGAGTCTGTTGCTACATTGTCGAGGCCGCATAGACTACGCACCTATCGCTTCTGACAGGTTCGAGGTCGTCATTACGAGGCAATTCTTGCGGTGCTTGAGTTTGTCGAGCTGGGTGAGGAGGGCGTTGACGACCTGCCAGAGCAACCTTAGTGAGTCGCGCGCAAGCGCTTCGGGGGACGCATCGCACGCACTCGCAAAGCGTCGGACGGCTCCTTGCCCGACATCGCTCCAGCCCTGGCGGCCGTTAAACTCTCGACCTCGTCTGCACGTCCAAATTGCCGTCAGCTCCTCCTCGCAAGTCACTGGACAAGCGAAAGCACCGATGAGCACGACAACAAAGCTCCGCTCGTCGTCGACCATCTCGGTGACCTGCGAAAACAGGCGCTGGACGAGCTTGCCCGACTCGGAGAACCACTTCGAGAAGAGCGAGTGCGAGTTGATCTCGATCAGTTTGCCGTGTTCGTAGCTACGTCCGCAGATGCGTCAGCTGTGAATATTGGCGGGAAAAGGGGAAGAGTGTGGACGAACCGGTCGGAGAGGCGGATGGCGAGTTTCTGGGCGAGAGCGCGGCAAAGCGAGGTCTTGCCCGTGCCAGGCGGTCCGTGCAGCAGTACGACCCTGTAGGCCGTCGTGAGCACATTCAAAGCGAGCAAAGGAGCAAGACCAAGCGCACCTGTTCCAGCTGACGATGTTGAAGTCGACCATCGCATCGCTGAACAAGAGAGTCGAGTAGATATAGTTCAACAGCTTGTTCTTGACGTCTCCCTCGTAGATCAAACTGTCCCACACGCCTTCGAGGCTGAGCGAGGGGAGTTCGAGAACCGAGGCGGCGGGGACGTCCGAGTCGCCGTCTTCGTCCGCGTGTGCGGAAGTGGTGAATTCGGTCAGGCGGGAGGAGGACGGGGGCTGGTATATGTGGAGACTGAGGCAGACGTGGTCCAGCGGGACGGCGGGAGACGGGAGGGCTGTGCGCCAGCGTCCACAAGCAGGTCAGTCGGTTGGCGTTGGCAGACTTTCGGGACCAGGGTGAACGAGCGACGCACAGCACTCGCCAATCCAGACACGGTCGACATTCTGCGCCAACACGCCAACGTCTCGCCAGTCGTGCACCTCAGAGTGCGTCAGGAGCGTCTCGTACTCCGAGTCGAGGTGCTGGCACATGAGGCGGCGGATGAGGTCGTATCGCATCGTCGACGTCGGCTTGAGGCGGACCTCGACTGTGGAGTAAGCTCGTGTCAGCCAGACCGACAGAAAGAGCAAGAGCAGCAGGACGCACCGTGCAAAGGAGCGAGATCTTCGCTCGTACTGCGACCGCTCGTCCTGCTCGCCGTGTCATCCTCGTCCGCCAGCTCGTCCTTTTCCTCCTCCTGGTCCGCGTGACCCATCTCTCCCGCCTCATCTGCCGGTCCACTCACTCCATTCAGCCCATCCTCACTCGACGGTCCACCCCCTCCCCCTCTCAACGACAACCTCCTATTCGTCTCCTGACTCAACGCAATCTCCATACTGACGTCCTCCTCTCCACCTTGCACAAGCTTGTCGAGCGAGGCCGTTCGAGCGGGTTGAGCGATGTTGGTTGAGGCTGAGGGGGAGAGCGGGGCGCGCGAGGAGCGCGAGGAGGTGGGTGCTGGTGGGGGTGCGTATTCGAGCACTGGCATGGCAGGTAGAGTAGCCTCAGACTGAATACAAGCGGGAGTAGCGTGAGCGAGCGAGGCGAAGGAGCGAAAGGTCAACTTGGGTCGAGGGTGGTCGTGACATCGGCGAGCTGGACAGTCTGCATGCGTGCAGACACTCTGTAGCAGTACTTGTAGCGCAGTAGCAGCGCGAGCGAGCCTCGAAACGCGCTGCGGGACGAGAGACTGGCTCCTCCTCCTCGAGCGAACGAGGAGTGAAGCTAGCGCAAGACGAGGCCCTTTGAACGTCTGAAGTTGGAATTTTGCAGCTCCTGCCTACTCCTGCTGCGCCCTTCTAGTCTACCGCCCGCATCTCCCGGGCAAACCCCAACCGTTGGAATAGATTCGCCTCCCCTCGCTTCTCCTCACCCCGCATCCCGTTCAAGCGCAAGCGGGCGCTTAAATAGCCTTGCTCTTGACGAGCTGCTCGACCTCGGCAACAGCAGCGACAAGGATGTCCTTCTGGAGCTTCTTGTCGGTGAGCTGCTTCTGGACGTTGGAGACGACCGTCTCGACGAGGTCGCGCTGCTCCTGCTCGCGGACCTGCGCCTCGAAGCGGACCCACGAGTCGAGAACCGACTTGATGTCGGCAGCGACGGCGGCCTGCTGCTTGAGGCGGAAAGTCTCGTGCTCGAGCTCGGCGGTCTCCTGCAGTGCGGCAGCAACAGCGTAGCAGCGTCAGCCCTTCGTTCTCGAGTAATAGCGCAATCAGGAAGCGCCGCAACGCACCTTGGAGAGGGCAAAGAGGTCCTTGGTGAGGCTCTCGACGTCCTTCAGCTCGCCGACCGACTCGATGCGCTCCTTGACAGCGTTGGTGTGGGCAGCGCGCGAGGTGTTGAGGAGGTCCTTGACTTTCTGTTACACGCACGCGATGCATTGTCAGCTCTGGAAAGCGCGACCTGAAGAGCGAAGGCGGAGCGCACCTGGATCTGGCCGTCAGCCCACTCGCGGTAAGGCTCGCGGACGAGGGTCGAGACGTAGCCGACGAAGACGACGAAGGATCCGAGGATGACGACCTCCTCGTTGAGGACAAAGAGCTCGTTCGAGATGGCGGCGGCGGTGGTCGCGGCGGTGAGGGTGACGATGCCGGTCTTTGAGACGAGCGAGTTTCCGGGGAGGGCGTCGATGAGGGCGGACGCCTTTGCGGCGGGTGCGGGCTGCTGCGTCGACTGGAAGCGCACCCTGCGAGCGTGTGGTGAGCCGAGGTGAGCGAGGGCGATGGGGACGAACGAGGGTCAGCAAGCTCTCGGCGGCGACGGCACGCGGGCGGGCGAGAGTTGGACGCACGGGGCGAGGACGCGCGGCTGGAGAGCCTGGCGGCCAACACGGGCAGCGGCAGAGCGGAGCATGGTGTGCGGGTGAGCAGGCGAGGAAGGACCGCGACCAGCTTGGCCTCCGCACCATCCCGCCCGCCGCTCAACCACGCCAGCGTGCTCGGCTGGCTTGCTACAGCGACTGTACAGCTCACTCGGACCCGCGTCGTCCTGCTCCCGTGCCCAGAGGTGCTGCCGCCGTCGAGCTGGTCCTCCTCGCCTCTTCCTCGCTTCTCGACGCCTGCACGCCCGCACCCAACTTCGAGCCCCGGTGCAACTGCTGCGACGCCTTCTTCTCACGCGAATGGCATCCTCCGAACGTCTCCTCGTCAGCCGGGACGTCGCCGTCTTCCCGCCGCAGTTCCTCACGGTGATGCGCAAGCTCCTGAACCTGAAGGCGCCGTACTGGTATCGCGAGTTCGAGGAGATCTATCAGAAGGTCCGAGGGATGGAGGCGATTGCGGACGAACTGCTCGAGCGGCTCGGCGACAAGGCGTGGCGGCCCTGGGATGCGTACGACGAGCTTGAGAAACAGCCGGCTTTGGCTGCGCCTTACGTAGGACACGCAGGTGCGTCTCGTTGATGCGGAGTGAGTACGTGGCAAGAAGCTGACAGCACTCACCGCGCGCAGTCCCCGCCCTCCTTCGCCGGATCTACTACCAAGCGAACTACGGCGTCGACGTCGCTCGCTCGTCAGATTATGAGGACATCCGTCTCGATCTTAGTTCCATCTTCGACGAGCCTCTCATCCACACGAAGATGGGCAGAGACTACGACATCGCCCGGGCAGCGCGTGCGTCCGCGTCGCCTCTGCGATCTAGTGGCTTCCCGCGATTGACAACGCGGCAATCTCTTCCTTCCAGGTGAACCCGATCCAGGACCGTCCGACGAAAGCTGGCGCGCCAACGTCGCATGTGTTCTCGACCGCGCCAAGTCTTTCACAAGCAGTCTCGCCTCGCTTCGCACACCGCGCACATCCGCTTCGACGGAACAAGCTTACGAGTCTTCCTTCGCGTACGACGCTGCCATGAAGAGGATGCTCTAGCTCGCTGCTTCAGCGAGCGAACCCGATTCTCGCCGCTCCCTTCGCCTCGCTCCTCGAATTGAGCAGGCTGGTCGCGGCCGATCCAAGCCTGTTCATGCGCGGGACAGCGTTTCGTCGCGGCTGGGGATGCTGCGGCCTCGTGCAGCTGGCTGAGTCGGAACCGCTCTTAACGCCCCTGAAGGCGTTTCGTCCCTCCCTGCTTCTTGCTTGCTTCGCCGGCTTCTGCCTGCTTCCTTGCCCACGTGCTGGTGCATAAAGTGCCCCTCGCTGCCTCCCTGGACTCTCTCGTCGTAGGCAGCGACTTGCGCGGGACGGCGGGTTCGACGAGCACGAGAATCGAGGGTGTGTGTAGATTGGCGGAAGGCATTTGCTCTAGTGCCTGAATCGGATTGCGGTGTCCCCCGCCAGAACGATCGCTTAGCGCGAGACCAGGGGAAGCTGGTATCCAAAGCTCGTTGAGGTCGCCTCATCCTTGCTTCCGCTTGCTCTGCTCGTCTCCTCTACATTCGTCTCATCGATCGTGCGCGCTCGCAGCTCGGCCAGTCCCGGTTTCGCGACGCTGCTGAGGAGTCGTTGAACATGACAGAAAGACGGCGGCCTCGGTAAAGACGGTACTAAAGCGTTCTTCGGAGCAAGCGACTTCTTCCTCCGCCCTTTTCGCCCTCGCGCTCATCGACTGCAACTTGCTGTAATACCTCGCGTCGAGTTCTTGCTAGTACGCTCTGTAGCGAGGCAGGCAAGCGGGTCAGCTCAGCGCGCTCGACGACGAGCGAGATGCGAAGGAAGACGACGCCTCACAACCCAACCACGACTTGCAGCGTCCAACGAGCCAGATCTGAGTGTACTTGTCATTCGTTTCGAGCTCGATTCTCGCTCCGTTGGAGAGACGCTTGGGATACGTGCGGTTGAGGACATGAATGGCGAGAGGCTGGTGCCAGAGGTAGGCCGGGTAGAGGCTTGTAGCCGTTTGGTAAGGAGTCGTGTAGTGCGAGAGCAGGTAGAGATTCTGCGCGATGATGAGCGCGATGACCCAAATGCAACCGAGCGCTGCGACCCAGAAACCGGAATCGAAGACGAGGACGGAAGAGACCGTCGCAAAGATGAGCGGGCAGATCACGATCCAGTTCAAGTCGATCAGTAAGAGACTGTGGCGACAAGTATGTCAGCAAGGGACAGGGCGAGAGCAGCAGGCGGGTCCGCACCCTGCTGCGACGGGAACGCCTTCAGGCGGCATGTACAGCGGTTCGGGAGCATAGCGCTGCTTCAGAATTTTGATCAAACGGCCTGCAGAACGACGCGGCCAGTCAGCGGGCTCGTCACGGCGTGGGAGAGGCATCCGGCATCCGCTCACCGCCATTGATGGACGTGAAGAGCTCGTAAACCCAATGCGCCGCGATGCCAGTGAGCGTCTCCACCCTGCTGGTCCCCTCACGCTGGAGGAGCGCCTGAGGACGCCCGACGTCAGACTCAAGCCATTGGGCGCAGAGGATGAGTTCGACGGCGAGGAGGACGAGGCAGGCGTAGATGAGGAGCCCTGCGCGCGTAGTGAAGATCGCGCGCGCTGGTATCGCGCCAAGCAGATGCTTCTCGCTAGCCATGGCGGTATGCAGCGCGCAGAGAGCGAGACGAAGGAGGAAGAGGAGCGGGGAACAGGAGCTGGGAAGGTCAGTGCGCGCGGTGGTTGCGTTCGAAGCGGACCGAAGGGAGTGCTCTCCAGGTAAACGAGTCCTGTAGATCCAGCTCTGATCGAGACGAGCCAAGCCGAAGCAGAAGCGTCCCCAAGCCTCGCCGCAGAGAAGTACGCAGGACAAGGACGCGAGCACACGGCGGCGTAGCTGTCCGGACGGTCAATACAGAGCAGAGCAGGAAGTCTGAACGACGCGCAGATGTCGAGCGGATTAGGCTTCAGGAACGCCGATGACGAGGTGCAGGACGGGTGCGGCTACCTCTGCAATCCGCGCTGCTGCCTTCCGCTAACCGTGCTTGCCCGGTCCTCATCTTGCGTTGGTCCTTGTGTACGAACGTAGGCGTCGTCGTCCTTGTGCCGCGGAACGGGCCGGCCGATTGAGCCTTGGAGAAAAGTCGAAGCGGATTCCACCGCTCGCTGCAAGACGTCGTCGAGACGGTGCAGCCAGGTATAGTTGTGGACGATTTCGCCGAGGTATTCTGGACGACACAAAGTGTCAGCTTCGACGCGCAAAGAAGGACTAGGCGGCGACTCACGAGCGCGCTGGACGATGTCGAAGTGTTTTCCCGAAGAAACCCGGATCGGTTTCTGACGCCAGAATGACGGCATGGAGCTGAGGTCGACGTCCTCGTATTGCGCAGAATTGGGGAAGTCGGTGCCGTACAAGCCTTGGATCACGAGGCGGCGCATGAGGACCGGCACTGCGGAGGAACCGTCGGTCAGGTCAATCCAGTCCCGACTTCGCAGGCCATAGGGCGGGCGATGGGACTCACTGGCAAAGTCCACGTAACGTTCGCGCTCGGCGGACCCTTCGCTCAAAGCCGTTCGAGCCTTCGCCGGGTTCCATGCGTCCTCGCCCAGAGCCTCAATCATCTCGTCCGCCACCTCTTCAAGTCCGCTGAACGTCTGATAGATGGCCTCAAACTCCGAGTACCACATGACTGTGCCGAGGGCGAAGAGAAGGCGAATTGCGACCAGGTAGGTGTGTGGAAAGACGCCTGTGCCGGGCATGATGCGAGGCCGGTCGGAGCGAGACGCCATTCTGGAGAATACAAATGAAGCAAGGGATGGCCAGTCGGGGTCAAGAAGCGTGAGGACGCCGAGGCAACGGGACGAGGAGGAGAGGAGAACGCTGGAGGCGCGCAGTAATGGCGCCAGGCACCTGTTCGACCGCCTCTGCAGCCGAAGAATCCTTCAGCAGTACCGCCGCTGATCAAATCGCCACTCAGACGCCTGTATGGCGTGTGCAAGGGTGTGCGAGGGCAGGAGGAGCGAGGCGGGAGGGTGCGTCACGGGGACAGCCGCGAGCTGGCCTGCTCCGGTATAAGCCTTCTGTAGGCCCAGAATAAGCGATCACGAAGCCTTCAGACGAGCGCGAGGGTGGTGTCGTCGTCAACCCTCCTTTCGCGAGGCGAGTCCGGTGTTCTGACCTCGATCCACCGCTCGACTCGCTCGTGCTGCTTCGCTGGTACTTCTGAGCTGTGCAGAGACACCCACAGACCCACCAACACCTCGCAAACACGCGCGAATCGCGAGTTGCGACCCCTCAGTCCGCCTCATCGCTTCACGTCGCTGCCCTCGGATGGAGAGCAACCCCATCACCTCGGTCGACGAGCCAGTGCAGTCCACGTCGCTTGCAGACTCGGTGAGTCCAGATTCAGCATCTCTCCCAGTCCTCGCGCGCGAAGGTCGCCATTGTTTCGACACCACCTCCCCACCGACTCGCTCCCCACCTGTGTTTCCTGCCCTCACAGGGCGTGCGAGGGCCATTGCTGACGGTTGACGAGTTTGTGCTACCTGTAGCTCGCCAGCGGACCGCCCGCGCTTGCCCCTGTCGTCCCCGCCATCCCCTCGACATCGTCCAACCCTCCCGGCACGAAGCCCGTGCGGCCTCCCAAGGCGGCTCAGCGGCCGTCGACCGCCTCGCGACGCAGCTCGATGGCTGCTGGAGGAACCGCTGAGAAGGACACCGACGCGAGCGAGGGGACAACGCTGGCTGGCGGATCGGATATGGCATCGGTCGAGAAGGTGGACGACGCAGCGGCGCAGGCGTCGCTGGGTGGTGCTGATGCGGCTGCGACTACTTCCCCGACGACTGCGTCGACCGGAGAAGCGTCAAAAGCTGCCGCGCCGCCGACTGACACGACTGTCAACACGCGGGGTCCGTCTACCGGTGCGGCAACCGGCACGAGCCAGGCTGCAGCTGCGACCGGCGCAACCACTACCACGACTACCGCACAATCTACTTCGTCCCCTCGCGCAAACACCTCGTCCACCACCGCCCCGCCTCCTGCTCCCGCCCCCTCTGCCTCGCGCACCGCGCCTAACACCGTCAAGAAGAAGCGAAAGGGCCCGTTCTCGTTCCTCCTGGCTTGCATCCCTTGCGTCGGCTCGACAGGTCACGAAGACGAGTCGACAGGTCTGCCGAAGCGACCGTCTACCGCCGCCCGGATCGTCGAGAAGGAGCAGGAGAAGCGCAACACGGCTTCGGCGAACGCTTCCGGCTCCGGCTCGGACGAGAAGGACGCGGTGACGATGGACCCGAAGGAGGCCGAGCAGGAGGCGAACGAAAAGGCGGCCCTCTCGCCCGTCCAGCCCGAAACCGCCCTCACGCCCACCCAGACCGAACCCCTCACGACCGCCGCAACTCCCGCCGACACTCCCGTCGCTACTCCTCCTCCTACGTCTTCCCCTTCTCAGCGCGGTGTCGTACTCTCGCAGGAAGAGACTGAAGGCGTCACTTCTGGCGCCGTCGTCCCTCCCGGCCAGGCTGCCCCTCATCCGCCTACTCCTACGTCGCGCTCGAAGCGACGGAAGGGCGGCAAGCGAGGCGGCGCAGCGACTGACGGTATCATCACGTCCGTTCCCGAGCCTGGCATGGTCGCCGGCGGGATCGTCGTTGCCGGCGCGGAGGAGACGTCGAGCGAAGACGTCTCGGATGAGGATGAGGAGGACGTATCCGACGATGAGGAAGAGGAGGACGAGGAGGCTGGCTTGATCGCGCGAGGAGGAGTGGGCATCCCGATCGGCGAGGATGGCCTGCCGCATCCGTTGTTGGAGGAGCTCGCGGCCGACATGCACGGCAGAAAGTGCCTTGTGCTCGATCTCGACGAGACGCTCGTCCACTCGAGCTTCAAGGTGAGTGTGATGCATGCCTCTCGAGGCCGCAGGCTCATTCAGCTGGAACGAGTCTCGGTGCGAGGCGACGGTACTGATCCTCCGTTCCTCCACAGATGGTCCACCAAGCCGACTATGTCGTCCCCGTCGAGATCGAGAACCAGTTCCACAACGTCTACGTGATCAAGCGGCCGGGCGTCGATGGTGAGTTGCACCGACCCTAGCTCACCTTCTCTCCTTAACGCTCACACTCTCTTGCACAGCCTTCCTGCAAGCGATGGGCGACATCTACGAGATCGTCGTCTTCACCGCGTCGCTGTCCAAGTACGCCGACCCCGTCCTCGACCAGCTCGACGTCCACCGAGTCGTCAAACACCGCCTCTTCCGCGAGAGCTGCTACAACAACAAGGGCAACTATGTCAAGGTGCGCACGCGCTCCTTGAACCGCTGGAAGAGATGATCGCTGACACTCGAGACCTCCCGCAGGACTTGTCGCAACTTGGTCGACCGATTGGCGACTGCATCATCATCGACAACTCGCCGGCCAGCTACGTCTTCCACCCGAACAACGCCGTCCCGATCAGTAGCTGGTTCAACGACCCGTGCGTGAATCTGTCCTATTCTCCCTCTCGCTTTACTGACGGCAACTCGCTCCGTGCAGCCACGACACGGAGCTTACCGACCTCATCCCCTTCTTGTCCGACCTGAGCGCCGTCGAGGATATTCGAAGCGTGCTCGATGCGAACCTGTACCCGCCGCAGTCAGCGGAAGCGACCACCGGCACCGACAGCCAGTTCCAGCAGCTCTAGACGACTCACCTCTCGCCGCCACCGCCCATGTCTCGTACTCGGCCCGTCTCGCCCGCGCAGACCCCGCATTCACGATACCCTTGCAACCTCCCGAGGGCTTTAACCTCTACCTCGCCTCCCCGCCTCCTTACGGACCTTATTCCGCCTTTCGCCCTGTACTTTCGACCTTTCCCCCTTCACCTTCTCACACCCGTACCTACTTCTAATGCTTGACTCTGCCGGCTCCCGCCCTTTCAGGATACCCATACCCCTCGACCTCTCTCCCGCCTCATCCGGGCCGTCAAAAGCGCATACACGCCTGCCGCTCCTCCGTCCCGCCCCCAGCGTAGCTCGGTCTACGTCTCCTCACCCTCAGTCACTCGTTTTCGTGCCCTCAACTGTGTGCTTGTCGTTTTCCTTTCCCCGTCCTCTCCTCTCCTCGCCGTAATCCGTTTCGTGTGTCTCCTCATGCATCGCGCGGTTCTTTAGCTTCATCGGCGGGCTCGAAGGGCTCTCTTCCCACTTTCTACGGGCTCACAAAGTCGCAGAAAGCTTTATCGCCGTCGGCCTTCATCGCGAACGAACCGCTCCTGCTTGTTGATCTCCCACTCACACTCGCTCGACTTGCTGCTGTTCTTTGACCGCCTTGTGCATTGCCTCAGCTAATAGTAGAGCTCTCACACACACCAGCCCGCTCTCTCGCCCTTGCTGTCGACACGCACACCATCTCGTCATCTCGCCTTCTCGACGCGACTCTCTCTCCCCCTCAGACCGGCTTGACGAGCACGCCCGAGCATGTCGCGACCCTACTTCGACCGCACCGCCGAGTTCCGCTCAGCAGTCGAGTCGGCCGCTTTCCGCGCCGCCTCGTCCTCATCCGGCGCGCCTCTCCTCCTGAATGGCTCGAACGCACAGGGCGCAGCGGGCGGGAAGGGCAGGAACGCGCAGAGGAGCGAGTTTGCGAGGATGGCGGCCAAGATTGGAAAGGATATCCAGGCGACGACGGGCAAGCTCGAGAAGCTCGCGCAACGTGAGTGGGGTCGCTTTCGTTCGCTCGCTCAGGGTTTGAGGCTGGCCTGCTGAGCTGGCTGATCATTCACGGTTTTCATACACACGTACTGAGTTGCTTTTCTCGCTGTGTACAGTCGCGAAGCGGAAGACGCTCTTCGACGACCGACCTGTCGAGATTAGCGTGCGTTTCGCTTCCTCCGTTGCAGGGTTTTCGAAAGTCTCCTCGCATATGCTGACGCGATGCCGCGCTCTGCAGGAGCTCACATACATCATCAAGCAAGACATCGCCGCGCTCAACCAACAAATCGCCCAGCTTCAAGCCTTCACACAGTCCAACCTGAACGCGGGAGCGGGCGGGAAGCAGGTGTCGGAGCACAACAAGAACGTTGTCACGATGCTGCAGACGAAGCTTGCGGACACGACGATCGGATTCAAGGATGTTCTCGAGATCCGGACTCAGGTGCGTGGAGGATTGCCTGCGCTTCAGTGCATCCACTTGCCCGAGACAACATGCTGATGACCTTTGTGGACGATTCTTCAGAACATGAAGGCGTCGCGCGACCGAACAGAGCAGTTTACGTACTCTGGCGCCTCGAACCCTCGCAACGCTCCTCCTTCAGGTGAGCTTTCGTTTAGCTTCGTCTCGCTTGCTTTGCCAGCAACGAGTCTTTCTCCGCCTGCCGCTGACACGGCGCGGGTCATGGCGCGTGGCAACCCTTTGCTCACACCAAGTCCTTCGTTCTCGCGGCGTCCCTCCCTCCCAATCTCCATCCCGAACACACCCATCCGGCACCACCTCGACTCATCCGTACGCATCTACTTATCAAACAGACTCTCCACTCTATCGTCCGCCATCGTCCATGGGCGGTTCCAGCATCCTCGACTCGCAAGGAAAGGGCAAGGGCAAGGCGCCGGCGGGCAACTCGGACTTCCTCGCTCTCGATCTCGGCACGCCAACCGACAGCCAGCTCGGTGCCGCAGAAGGCGGGTACATGCAGATGGAGCTGGCGCAGCAGCAGGGCGACGACCAGTACCTCTCGTCGAGGAGCAGCGCGATCGAGACGATCGAGAGCACCGTCGCCGAGCTGGGACAGATCTTTTCGCAGCTTGCACACATGGTTGCGATACAGGGCGAGCAGGTGACGAGGATCGACGCGGACACGGAGGAGATTGCGACGAACATCTCGGGTGCCCAGTCGTGCGTTCTACGTTCTTGCTCTTCGTCGTTCCGTACGACGAGCTCGCGCCAACGTGCTGACTCGTCGTCGTTTCGATAGCGAGCTCCTGCGGTACTACGCCAATGTCTCGTCGAACCGCAAGCTCATGCTCAAGGTGCGCCCAAGTTCCCCTACCGCCGCTTCTTCGCATACTGACGGGTTTCGCCTCGCCTCCTGCAGATTTTTGGCGCCATTCTCGTCTTCTTCCTGTTGTTCGTGCTCGTGTCGTAGTTGCTGGCAACTTGCAGTCTTCCTCCTCCTCGTCGCCGCGAACTCCTTCTCTCCCTCGATAGCGACTCGGTCTGGGCGTTTCCGCTTGTAGTTTGCACACACTGAGAGCTCCTTGGTGGACAGCAAGCACACTGCGAACGCCTTGTGCGACTGTCACGCACCGCTTTCGCTGGTTGCCCTCCTTCGCTTCACGCGCTCAGCATGTCCCGCTCTTCCTGCAGCTCAGACACGGACAGCGACACAGACTCGTATGACAGCAGCGACTACATCAGCCGGCGCGCAGCACCAAGCCTTCCCGACGAAGTTCTCAACCTCATCAGTTCGTTCCTTCCGGACGACTTCGACGACCGTCGGCGCAACTTCAGCCGCCTTTGCCTCGTATGCAGACGCTTCTACGTGTTCTCCGTCCGAGCGATGTATCGGCGTATCTCTATCGCGGCGCGGGATGCCACAAATCGCGATTCTCCGACCTATCGCCTCCTCACGCACCTCGCATTTCGTCCAGAGTTCCGACCCTTCATCGAAGAAGTCGCCTTGGATTTCTCTCGCTGCGACTCGTATCGACTGTGGTGTGTCAGCGCAGCACTGCGGGAATTGACCAGCGTGCGAGCGTTCGATATTCCCGCAGACTTCGTCGAAATCGCAAAGGGACGATTCTGGGATGTCGGCTTTGCGACGCGGGAAACGCTCAGGCGATTCACAGTACGGTCGAATCAAGCGGGCGAATTCAACGACTGGCATATCGAGCGGGCACGCCTCCTTCCGCAGGGCGAGCTGCGTCTTCTCGGCGGGCGCAAGTCTGCCGGTGTGCATCTCTCTCCCATCTTCCCGAGTGACTTAGCGATTCTCGACGTCGAGATCAGCATTTGCCCTTCATGCTTCGACCGCTTGACCATCGATTCGGAAGAAACCCTCACTCACCTCTCTATCCTCGTTCGCGCCGACGACTTCGACCTGAGCGCATTGTACAATCTGCGCAGCCTCACCATCATGTCTCGGGCGGTCTCAATCAGCAGCGCCGGCAATTTCTTCGCGGCTGTTTCCGCAACTCTCGCTTCGGCCGCCGAACTCGACCACCTTCATGCCGTAGCGCTCACCTGCGGCAGCGGCGAGCGAAGCCTCTGGCCGAAGTGGATATCCAGAACGCCCTCGATGCCCCTGCACACCTGCCTCCCGACGTCTCTCCTTTCTCTCGACATCGCCGACGCACGCTTCGACTACGACGACCTCATCCCGCTCACCAATAAGCGCAACCTCCCTTCCCTCAGGCGCATCATCCTCTCAAAAGGTACTCTCGGCTCGATGATTTGGCCCTTCGACAAGTGCGAGCCGGAGTTGATCAAGTCGACTGTCGAAGGACATGCGGCGAATCGAGGAGTGCTCGTCGAGTGGATGGCGGAAGCGTAGCAGTCGCTGCCAATGCATAGGCTTGTTTTGGTCTCTCGCGGGCTGCGAAAGCGATCATGGATAGCGGAAAACTGAAAGGTAGCGGACCGCGAGCGGTTCGAAGTGAGAGGAAGACCAGCCTTGCAAGCTCTACAACCCGTTCGCATGCGCTACAACCCTTCGCCTGCACGAGAGCAAGCTTCACCCGTTCCCCCTTCACCGCAATGGGCCCAGCAGCTCGTCGTCGTCGAACGGATTGAAGGCGGACGACGGCGCAGTCTTGGTCGCAGCCTCGGGAGCGGTCGACGTCGCGAGATTCGGCGCCGCAAAGACAGGCGAGCTCGTGGTTTGTGGCCAGTCGAAGCCGGGCGAGAGGCGCGCCGACAAGAGGGCCGAGCCGACGGGACCGGCGGACGAGTGCGCAAAGTCCATGCGAGACTTAACGGGCGGCTCAACGGCGAGGGACGACGGCGTGATCGAGGGCGATGCGCCGGCACCGACGGGCGAGGGCAGCGACGAGCCGGGGAAGGACGAGACGGTCCCCGAGCGGGTGGCGCGGACGGCGGCGGCGAGACTTGGCGGCGAAGGAACCGACGACGTGCGAGTGTGCGCGGCGTTGACAAGCGGGAACGCGAACGCTTTGGCACCCGGGTTGAGGGACAAGCCGGCGCGAGGGAGGTCGTCGCCGAGGTCTTGAGAGGGCGACAGGCGGTGAGCGAGCATGACGCCGGGAGCGAGGCTGCGCGGGGGAAGGTCGTGCGCAGCGCCGTCGCCGACGACTCCAGCGCCGACAGACACGTCCGACGAGGTCGCCCACGGTGCAAAGGGCGAATGCGGCGGCGGGCTGAGAGGCGAGGTGGTCGCGGACGACGGCGCGGCGAGAGCTGGCGAGAAGGCGTTTGCGCGGAGGGACAGGACGCTCGGGGAAACTGCAGCTGCACCCGCCTCGACACCGTTCGGCTCGCTCGCCGCCTCTTCCTTCGCAACCTTCTCCTGGCTTGACCTCCTCGACACACCCATCTCGTCGACCTCGAGTCCCAGTCCCTGCCAGTCCGCAGGCGACGTGACGCCAACTCCGGCACGCAAAGTCGGCGAATCGGGCATGACGAACAAGCCGTCATCGTCGTCGTCCTCGTCGAGCATGTGGAAGAGCTGGCTCGGGATCAAGCTAGTCTGATGCGGCGTCATCGGGCTCAACGGGCCGTCGAGGGCAGGCGACTCGGTTCCGCTCGCGAGCAATCCCGAGTCGAGGTACTGCATCGGGAGGGCGAGCGCGCGTCCAGGCTTGTTGACGTTCGCACCGGGCGAGTTGTCGCCCGCCGAGCCTGAGCGAGCCGAGCGAGGCGGCGGCGAGTGGTCTTGCGCGCCGGGTGCGAGACCGTCAAAGTCGAAGGGAAGGAATTGGGCGGGGAGGTCGTCGTCGCCGATGCCGCCATTCGCGGCGCGGTGCTGCAAGCGGTGCTCGAGGAAGCTCGAGTGCGGCAGGGCGTGCGAGGTGCCGTTCGGTGCGGCCGGGAAGGACGTAGGCCAGCCGGATGCGGCGTCTGCGGCAGTCGAGTTGGCGTTGCCGTAAGGTGAAGGGTCGTCGAGAGGTGATACAGGGTGCGAGAGCGTAGGAGACGAGGGAGCTGACTGGAACGCCCCGGTGTGCGGGTCGTAGTGTCCAGAGCGGATGCTGGTCGGGCGAGAGTTGTTGGCGGAGAGCGGGTGGACGTAGGGGTAGTTGCGGCGACCGTAGCCACCCTGGCCGAGCGGAGCGGCGAAAGCGTTCGCGATCGCGCCGACGCCGCCGAGAGTCGCCGTCGCCGGACCGTTGAGAGGCGCAGCGACGCCGTAAATCGGCGCAGCACCCTGCGAACCACCCATTCCACGCATACCCGCCACGCCCAACTGCGCCAACTCGGCTCGACGACCGGCGAGGAGCGCCCTGCGGACCTCAAGCTTACGCTCCATGTCTGCAATCTTGTGCATGACCTCCTCGAGCCCCTTCTCCTTGTCCTTGAGCTCGTCGCGCTTCTTGCCCACGTCCTCGCGGAGCTTCTTCTCGCGCTCCTTGCGCTCGCGCTTCTTCTTCTCCTTGCGCTCGATCGCCTCTATCCCCTTGCGCTCGAGCGCCCTGATCTCCGCGCGCACCTTGTCAACCCGCGCCTGCGCCTCCTTGATGACGACCTTTCGCTCATTCAGTTCCTTCTCCGCCTCGACCCTCGTCGCATCCGCCGCACGCTTCGCCTCCTCCAACCCCTTCGTCTTGAGCTTCAACTCTGCGCGAAAGGCGTCCTCGTCGCGCTTCTTGCCCCTCAACACCTCCAACTCGTCCTGCAACCGCTTCTCACTCTCGGCCGCCGAAGCCCTCAACTCGTCCAGCTGCGCCTGCAACTCGACCAACACCGGATCCGTCGTGCCCTTCGCCTCGCCGCCCATCCCCGCAGACCCAGCCGAGCCCGAACCAGAAGAACCACCGAACGCCTCTTTCGCAGCTGCGAGAGCCGAAGCCGCTTCGTCCGCTGCGACGCGCTCGGCTTCTGCTGCTTCGCGCGCGGCATGCTCGGCTTTCGTCTTGAGTCGCGTGAGACTGGTCGGGCTCGAGCGGCGCTGGCCGGCGCGGAAGACGCGCTTGGTCAGGCGGGCGGCGGCGGGGGAGGTCTTGGAGGTTGGGGAGGGAGGGATGGACGAGTCGGCTGAGTGGGCGAGAGGGGACGAGGTGCGGTTGTCGATAGCTGAGGGGTTGTGCGAGAGCGGGTGCGAGGCGGGAGTCGAAGAGCCAGAGACGGTGGCCGAGGGAGGATACGAGTACGAAGGCGACTCCGTTTCTGCGCACAGCTGGCGTCAGTACATGCGAGCAGCATGATGACGAACGCACACGCACCCTTGTCGTCGTCCTCGACGATCATGTCCCTGACGCCCTTCTCGAGCCTGCCCCTACGCTCCTCCTCCTCAAACACCTCGTTGTCCCACCACTTCAACGCATACCACCTGCCGAAGATGCCGAGCCACAACTCGCCACCGAGTCCAAGCAAGGCGCTCAGTTCAGGATGCTTGCGCTGCGCCTGGATCTGCTGCTGTTTCGTCAATCCCGCGACAGGCGTTGCCGGTCGGGACGAGGGGACATAGACGGTGCTGAAGAGATAGTATGAAGTGAACTTGTAGGATGGCGTGCGGATAGATAGGCTGATACGGTTCGAGAACGAGAGGATGTGTCGGTTTGCGGCGGCGGAGGAGGAGGGAGGCGTCGACTTGGCGCCTGGTCGGGCGTCAGCGGCAGCTCCCTTCCGCTTCGCATTCTGCGTCGTAGGTAGTAGCGATTCCTTGCCGTTTGTCGCGGTCGTCGGTGCGCTCGCAGCGTCGGGGGCCGAAGTCGAGGATGATCGAGACGACGACGGAGGCCGAGAGGGCGACGACGAGAGGCGGCGGAGGTGGGTGTGGAACGAGAGCGAGGTCAAGTGCGTGCGGAACGATGCCGGGCCTGGGTTCGTCACGTAGGCTGCAAGGCAAGAGCACCCGGGCGAATCGGCGAGTTAGCGCAAGTGAGAGTGCGAGCGGTGGGCCCGCTGCCACTAAGAGATGCTGGACGCCTGGACGTGCGCCGTGCTGGCCTGCGTGTCCTCCAGCACGTGTACTGCCCGCTCGTGCAATCTCACGCCCGCCCGTGCCGTCTTGCTCGTATCGCCGCCTCCTCCCCCATCCTCGAGCAAGCCGCACCCGCTCACACGCCCGTGTCCTCCCCGCCCGTCGCTGCCAGTCCGAGCTGTTCGCGGTCAAACGCATATGTGTGTGCAAACTCACCGAGCAGGCAGAGTCCGACGAGCGCGAGCGCGGCGGTCCAGTACTCGCGGACGAGGTCCTGGACGGTCGCGGGCGCGAACGAGAGAGCGGTGGCCGCGCCCGTCCCCGCCCCTACGAGGAGCGTAGACATTCAGGCGGGCGAGTCTGGTCGGTGCAGCCCAGGCCAGCGAGGTTGTCAGCGTGGTTGTCAGGCGAGGAGGACTTGGGCGAGCTTGTTTCCGGCCAGACTCTGCAACACCCGCCGAGGCAGCGCTGATACAATGGACTGCTATCCGATAGTGTACTACGATTTGTCCATCCACTGCCGCAGCACTCGGAGCGAGTTGACCACACCTGCCAGCGAAATTGGAGCGTCCCCACAGGCCAACTCCGCAACCAACGCTCTACACCTCTCGACGATGCTGTGGACCGCTGGAGACCGTGCTTGAGGCTGGCTGGATTGTCCGCATCCGCTTGGGACGGCCGCGCGAGGCTCGCTCGTGTCGTGAGGACGGCAAAGGAGCGCTGGGGACGAAGGCGTTCTCGGGGACTTGGTAACGGCGCACGGCTTGTGCGGTGGGCTGCCCATGGAGCTGCTTGGATGACCAGTCGATGGGCAGATAGCACTGGGCCTTGCCGGCGAGAAGGGACGTGCCGGCTTGCTCGTTCGCTCGAATTGCCTGTGTCTCGACTTCTCTGGACCGCACAGCGCTCGAGTTCGATGTTTGTGCCGCCGCCACGCTCTCTACTGTCTCCTGGACCATGAACGTGTACTGCGCTCCCGCCTGCACGCCTCGTCGAGTGTCAGCCTTTTCCTCCTCCAGGTTCGTCCCTCTCTCTTCCCCTCCTCCCTCCGCTTGCTCGCCCATGATGCCTTCAGCATGTATTACCATACCTCTCACGAGGATGATGACCCACCTTCTAACCCGCCATCCCTCTCGAGGATCGGCGGCTGATGGCGACGCAAAAGTTTCGCGGACTTGACGAGGAAAGATGGGACGCTGACATGCCTTCGTGCCGTGACGCAGGTGCTCTCCCACACTCTGAAATACTCTCGCAACGTGTCAGATCTACGCGGACTCTCGCAGACAGCCTGTAGCGACGGGCACATCGGTGTCCTCGTTTCCCTCCGCTTTTGCAATGCCATCCGTCTCGCTTCGTTGCGGGATCACTCGCACGACTCGTAGAGGTCCCGTCTCACGCTTCTGCTCGTCTTCGTCGTCGAGAAAACCCAAGACAGCGCTCCGTCATCGTTGCCGCCCCACTTCCTCGCGCTTCCTCCTCTTCCTCCTCGCCCTTCGACCCTTCTCCTCCCTCCCTCCCTCACCCACGCTCCGCCTCGCCCGCCCCATTACCACATGCACCATGAACTCCTACCTCGTAGTCTTCAAGCCCGCCTCGGACGGCGCACACGCCGAGGACAGCGCCATCAACGACCTCGCGAGCAAGGTCGAGGGATCGGGCGGGAGCATCAAGCATCGGTATAACTCGAGGGTTATGAGGGGGTTTGCGGGGACTATGAGCGAGGAGACCAAGGGCGAGTTGGAGAAGGTGAGTCTTGAAGAGGAGGAGGGGATGGGAGTCGTCAGCGACGTGGAGTTGTGCTGACTTTTGTTTGGTTGGGTTGTGCAGCACCCGGGAGTCAAGTTCATCGGTGCGCAAGGAGTCTCCATTTCTCAGCTTCCTTCTTTCGCAGAACGAGGCTGATGTCGCCTTGTTCCTCGTCGCGCAGAGCCCGACCAGGCTGTCTCGACGCAGTAGACGCTTCACGACATCGAATCCAGCGATACCCTCGACTTGTAGCACTCTCGGAGGCTTCTCTTACCCTTGTACTCGACGACGTTTCAGGCGAAGATGGCTGAGGGCGTCGAGGGAGTCCTTTCTGGACGACGCTCTCGTCTCTCTCGACTGCAGCTTTCGCTTCGGACAGGCAATGACTACGCTCCGCTGAATCTCACCACCGACAACGCAGCTCACAACGACGCTCTCTCGGTCGCCGACCTTCGCAACCCTCGCGTTCCGACCGCTCATACGCACGGGCCTCCTCGTCGCGTGCGCGTTCTTCGCGAGCTTCTCTTCTCCCACGCAGAGCGCTCGGGCCTTCAAACCGATCGAACGAGGACGGCGGTGCACTTGCGAGTCTCCTCTCCCTTCAACGTTCTCCTCGCAGCTCGCTCGTTTCGCTCGTTTCGCTCTTTCCGTTCGGCTGTTCTGCTAGGCTTTCATTCACATCTCTCCGTTGCTCGTCCAACTCGCCGCGCCCAAGCCGTTCCTCCCGGAGTCCCGCGACGCTCGCACCCCGCCCCTCCTCGAACCCACAGCACGCTCTTTCGCTAGCTTACTCCCGCCTACAAGCGTCGTCCAACCTTAGTCACTCCTTCCAATCATGCGGCCCCTCCCCGCACTCCTTACCGCCCTCTCAGCCCTCACGTTCGCCCTCGCGCACACCCACTCGCCCTCCTCGCATACCCTCGAACGCCGCGCAACTTCATGCCCCGCCCTCTCCCCCAACGGTCCGATCTTGAGCCCCTATGTGACGGATTGGTTGAGCGGCGCGACGGCGAGTGTTCCGTGGGAGTCGGTGGATATGGCTTTTTACTTTTGTGGGTCGCCCCTTCCTCTCGAGGCTCTCTGAACTGTCGCTGATGCGTCAGAATGGACAGGCGCACTCACGACCGAGACGGGCGTCGGACTCGCACCCGGCACGTCCACCGCTGGAATGAAGAACTTCACGTCCGCCGCGAAAGCAGGTGCGCTGCCCATCCCTCCTGCCCGTCCTGCCTTTCGAACGAACTCACTGATGAGCTTTCGGGACTGCAACAGCGGGTAAAGTGCCTGTCCTCACGATCGGCGGCTGGTCAGGATCCGTCTACTTCTCCGACCTCGTCTCGACTTCCCAGAAGCGTTCGGCGTGCGTCCCGGTCCTCACGAGCGCAGAGCGGGTGGCAGACGCTGATCAGAGGTATCGACAGCTTCGCGAATACGATCAAGAGTTGGGTGACCAAGTACGGCTTCAAAGGCGTCTCGCTCGACTGGGAGTTTGGTTCGTTGGGCTGCCATTCTCCTCTCTCCCTCTTCAGTCACCTGACGAGCCCGAATATATAGTCGGAAAGCAGGGCGCTGGGAACAACATCGTCTCGCCGTCTGACTCGGCAAACTACCTTTCCTTCCTCGCCAAACTTCGTCTGACGCTCGGCACAAACTACATCATCTCTGCCGCCGTTCCCGTCGTTGGGTGCGTACCCCTCACGTGCATCTTAGACGAAGCCGACGACTGAACCTCCTCGACTCACGCAGCCTGACAGACGCGGACGGCTCCATCCTCAAAGACGTCTCGAAATTCGCTCTCTACCTCGACTACATCGAGCTCATGGCCTACGACATGTACGGCGCCTGGTCCAAGACGACCGGACCCAACTCGCCGCTTCATACGTGCGACGCCAACTCGGACTCGATTGATGCGGCGGTCAAGCGCTGGGTCGCGGCGGTGCGTCCCGGCAAAGGCTTGCCTGGTCTGTTTTCAGATTCTGTGCTGGACGCTGACCTGGGGCCCTATGACCGGGTAACAGGGCTTTCCCGCCTGCAAGATCCTCCTCGTGCGAACCTTCCCAACCACGCCTCTTCTCTACGAACCGCCTACTGACGCCTCACCTGACACGTAGGGCGTAGCCTCCTACTCCCACCGCTGGAAGACCTCAAAGACCAAGCTCTCGACGACGCGCTACAATAACCAGACGACCCAGGCTTTCCAGGCTCTTGCGACGACTGGCCAGCCGACAGATTCGGGGTGGACGGTGCAGCAGTTGATCTCAATGGGCGTGAGTACGAGTTCGCGCGCGTCTAAGTAGGACGTGGGGAGCTGACGAGGGTCACTTTGCGCAGTACCTCAGCGCCGACCTCACGACTGGTCAAGGCGGTTACACTCGCTACTTCGACACTTGCACTCAGAGTGAGTCGCTTCTCGTCTCTCCTATCGTGTCTTTCTTCGCTGACATTGCACCACACCAGCCCCCTTCCTCTTCAATCCAGCCGGCGCGCAGAAGTCGTTTATCACCTACGACGACGCCCAGTCGTACACGGCCAAGGGCAAGTTCGCTCTCGCAAAAGGTCTCGCCGGCGTCGTGAGTCCTCCCTCTCTCGATGCCCAGCAAAGGCTGACGTTCCTCGCACAAAGGCGATCTACGAGTCGACTGGCGCTACGCCCGCTATGTACGCCGCGCTCAAGACGGGCTTGAAGACCAAGTCGAAGCGTGCGCTTGCGTTCGGCGTTGACGGCTCGCTTACTGGACTCGAAGAGGGCCACTTTGGGTGGGCGATGGACGAGTCGGCGATTCTCGAGAAGGAGTCTCTTACGGTGAGTTGCGCTTGCTTGTGCCGTATACGGAGTCAGGCCTGACGCTTGCCCGAAGCAGGCTTAGACCGCAACGCCCTTTTGAATGGCGGCTTTCTCGACTTCCCCTGCTTCGCTTCAATTCGAGCTCTTATCGTTGGGATTTGGTCTTCTTACGGTGTTATCGGCGGTTCTGTAGAAGTCCGCAATCTTTGTGCGCTGCGCTGCTATATCCAGATCACGCTGTCGCGAGCCGCAAGTCGCATCATCAGGCCAGCGCGAGAGTGAAGGTCGGCATGGTCATCCTTCGATGCAGATGCAATGGCAGTCCCGTCTACCGCTTCTCATACAACCTCAGCACCACCCTCGAGTTCTCAAGCTTGACGTGCGCGCCCTTCCCCTCGTTGTACACCTCTTCCGCGCCCTCCGGCATCCTATACCACTTCGCATCGTCACTCTTGACGATCCTCCACGCTCCGCTCTTCCCCTCGCTACCGCACAACGCATGGTCGAGCAACTGGCCGAGCGGGTACGTCCGCCCTTCTTTGCCGAGCGGGATGAGCGCGAGGCTGGCGGACTCGACGATGAGGAGGTGTGTGCCGGATGGAGCGGACTGCGACATATGCGACAGGAAGCGGAGGGTCGAGATGCGGGATTGAAGGAGGAGCTCGCTGATGGTGTAGCAGATGGTGACGAGACGGAGAGAAGGGGTCGCAAAGTCGACAAGGGGAGAAGGCTGAGGTGGTGCGTCGGTATCGGAAGGTGGTGAGGGTGGACCTGCCGTCGACAGGATGTCGCCTTGAACGAACTTGACGTCGAAGCCAGCTTCCGCCGAAGCCAGTCCCGGCCACTCTTCCCGCAAGCCGTCCGTCATCTTGTCGAGAAGACCGCCCCACGATCCTTGATCCACTGCTTGCACCCGCACCCGAGGCCGCCGCTGTTCTGCATCTGCGACTGCCGCCCCCAGCACTCCGCCCAACGCGACAACCTCGCTTCCCGCACCGGCGCCTACCATGACGACGTCCGCTTCTGTCGGGACGTCAGGCGATGAATGCGATGGGTTCATGCGTGCCTGACGCGCCTGCACGGCCGCCGCAATCTCGTCTGCTGTCTTGCCCTCCTGCTTGAGCCGCCGTCTCAGCCTCGCAACTTCTCGCTCGAGCTCTTCCTCCTCTTCTTCCGTCCGCTCGCGCCCCTTGCCCTTCGCCCTCCATCCCAACAGCTCGGCGACGCCCAGCTCCTCGAAGATGCGCTCGTAGACGACCGTTCGAGCGGGCACCCATCGAGCAGCGTAAACTTCGCGCCACCGCTCGCCCTCCTCCGACTCGGTCCCGAACGCCTCGAGGTACTCTTTATTGTAGAGCAAGCCCTTTACGTATTGCAACGTCGGTGTGAACGTAGGCGAGCGGCGGACAGGGTCGAAGAGGCGTGAGAGGAGGGTGAGGAGGCGGGCGCAAGTTGTGGACACGTCGCTGGGCGCGGATGCGTTCGGTCGCAACCTTGTAGTACTTTTTGCGCCGGTAGTACGGCTATTTGAGGGCGTCGCCTTGGGGTTCCTGCGGTGACGAGCGATGTCAGTTCTGAGGGTGCAGCGGCGGCAACAACAGATGGGCGCACACGGCGAGTTGGCTGAAGACGGTATCAAGCTGTGGCATCTTCTCTAGCTCGTCAAGTACGCCGCAAGCGAGTGAGGTCAACCTGCTCGCTGTCGAAGTTGCTCTCCCCACTTCCTCTCGCCCATGTTCTCCCGTTTCCTCCGCTCCATCATGTCTGAGAAGCAGCCAGCGCCGTCGACCGTCAACTACATCTACAAGATCGTCACCGCCTCGAGCGTAAACCCTCGGTGCGCTTCTCTTGCTCCTTCCTGGATTCTCATCAGTTGAAAGAGCTAGAGCGGCGTCGAGGGCTTCTGGCGGGTTTGGCCGGTGCTGACGGGACTCTACTTTCACGTTTGCAGCTATACCTTTCCCCGGCCGATTCCTGCTAGTCACGTCTTTGCGCTCTCCGAGCTGGATGCCAAGGTGAGTCTCCTTCAAGACGGTTAGACTGCTTCCTTGCGCCTCCCGGATCTATACAGGCGTTCCGACGCCTTGGACGTGAGACACTGAACATCTGTCTGCCCGCAGGACGGCTTCATCCACCTCTCCACCGCCGCCCAGCTCCCCGGCACCTTGAACCGCTTCTTCAAGGACGACCCGCAAGTCGTGCTGCTCAAGTGCGACTACAAGAGGCTGAGTGGGTGGAAGGTGGTCAAGTGGGAGCCGGCGTCGAATGGCGAGAGTGCGTCTTGTGACCAATTCGCTGGACTTTCTGCTTGCCGCTCGCAGACTGACGACTTTGACCGCGCAGACTTCCCTCACCTGTATGCGCAGCTGGAAGGCGAGAACGTCGAGTCGTTCAAAGACCTCGTGAAGGGACAGGGCGAGATGAGCTGGGATGCGGCGTTGCAAAGGGCGCGGCAGGAGGGGTGGTTGCAAGATTAGGCTTTCACTCGCGGTTCTCACGCTGGCATCGAAAGAGAGGCATGCGTCGAACGATTAGGCTGGTATAGCACTGCCACAGAATATGCAAATATGAGGTAAAGAGACGAGATGAAGAACGAAGAGGGAATGCGCTGCAAGATGAAGGAATCTATGGGTGGGTGAAAGGTGAGGGAGAGCGAGGGTTTTACGTCGCCAACTTGGAGCGGGCGCGGACCTGGGCGCCATACTTGAAGAAAATGAAGGGGATGGGAAGCATGGCGACGGCGAGGAAGGCGAAGAGGGCGCCGGACCAGAAGTGACCGATCGAGGCGTAGAGAGGACTGCGAAGGCTCGATAGTTAGCGCTGCTCGATGCACCGGAGGAAGTGAAGACGTACGGGATCCACATGGGCATCGAGGCGCCGACCATCGAGCGAGCGAGGGTCTTGGCTGCCATGGCACTCGCCGAATACTGCGAGAATGCGCAGGCGATGTAGGTGTTCGCACTGACGTAGATGCTGCAGGCGGGCGGGATGGACGATTAGTATTCTCGTAGCCGAATCTTGCGAAGAGATGGGAGGACGCACCCAACCAACGCAAAACCGAACGGAATGCCCGAGACGAGAGCGCCAGCCCAGTGGACGTGCTTGATAGACGTCGCGGCGAAGATGAAGAGCGAGATGGGGAGGAGGGTGGAGCAGCCCATCATGAGGGGAAGACGGTACTCGGCTGCGTGACGAGGTCGGCGGGTCAGCATCGCTTCGCTGTGCAGTGCGCCCCGTAAAGGAGCAGGCAAGCTTGTGAGCGGAAGAAGGAAGGCAGAACTTACGGTCAATCTCGGCGCCGTTATTCTCGGCGACCTTGCGCTGGTAATAGCGCTCTTGCACCGGGCCGGCGGTGGCGCTGACGAGGATGATTCCGACGAGCACCGCGAGGAAGGTGAGGCCAATTTCGGTGGCGTTGAAGCCGTGCGCGACGAAGACAATGGGGTCTGGATGGCGAGAGAGTCAGCGGGACGACCATGGGGAAAAGCCCGTCGCGCAACTCACAGGCGAAGAAGAAGGCGTAAAGGAGTCCGTAGATCAGGCAGAGGTAGCCGGAGAAGAGGATCATGATGGGTTCGGTCGTAAGGAGGACGAGCGGGCGGAGGAGGGTCTCGCGAGCGACTTCAGCGAGGGGGCGACCCTGACGCTCCTGCTCGGTCATGATATCGGGGTCGCCAGTCTCCTTGCGCATCTTCTGAGCACGCCACTTAAGGAGAGTTGGGGAGTATCTACCGGGTGAAGCGTGTCAGCTTCGTTCTGCGAAGGTCGAGGAGGAAAAACGTACGTTTCGACGAGGAAGGCGGAGCAGAACGCCCAGTTGACGCCAGCGTAGATGAACAACACCCACCACATCCATCGCCATCCGACGGAAACCGTGAGGGCGCCACCAATGAGAGGACCGAGGCAGGGAGAGGCGCTGTCGACGAGGAGACGAAAGTCAGTCTTCGGAGCTCAACATCTCCCGTACGCGTGATTCTGCGTGCATTTATGAGCTCCACAAGAGCACACGCGCGTAGAAGGAGCGAGTGTCCAGGAAGAATGGAGAGACGCACAAGAGGATCCCGCTGAAGGCAAACATCTTGTTGCCGCGCTCGTTCACCGCCCACAGGTCTCCGATAGAACCAGCCGCGTTGCACATGGTACCTGCGCACGAGCAGCCAGCGAGGAAGCGGAACACAATGAGGACGGCGAAGCTGTCGGTGACGCCTGGAAGGCGCAGGGAAAGGCGGGCGGTCAGTTCCGACTCAAGCTCCCTAGTCCCCACCCATACTTGATCAGAACCGCTGCACGTACATTCTGGGAGGGTGAAGATGAAGAAGAGGAACATGGAGACGATGTCTGTACGCCAAGAAGGTCAGCCAGAGACGAGGAGGAGGGCCAAGGGGGTCAGCCAGAGATAAGGAGGGAGGGGTGAAGAGCGGAACGTACAGACGATCTTGCGGCCGTACATCTCCGACAACGGCGAAAGAAGAAGAGGTCCGAGACCGAAGCCGACGACGAAGACGCAGACTGTAAGGCCGGCGACGAGTTCGCTGACGCCGAAGTGTTCGCCCATTTCGGGTATGCCTCCGGTTATAATCGAGCTGGCCAATCCGGATTCGAAGCAGAGGATCGTGGGGAGGAACGTTTGGAGCCTGGGTATGGGAGGAGGTGTCAGCGGATGGTCTCGACGGGAGGGCGTCTCGCGCCCACTCACCACTTCTTCTTCGTCGACCAGTTACGCGGGTTCTCGGGGTCGTTCGGCAGCCACGTTACGAGCTTGGCGTCGTCGAGGCGCGCCCCCTTCTCGGCGTCGACAATGCCCTTGCCACCGGTTGGCGAGCGCGAGACGAGCGTTGTCTGCGACCGCGTTCGTACGGCAGCAGCGACATCGGCTTCAGCTTCGCGGGCGAGGACGAGGCCGGTCGGCGAGGTTTCTTGGTAGGCGTCGGTGTGAGGGCCGGCTTGGGTGAGCTGGGGGAAGGTCATCTCCTCGTCGGTCGAGAGGGGGCGCTGGAGAACGCCATGCGAGATGGTGCGCTCGAGCCGGTCGAAGGCGGGTGCCGACATGGCGTGGGTGTGGAGTGAGGGTGAGAGGCTGATCGAGGTGAAGGTGGTGTTCGAGTCCAGGGTGACTGTGAGTAGACTGGCTAGCTTGAATGAGCCTATTGACAGTCAACGAGAAGTGTGAGGAGGAAAGAGAAGAGAGGCGCTCGCCTTTTACCTGGCGTCGAGGATGGCCGCGGGAAAGGTAGCGAGGGTGGAAGCCGACCTTGGCAGCGGGGCTCCTTCGAGTGTGCGTACGGCCTGCGAGGACTTTGACACGCACAGTAGAGCAGTTGAAGGATGGTAAAGCGTCCGCCGGCCAGCAAGCGAGAGCTTCCCGTCGACAGCCCGTGACTGAGAGCACCGGTGACGCTGGCAACTAGCGGGAGTGATCTTCCAGCGTTTCCAAAGAGGTGCGCAGGGATAGTTAAGGCAATGTAGCATCCCAGTGCATGCACACAGGCCCGGGGGTGCGTTCGTCGCTGTCCTGCAACTTCATCAGTCGAGGAGGACGATGGGGTGTCCAGATCTGGAACCACCTCCGCCGACGGGCTCGCTCGCCGTGCAAATCACCACGTGTGATTGTCCAAGTCGATCGGCGTCCCCAGCGAGGCCCTGGAGCGATGTGGTCGGCAGCCGAGGGAGTCTGAGGCGAGTTGCCGAGGTGGGTGAGCGGCGAGTGCGGCGGCGAGGCAGTCGCGGTTGAGTCGCGTCATTACTGTGGCTGATTTGAGCAGATTGAGCATGGCAGCAGTCCAGGCAGAGCGTGGCAGCGGTGTGTGAGGAGGAGGGGGACCCGCGCTCGCTCGTCCCTCTTGACCCGGAGCGACAACTCGCTTCCGGCTTTCCTCTCTTGCTGGCATGGCTGCTACACCTACCAGATTCCCCAATGCTACGCGGCGCATCGCCTGCGTGACCGGCGCTTCCTCGGGGATTGGGAGGGCGTGTGCGGTCGCTCTGGCGAGGGAAGGATGGACAGTCGTTATCTCGGCGAGGAGGGCTGCAGACCTCGACGAGACCGTGCGACTGGCGAAGGAGACCCGGCAGGCGGCGGAAGTGCGACCTTTCCCGGGTGATTTGGGCAAGCCGGAGGATGTCGACGCTCTCTTCGACTTTATCCGGCGAGAATACGGTGCTTCTTCGGTCCCTTGCTCGTTCTCTGCGCGCTCATCTTGACGAATTTGCTCTGTCAGGCCGCCTAGACTTGCTCTTCAACAATGCCGGCCGGAGTGTCGCACCTGTACCGCTCGAAGAAGTCTCGCTCGAGGATTTTCAGTCCATCGTCGGCGTCAACCTCGTTGCGGTGCGCTGGCATTGAGCCGCTCGAGTGCTGCTCTGAGGCTCAGAGCACTGAAGGTGATTCGAAACCGCAGCCCTTCCTCGCGACCCAGCACGCCTTCCGGATCATGAAGAACCAGACGCCTCAAGGCGGGCGCATCATCAACAACGGCTCCATCTCAGCTCACACGCCTCGACCCTTCTCTGCGCCGTACACCATGACCAAGCACGCCATCACTGGCTTGACGAAGTCTGCGGCGCTCGACGGCAGGGCGTACAACATTGCATGCTCGCAGATTGACATCGGTGCGTGCGGCGGACTGCTATTCGCTTGCTGTCGTATGCTGATCCTCTTCCTGTGCAGGCAACGCCGAGTCCGCTATGGTTGGAGCAATGAAGCCAGGCGGAAGTCTTCAGCCCAATGGCGAGCGGATTCAAGAACCAGTCATGCCGGTCGAGCATGTCGCGGACGCTATCGTACACATGGCGAGTTTGCCGCTCAACGTCAACATCCTGAACCAAGTGCGTTCTACGCCCCTTTCTTCCCCTTTGTCCTCGAAACCCACGCTCTCCTCTCCTTGCAAACCATCATGGCGACGACGATGCCGTTCGTCGGGCGCGGCTAGTCGCGCAAGGCGCTGCCTCGTATGTAACCGCCGCCTGGCGGTTGCAGGGATGTAAGGTCGAGCCAGTGTTGCAATATTCGAACAAGGAGGACGAACGGAACCATCTCTCTTCTGTCCGGCTTGCTCGCGCCCATCCAAGCTATTCGTGAAGCGTTCTTCAGCACCCACAAGCGAGCTGGAAGCGAAGGAAGCTGAGCTCGTCGACCTTGACCTCTTCGCCCGCCCCACCTCGCAGGTTGCCCTCCTCCTCACTCGCTCACTTCGCTCAAGACCCGCTGGCCATGTCGAACCGCGATTCTAGCTCTGTGCGCGACTCGGTCGTGTCCTCAACGTCGCGCTTCTCGTCGCTCCTCTCGCCCGGCGCCTCTTCATCAGCAACCTCGACCTTCCCCATTCCACAGTCCGTCCCATCCCTCCCGCCGCTTCCAGCGAACCAGAAGCGCACGTCAGTCATCTACGATCGACCACTGGTCAAGTCTCGAGGGGCGGAAGTCAGTCTGGGGGCGTGGGCGTACCTGTTTGCGGAACTCGTCCAGTACACGCAGAAGCGGGTGAGCGGGATCAGCGAATTCGAGAAGCGGTGGGTGCTCTCGGTCCTTCCTGTGCACAGCGTACAGCTGACGAGATGGTTCGCGCAGGCTCAGCATCATCGGCTATCGCGTTGGCGCTCGACTACTCGAACTCCTCCCTCTCCGCGACTACCTGTACCCCGTATCCTCTCTTCGCTCGCCTCCTCCGCCCTCTCGAACACTCCGACTACTCCCCATCCTCACCTACGTCCACTCGACTCTGTACCGCTACCTCTTCGGCCGACCAGCCGACTCGCTCGAGCGGAGTACGGACAACGACGACGAGTACATGATTGGCGATGACGATATGGTTATTACCCGAGGAGTCGAGGTGCCAAAGGAGATGAAGGACTTGAGCTGCGGAGCACTTGTCGCGGGCATCGTCGAGGCGGTCATGGACGGGGCGGGTTTCGTGAGTCCGCGTTCGCTTTCCGCTCAAGCTCCTTTCCTCGCCCACCGGTGTCGAAGCTATCTCCGCTGACACTCTTTCGCCCGCACAGCCCGCACGGGTAACAGCACACTCCGTCCCATCTCCTCAGCATCCTCGACGGACAGTGATCCTAATCAAGCTTGACCCCGACGTGCTGGCACGAGAAGCGGCGTTGAGCGGCGGCAAGTAGAGATTACAGACTATTTCAATGCATTTGGTTACGCAACCTGCGCGGCATGCGGATGAAGCAGGAACTTGGCCCACTCCCATCGGCGCGACTGCTCGGTAACATCCCCCTCATCGCCGGCCCTCGCGCGATCAATGCAGTCGGCGATGAACCAACAGGCTGCGACCTCGTTGTCAGCCGTAGCCATGTCCGTCGGGCGATCGAGCAATGCCCTCAAGACGATCGCAGCCTCCAACTCCTCCGGCCACCAGCCCGCGAGCTCCCAGTCGATGAGGGCGGCGAGATGGCCGTCGCGGACGAGGATGTTGCGAGGTTGGAGGTCGCCGTGGGTGAGGACGATGCGAGTGTCGAGGCGAATGTGCGGCGCGATTCCCGAGTCCCAGGTTGCGGGTGACATGCCGCTGGCGAGGGCGCACTGGCGAGCACAGTCGAAGAAGTTGGTGATGGACGACGTGGGCGTGTAAGGTGGCCATTCGGGTCGGTGGAAGGAGTGGAGGGCGGCCCCTCGTTCTCGCTGGTACGAGGCGATGAGTCCGTTGGCTGGATGCGGCGCTTCTTGCATCACTTTGAGCACTTCAACAAGCTCGTTGCCGATCGTCTTCTTCGCTGCGACGTCGAGGGAAGGCCATGCCTTCTCCAGCTCCTCGCTTCCTTCAACATACTCGAGCTCGATGCAAGTGCGTTCATTGTCAGCGGTGAGATGCAGGACCTGCGCAGCAGTTCAACGTCAATACTGCATATCTCGCCAAGACCTGCGCGCGAGAACGCACCGTGGGAACCGGAACCGTCGTGTGCGTCCGCACCCATTCTGTGATCTCCCCTTCCATCGCCGACACCCGTGTGCCGGTCTTGATTACGCGAGAGACACCGGTCGTGTACGTTTGGCGGTAGACTCGCGATTGGTTGAAGTAGCTGCAAATCAAGACGGTTTTCTCGACATTCGGGTTCTGTTTGCCTGGGTCAAGGTCGACGGGGAAGAGACCGAAGGAAAGTTGACCGTCGGCGACCTGCTCATGGGACGAAGAGTGCGCGCGAGAACAAGGTCGACTGATGTAGGCATCATACGAACCTAGCAGAATACGGGCAGCCGATGAGGAGGCCCAAAGAGGAGAGTCGGGTTCAAGAGAAGTAGTGTGTGGAGTGGCATCAGCAGAAGCAAGAGGAGGAGCAGCCTCAGGTGCAGCTGAGAAGGGGCGGTCCTCGAGAGGAGCGTCGCACGGTATGAGGGCGCCAAGAGCAGTGGGAGACGCAGGTCGGCAGAGGTCCGTGGGAATAGGAGGCGAGTTCAGTGAGGCCCTATGCAGAAAATGTCAGTACGTCCGCGCGAGACGCAAAGGAGGGTATAGGTACTCACGAAGACCGCTTCAAACGCAGAAAGCGAGCAAGGCGCTGAAAGCAGGACTTGCGTCGCCTCCGTCCAGCTGCCAGGCAACTATTGCGTGTCAGTACGCCCTTTGAAGAACTGTACGAGGTTGCGCACCCTCACGAGACGACATGTGCGCGCAGCGGACGAAGTTTCAGGAAAAGAGCGGGAAGGCGAGGGCGCGAAAACAGCCTGACTAGGCGTGCAGCGGCGATTCTCCACAAGATCTATAGCTCTGGCACAATCAGGCCGGCAGCGAAGTGGCGTAGAGTACGAGGAGAGGGAAGTCCACACTGCGACGACGGGGTACGATGCGTTCTCTTCGCAAGCTGTTCCCAGACGGCATGTGCTCCTGACCTTGGCTGTCAGTCCATCGCCCAATCAACAGCGTTCAAGCACTCGTCCCGTCCCAAGCCGCGATCCTCGCCTCCTCGCCGCCATATCTCCGCTGTCTTCCTCCCGATCCGCGGCAGCGCGACCTCCATTCACAAGGCCTGCGCTTGGCGAATCGACACTCTAATGCCCTAGACGAGCTTTCTTCTTTCGGCGCGGCGCCATATCGCCTTCGCTCAACATCCTGCACCTCTGGCACACTATGCGGTTTTGGGCTCGTGGTGCGTGTCCAGCCGCTTGTGCGAAAGTTCTTGTACTGACCCGTCTGCCCGCAGGTCGTCCGAAAGGGCGTCGATTGCGATTTGGGCGCCTCATCAGTTGGATGATAAGGAAGACCGATACGGAGTCCGTACAGCGCTTTCGTCGCTTGCAAGGACGTCGCTGACCTTCGTCTACACAGGAGAGCTTCGCCTAAGGTCGACAGCCGGAGCGAGGCTGTGGAAGTTGTCCCAAACTCACACACCGGCGAAGAAGCCCCTCCTCGGGGGATGTCTGGGTTCGCCCTGCTCTCCTCGCCAGCAATCGCAGTCGACGATCGTCGTACTGACAACCCACACGGTCTATTCCCCGTTTCCATCGATCCACCCGATGAGAACCCGGCGGTGCTCAGCACGACCTTCCTCATGCGCTGGTTCGACGAGATTATCATTGAGCGGCGTGACTACGTCGAAGGGGTGCCGCGGCTCATCAAGCAAGGAACCGAAGTGACGCTGGAAGAAGGCGAGATTGCTCATTGGGTTTGGAGGAACACGACTGTCCCAGTTCCTAAGGTGGGCAAGCAGGACGAGGAGCGAGGCAATGGCGAGACACGTTGACCCACGCTCCTCTCCCGCAGGTCTGCCGCGTCGGTACCAACGGCGCGTTGCCTTGCGTCGAATTCGAGTACGTCAAGGGAACCGAGAACCTCGACGACGCATGGCCTACGCTCGATCTTGCGGCGAAGAAGGCAATAGGCGACGAGCTCGTTGAAGCAATCAGGGCAACGCAGGACGCCCCCAGCCCCGCCCATGGGCTGATCGCCTCGTACCAACGAGATCGCGCGTGCGGTTTGCGCGCAGGGCTGAGACCCGAATGGCCGACCTACAGGCCAACAGCGTCGACAACCGAATTCTTCGACTGGGCTCGCCAATGCGCCCTGACCAGAGGGATGTCGCCCGCGACCTGGGACTCGAAAATCGCGCCGCACATTCGCCTCGACACTCGCATCGTCCTCACCCACGGCGACCTCTTCCCTCGCAACCTCCTCATCCGCGACGGCCATCTCGCCGCCATCGTCGACTGGGAGCTCGCTGGGTGGTGGCCGGAGGAGTTGGAGGCTGCGATCGTCTTGAAGGGACTCCAGGGTCGCCCGCCAGACATGGCTGCGGCGGACGACGAAGTCGCAGCCTGTTGGTTCATCGCCGACTGCATTGATCGCGCGAGGCCCGGCGACGAGGGGGATGTTAGCGAGCAGTCGCGCCGACGGGAGTGGGCCAAGTTCCTGCTTCATCCGAGCCTGTAACGACCGTAGGTTTGCTTGCAACTGTGACATCAAGTCGATCGCAGCGCTGAGAGTAGGCTACGCCACGGTCCTGCGATTACTCGCTTCTCCCTTTCTCGCTGAGTGGACCGTCTGTTCACACCGTCCTGCGCAAGTCCCTCTGATGAGCGCCCGCACACGATCCAATCCGTCAGCCTAGGCTGTGAGCGCGTAGACTACGACGAAATCTCTCAGGCGACGGACCAAACCCTCTTCGCGTCCTCTCTCCTGCTCTCTCTCTTGCTCCCTCTTCGCCGCCATCTCCTGCGCGCTCCTATTATCCCGCAGCCAAGCGGATGTCTCTGCAACGGTTTGCGCGAGCTACTCCACCGCTTCGATGCTCTAGACAAGCTCGCCTGCGTTGGCCCTGCGCCGCATCTCTCTTCGTTCAACGTCGTGCGCTTCTGGCACAGCATGCAGCTTTGGGATTGTGGTGCGTGCTTAGGCGCTTGTTGGAGCTTACGTACTGATCCGCACGCTTGCAGCTCGACCCAAGGAGCGTCGTGGGCGGTTCACTCGCTTCATCAGCTGGATGAGAAGGCGGACCGACAAAGAGTGCGTGCGGCGCTGTCGTCGCTCACGAGTGGGTTTTCTGACCTTCACATTTGCAGAAAAGTCACGCATGAAGCCGTCAGCCGATGCGACGCCGTGGACGTCGTCCCGGTCTCGCCTAACTTCCCGACTCCTGTCAACGACGGTCCCGCAACGGCAGCAGGGTCTGTTGGTTCGATTCGGTGCTCCCACTCCCTCCTTCCGACAGTGCGTGATGGCTGACGTACCTCTCGGACTTCCTTACTTCTACCTGATTCGACACCTGCGCCTCCCCTCATTCCGGCAAAGAAAATCCTCCTCGCACGATTCCGGGGTTCGCCCTGCTCTCCTCGGCAGCAATTGCAGACGAACGGCGTCGTCTCGATGAGCCACGCGGTCTCTTTCCCATCGACTTTGACCGTGGCGAGACGATACTCGAACCGACTGGACCTTCATCGCAGCTACCTGTGATGCCAAAGTCTGGCTAGAGAAGTACAAGACCGGAACGTCGCGCGCCATCAAGCAAGGAAAGGGAGTCCTACCGGAAGAGGCCGAGGTGACGCACTGGGTCTGGACGAACACAAGCGTCCCTGTACCGCAGGTGAGTTTTCCGATCTCCTTGGGGACTCGAGCAAGCTGCGCGAGCAGTCGAGCGCTGACGCGGTGCTCGTTTGGGCTCAGGTCATGCACGCCGACGCCACACGCAGCACGCCCCGCCTCGAGTTCGAGTATATCGACGGCAAGCAGCTCGACGAGGTGTGGCCGACCCTCGCAGCGTCGGAGCGCCAGACGATTGCAGACGAGCTCGTTCGAGCCATTCAGGCGATGCAGGACGCTCCTCCACCCGCGAACGGCCTGATCGGCTCGTACCAACGACTTCGCGCGGCACCTTTCCGCCCCGACACTTGGCCGCAATGGCCTCCTTACGAACCGACGACGTCCGCGATCGAGTTCTTCGACTGGGTACGCCGCTGCGCGCTGGCGATCGGCATGGCCTCGCAGACGTGGGACTCGGAGATCGCGCCGCACATCCGTCTCGACACGAAGATCATGCTCACCCATGGCGACCTCTTCCCGCGCAACATCCTCATTCGCGACGGCCATCTGGCCGCAATCGTCAACTGGGAGCTCGCGGGCTGGTGGCCGGAAGAGCTCGAAGGCGTCATCTCCGGCTTGCGTTCTTCCGATCAATGGACATCCCGCCCACGCAACAAGCGAACGTCGAGGCGAGTCGCTTCGTTGCGGATTGTGTTAGTCGCGCAAGAGGGTTTTCGGAGCACGACAAACGGGCGTTTTGGGCGGATCTTCTCTTTACTCCGAGTCATCATGGGCTGTAGGATGTGTATGATGCGATCGAAGTAACGTGCATTTCGAGGACGATGTACGATGCTGAGAGTGCTCTCAGTCGACCTCAACCAAGCGCTCCTCTGTAACCGGTCCCTCCCTTCCCAGGCCCTCCTCTCCCCTCCTCGCCGTGATCTCCGCCGTCTTCCTCCTGACCCACAACACTGCATCCTCCACCTTGACGACCTGCGCACGCCAGTCGATGCTCTTGACGCCCCTGACGAGCTCGCCTCCCTCGACGACGCGAACGAGGACGATCAGGCTTGCGACGAGGAAGAGGACGAAGCCTTCCGACCCAATCCTCCTGCCTCCATGACCACCGAGCCACGTCAAAAGCGTCCGTCCGCTCGCCCTCTCGACACCAACTTCCGCGTCCCAGCTCCCAACTCCCTCTCCGCCCGTCCTCGCCCTCACGTCTCCCTGCGGTCCAAACAACGCCGATCCACCTACCATTCCAGGCGAGTCGCACCTGAGGACGAACGAGTTCGTCTCAATCGCGCGTGCGCGAGTCTGGGCGAGCTGGGCGTGCGAGATGCCTTGACGCGAGAACGGCGTGTTCGAGGGGTTGAGGATGAGCTGCGGTTTCTCCGGGGGCGAGTCGGAGGAGACGGTCGATGGCGAGACGTACGACGTGAGGAGTGAGGGGAAGGAGATATCCTGGCAGATGGCTGCCGAGATGGAGACGGTCTGGAGAGGCGTGAGGTGCGGAGCGGGCGTGTGAGGCGGGTGCGGGAGTGTAACGGCCGCGAGAGGGAGAGCTTTTGACAAACAGCCGAGTGAGGGCGCTGAGCGTCCCGTGTGTGAGTAGCTCTCAATAAACGGGACTGAGTGTTGCTTCGTCGTCGAAAAGACGAGGTTCGGCGTCGAGGTGCCGACGGTGGAAGGGCCGACGAGGGTGGCGACGTTGAGGCGCTTCGAAGTATGCTGCGAGAGCGGCGGGGGGACGAGGTAAGTCGCGAGGACATGGACCTGCGAGTCGATAAGCGTAAGTCCCGGCTCTTCTGCGTTCGCTCAACCCAACTCACCTTGTACATATCGCAGACCTCCCCAACACGGCTCAACAACTCCCTCTCCTGCTCGCCCATCGCTTCCCACCCCTCTCCCTCTTCCTTCCTCGCGCCTTTCTCCAACTCGACAGCCCCCTCGAACCAACTCAACACCTTCGCTCCCCTTCCCGCTATGATCTTGGTCTCCTTCAGCCAGTCGTCGAGTTTTGCGTGTATTGTGTGGCGTGAAGAGGAGACGAGTGAAGTAGGGACGACGCAGGCGATTTTCAGCGGCGGGTAGACGTAAGCAGGATTGGCGGGCGAAGGGTGGGAGGGGTGGTAAGCTGGCGCGGGAAAGAGCGGGCCGACGAGGACGAGTGTCGCAAGGAAGGCGAGGAGGGTGAGCGGTTTGCGCGCCGACTTGCGCCAAGTCGAGTCGGTTCCTCCTGCGTCGTTGCCTTCTCCGAGCAAATCCCCCTCCCTCTCCTCGCGCCTCCTCAACCACTCCCAAACAACCATCGCACCCGCCACTCCCGCCGCTCCCACGCCCAAATCAACCGCAACCTGTCCTCCCACCCTCCTCACCCAATCCATCCCCTCACCCTCGAGCGCAGGCCGGACCCACCATCCCATCCGTCCCGTTCCCGCACTTTCTTCGATGATTCCAGCGAGCGCGAAAACCCATGCTGGCACGAGCACAGCCGTGAGAGACTTGGCTGCACCCGGCCGACGTTTCGTAGCGAGAGAAAGGAGCAATTCGCCCGCTGCGAGCGCGACGAGAGGCGCGAAAGATGCGATGAGTGCGTAGAGTGAGAGAGCGAGGAAGGTGTCCAATGGGGAGGAGAGGGTGGAGCTGGGTGAATTTGAGAGAGCGAGGGAGAGGGAAGTGCCGGTTGTGAGGGAGAGGAGCGGGAGCAGGAGCGCGAGGAGCCCTTGAAAAGGGTTCGGGGCGGTCTGGTCGCTTGATCGTGTCAGTACAAGCGTCGCACAGTCGTCGAAAGGCCCACGCACCGCAAGGAACGCCTTGATGGCGAGCAAAGTCGCTGCGATGAGCGGGACGGCGGCGAGAGGCGCAGTGGCGGGCGCAAGGGCGTACGCTGCGAGCGGTGCGAGTGCGAGCGTCGTCCACAGCTGAATGCGGTCCATTGAGCGGTATCCTGCGTCGTGAGTGAGCGGGAAGAGAGTGGGGAAGATAGGAGAGCCTTCGCAACTCGACGACGACGACGACGACGACGAGCGTGAGGTGAACCGTTTTCCTCAATAACAGCGAACGCCGATAGAGATCATGATATAGAACGGAAAGAGAGGTATAGATACTCCTGGTCACCGTCTCACATAACCACGCAGTCGTTGTCCCTACTCTGCTCCATCTCCCTCAAGAACTGGCCCGCACCGCGTCCTCCTCCCTGGCCCTGCAACTGGACAACCAGGACTCCTCCATTGTGTGGGTCCAGCGAGGCAGTGAGGCGCTCGCGCTCCATCAAAGAGGCGATGGCGGGCTTGATCTTTGCGACGTGAGAGGGAGAGTGGTTGCCCTTGCCGACGATGACCCGCAGCTCGGGCATGTTGCGCTGGCGGGCGTCCTGCACGAACGAAGCGAGTCAGACGGGCTCGCAGATCACCCATGTCCGCCTACCCGCAACCGCGAGCGAGCGAGTGGACGAAACGCACCGCAATACCCTTCTCCGTATACTCAATCGCCTCCTGCACATACAGACCATGCAAATCAATCGTCCCCTGCGGCTGGACCTTGTTGTTCTCTGCTCGTCCCGACGCATCAGCACTCGCTCATTCGGGCAATCGGAGGAGGGAGAGAGGGAGACGCACCGCGGTAGATCCACTCTGCGGCTTCAGCGTTCAACCGGTCTTTCTCGCGCTGGTGTTGCTTCCCTTCCATCGAGAGGTCGTGCGCGCGGCCGCCGTCGCCGGACGAGTAGGCGTTGCGGGAAGCTTCGAAGCATTGGCCCTGCCCAGTCCTCGTCAGCACCGCATCAAGAGAGAGGGAGGAAGTAGACAAACCATCAGATCGCCCTCCCTGATCGCCCTGTTGCGCAAATCGACATAATGCGCGTTCTGCGCATTCGCCATATCGGCATTCTGTTCCACCCCATCATCCGCATCGACAACCAGATTCCCATCGTCATCCAGATATCCCACCAAGCGATGGAGTACGTTCCGCGAAGGTCGTAACCAAGGCGGGACGAGGTGGAAGATATGTAGTTCGGGTAACCGGCGGCGAATGGGGTAGGGATTCCGCCGAGGACGGAAGAGGTAGCCCCAGTAAGGGGGGCGGAAGGAACCGGAGGGGTCGTTGAAGGTGTAGGTTTCGGCGGGTTCGGGGGAGCGTGGGTGGCGGAAGGAGGAGGGGGCGGTGGTTGAGAAGGTTGAGAGGAGGACGAGGGGAAGGGCGGTGAGGGCGATGAGCGGCGCGCGTGGTCGGTGTGCGGAGGCGAGGTGGAGAAGGGATGAGCGAGGGAGGGGAAGGGGAGAAGAGGGAAGAGCAGCCGTAAGCCTCGGTCCGAGGGAAGCTTCGCCCGCGCCAACTCTCCATCGACACCACCTCTCGACTATCTCGGCGTCAGAAGCGCCGCCACCTATCCGTTCCCGTCTCCGCTTCGTCTTCGTGGCGGAAGAGGGAGAGAGAGGCGAGGGAAAAGAGGTGGAGGGGGAACAGACGACGAGCGAGTTGAGGGCTCGTCCTTGCTGTTCCATCGACGGCGGGGGAGAACGAGTATAGCTCACCGTAGCCGGTCCATCATGCGCGCCGTACCCTCCTCCTCCCGCGTAGCCTCCCGCAACTTGACCGCCATGAGGTTTCCCGCCGTGCGCAGGCGGGTAAGGCGACGACTGCCACGGCTGTTGCTGCGGCGCGTGTTGTGGGTACGGTGATTGGCCATGTTGAGGCTGCTGCTGGCCGCCGTAGCCGCCTTGCTGAGGCTGTCCACCGTGTCCTTGTTGCTGCTGCTGCTGCGCCTGGTACTTCTTCCAGAATTTGAAGAGCTTCTTGGCGACGCGCACAAAGTCGTTGAAGGTGAAGCTCACTGCCGCGAGTGAAAGAGAGGAGCAGGCGTGGGTGTAGTTTGTCGGAAGTCGGCCGTGGGCGAGGCGGAGAGAGGAGGAGGGCGAAAGAGCGAGGGCAAGCCGTAAGCGCTTTTCCTCAGATCCCACACCCTTCTGTACCCTGCCTCGTGCATGCACAACGCCGCCGAGCGCAACGAGCGGGTGCAAGGTGTCCGATCGGTGGATTCGAGTGATGAGGAGGCGAGGGGAGTAGTCGACGCACTCTTGGACCGTGAGCCTGCGCTGACCTGTTCCTTAGATTCCGCTGTCTCCTATACAGTCCAAGCGAGTGACCAGCAAGCACAAGAAGAGCGAGAGAGCGAGACGAGCGAGTGTTGCGCGATGAGGGCGAGGTGAAGGGCGAGGCCCCCCTCGGAGTTACTCGTAATGAATACAAATTGGTTGTAATGGTTGAATGAATACAAGTGGCTTACCTCATGCTCGCTAAGTCCCTTACCCTCGGCACCTCGGCTCCTCTCTCTCTGCTCGCTGACCAACGCGGTGCTGCCCAACAGAGTGCGACTACTCTCTCACACAGCAGCTTCACACTCTCACACACTCCCACTCGTCGCCGCCGCTGCCTCGCACCTTTTTCCCCCGGTCGACGCCTCGGTATTTCATCAGCCGCCACTCTCACCCTCGCACACAGCGGGCATGCAGAGCTACTCGGTCATGAGGGACGGGTTCCCTCCTTTCTCCCACTCGCACAACCACCCGCCACCGCCCTCGTTCCCGAGCGATCCCTCACCCTCGTCCTCATCGTCCGCCGCGGCAAACGCTCCTCCCCTTCCTCCCTCTCACCTCGCATCGCAGCGATCGCGCATCCCGGCTTTCGCACAAGCTAGCGCACTCTCGGCGAGACGCTCGTCGACGGAACCTGCCGCACATGCCCTCTCCCGCCCCGACAACTCTCGACCCTTTCCCCCTTCGTACCCTCACGAGCAGACCGGGAGTGCCCGAGCGTCCGACCCGACGAGCTTGATGACCGCCCCATTGCCAACCACGAACCGGCACATCCCGGCATTCGGCTCCTCCTCCTCCTCTTCCACCGCGGACGTCCCCGCAGCCGCTCCTCCTCCATTCCGCCGCCCTTCAACCTCCTCAGCCTCCGCCTCAGACCCCTCCCGTCACTCTCCAGAAGCAGACAACGAATGTGCCGCGGCCCTCTCCGCACTCGCAGCCTCCGCACCCTCTCCCTCTCCCGCTCCCTCCTCTCAACCACTCCCTTCGCACCTCCCCCTCCCTCCAGCCGATGGGCGCTCACCGACCCTTTCCGCGCAATCTACTCTAGCAAGCAGCGCTGATTTCCCACTCGGCCCCCTCGGCGCCGAGGCGAATGGCGGGAGGGTGGCGTTGAGTCCTGAGTCGGGGGAGGGGTCGGGGTCGGGTGTGGGAGAGGGAGAGGAGGGTGCGAAGGGCGGGAAGGGGAAGAAGGAGTTGAAGCAGACGAGTGCGTCGGCGAACTCTTCTTCTGCTTCTGACGTGCGGCCGGGAGACTGACACTTTGTATTGTTCGTCTTGCAGAACGAGCGGCGCAGAACCGAGCAGCCCAACGAGCATTCCGCGAGCGGAAGCAACAACAAATCCGGTTTGTCTCAACCCTCCCTCCTTCCCTTCCCCTTCTCGTATTGACTTCCATGCTCGCTTCGCTTCGCTCGCGCACAGCGACCTCGAATCCCGCGCCTCTACGATTCCGCTCCTCGAATCGCGCATAACAGCCCTCGAATCCCGCTGCCACTCGTACGAACTCGAACGACAGGCGTGGGACCGCGAACGGTGCGCGCTGTTGGGTGAGTTGGAGACGCTGAGGAGGGTTGCGGGGGTGGAGAGGGCGGCGAGTGTGGGTTTGGAGGGGAAGAGGGCGAGAGAGGGAGAGGAGCTGGGAGAGGGAGGGGAGAAGAGGGTCAAGGTGGACGAGGAGTTCCCCAGGGTCGAGCAGGTTGAATGAGACCCTCTTTTTCGCCGCGTTCCTTCGCTTTAATCACCCTGCATGTGTTGTTGTCCTTTGCGCTCCCATCGATTCCCTACATAGCTTGTTTACCACTCTCCTGCAATCCTTTACTTCCTTCTATCCTATATCATCGAGCAAGCACGCGAGGTCGAGCTGAGCTGACTTAGCTTACACTCGACAACTACGTCCTCAAAGCCGCCCTCTTCCTCTTCTTCGCACTCTTCTCGATCATCTCCCTCACAGCCTTCTCATCCACCATCCCTCCTCCCCCTCCGCCTCCAGATCCACCAAGGACCTCCTGCTCGTAGAACTCGGCAACCTTGTTCGAGTCGTGCTGGCGCTGGAGGTACTTCAGCGCGGCGAGGTTGTAACCGAGGACATTCTGCGCGTGCCAGTCCCCGTCAGCTCCGCGAGAACACGGGAGGAGAGAGGGACGAGGACGCACCTTCTGCTTCTTGAGTGCGTCGCGGAGGTGAGACTTGAGCGCTACCATCGTCGGGCGGAGAGCGCGAGTCGCGACGATTTGCGAGTAGTGCGTGCGGAGGAGGAAGAAGAGGACGCGGGATGTAAGGGGGAGGTTCCAGCCCTGCACGAGCGACGGAGTCAGCCGATGTAGGGTAGAAAGGGAGAGAGACGGATACACACCCGGTGAGCCCAAACGTCGATGTGCTCGATGAGCTGTACTACCCTCCCGAACGGCAAGACGAGCAAGGCGTCCTGCAACTGCGCCGCGGGAATCGCCTTGACGACCTTGAGGACATACTCTTCCGCCGAGCAGTTCGAGTACATGCTGAAGACGGGATTACGCGTCGGGTGTGGCACGCGACTGGCCATCTCGTCCGTAGGCTGTCGGCGCTTCTCCTCTTCGTAAGCCGCGAGCGCAGCCTTGTCCGCCTCGGAGATCTCGAGCGCTTCGAGGATCCGCTCGCCCGCCATCAGCGTCTCGGTCGTCGACTTGGACACCTCGGTCGCTTCGTCTTGAGGAACTTCTTCGCCGGATGGAAGGACGCGCAGCTCGTCCCGGTCGCCGCGAGGGTTCGAGGCGTTCGCGTACATCTCCTCGAGCTCGCGCTCCCGTTCTTCTTCGAGGAAGAGCTGGGCGGGCGAGAAGCGTCAGCAATTGCTGCAAAAGAGAAAGGCCCAGGACGAAGGCGACGCACCGGCTCGTCCGTCTTCTCCCAGACGCGGATCGACTTGTCGTGCGAACCTGTCACGACAAAGTTCGCCTTCTGGCTGACCGCGAGCGCCCAGACTTCGCCCGAGTGACCCGCGAGCTTTTGGATGCACTCGAACTGCGCGCGAGAAGCGAACGTCAGCAAGCCCTCTCGGCTCGAGAATCGGAGGAGCGCAACGCACCTTGTCGCCGTCCCAATACTTGACCATCCTGTCCTTCCCAACGCTCCAGAACAAATGACTGCCCCGCTCAAACGCAACTTGCATGACCGACTCGTCGTGCGCGAAGAGCGAGCGGTGGCAGTCTCCGAAATCGAGGCCCCAGATCTTGACGTTCTTGTCGGCGGAGCAGGTGACGATCAGTTTCGAGTCGGACGAGATGTCGAGCGAGAGGACGGGGAGCTGCGTGCGCCAGGTCGGGTTAGCCGGTCAAGCGCGAAGGGAAGAGGACAGCCCGAACGCACCTTGTGACCGTAGAGCGAGAGGAAGAACTTGAGCGTGTCGGCGTAAAAGACCTTGACCGTCGAGTCGAGCAGCGAGACCGCCAGCAAACGTCCATCGGGACTGTACTTGACAGCGAGCACGTCGTCCGTCATCTTGAGCGTCCTGACGTGCGCGAGGGTGAGAACGCGGACGGGTGCGCCACCCTCGATTTCGGACGGTATTTGTCGGACCTCGAAATCCCAGAACTTTACGTCCTTGTCGGCGGAACCGGTGACGAGGCCGCGCTGGTCGGGTCGGACGTGGACTGACCACAAGGGAGCGGTGTGGGCGGCGAAGGTTTCGAGGAGGGAGGACGAGGACAGGTCGTAGAGGAGGAGCTCGCCGGACTTGGTGCCGACAACGATCTGCGAGTGAGGGAGGTAAGCAAGACTGGAAGGACTGAATCTCGAGACGTCGCAACTCACATGCCGGTCGCCAGGCAAAAACGAGCAGCAGATGGCGTATCCGCAATCCATCGTCCGCACACACCGCGTCGTCTTGACGTTCCATAGCTTGAGCGAGCCATGACTGGCCGAGGCGATGAGCTGGTCGTCAGAGGAGACAGCGAGGCAGCGGACATCGGAGCGGTGGCCGGGCAAGTCGAGCGTGTACATCTTGATCGGCTCAACAGCAGGCGCTTTTGACGATGCGGGAGGAGGGAGATTGTAAACCTCGAGCGAGTTGTTGGCGAGCGAGGCCAGGATCTGCCCACAAAGTGTGAGTGGTCGACTCCAAGGCTATTCGCCAGCTCCAGAGCCCGCTGGGAGAGCATCGCGGAGCACGCGAGACCGAGTCGAACGCACCTGCACCTCGCCCTTGGTCTTGAGCGTCTCGGGCGCGAACGAGAAGTTCTTGATCTTGCCGCTCGTCCGAATCGTCGACCACACCGCAAGCCGATCTCTCCACTCGACGGTGCCGTCGGGCGCGACCTCGAGCCCGTCTTCGTCCTCCCCCTCGTCCTCGCCCTCTACCGCCTTTCCCTTCCCCTTTCCCTTCCCCGCCTTGCCCTTCTCCTTCTTCTCCCTCTCGCGCTTCCTCCTCCTCGCCAGCTTCTTCCTCAACTCCTCCTCCGTCCGCAAGCGGAAAACATCGATCGCGCGTTCGCCCGAATGGACGGCAAGGACAGGCAGAGTGGAGTGAAGGGTGATTTGGGTGATATTGTGCGTGTGGTTCGGGTTCGGGAGGGAGAGGGCTGCGATAGGCGAGATGGCGCGCTTGAGCTTCTTCTTTGGCGGAGCGGAGGCGGCAACGGACGACGAGCGAGCCTGCTCTTCGTCCTCGACGACCGCTGCGACTCCTCGCAACAGCACCTCGTTGTCCACCTTCCAGCATTTGACTTCCCCCTCGCCTCCACCCGAAACGAGCACATTGCTGTCCGCGTCGTAGGCGAAGGACCACGCCTCGGACCGGTGCGCGACGACCGTCTCGATACAGTGCTGGGTCGTCAAGTTCCACATCTTGATGAACGTGTCCTTCGACGACGAGATGAGGTGTGTCGAGGGTTTCGCCGGTGGTGCAGACGTGGCGGCAGAAGTCGAAGTCGTTGCGTTGTCGACGTTCGAGTCGGACGAGTCGATCTCGGACCCCGGTCTCGGCGCGACAAACGCCAAACTCGTGATCTGATCCCTGTGTCCCCTCAACCTGAACAATCCAACCTCGCCCACCACGTCCCAGAGGATCACATCCGTATCCCTCGCTCCGCTCGCCAACCTCGTCCCATCCGCATCCCACGCCAGCGCCGTCACGCCCGTCTTGTGTCCGTTGAACGTGACAGTCACGCTCTGAGTCTTGGCGTTCCAGATCCGCACGGAACCGTCTGCGTAGCCCACCGCGAACGAGTCCCAGTCTGTCGGAGAGCGCGAGAGACAGGTTACGAGTGCGCGCAGGCCCGTCTCGTGCCACATGGCGACCTGCGTGAGGACTGGTCAGCTCAGTTGGGATGCTAGTGAGCCGCTGGACGCACCTGCTCGCCCTTCTTGACGTCCCACACGAGCACATCCTCGAGAGCGGGGCAGTACGCCTTGCGACCATCGTACACCGCAGGACCCGTCGCGATGAGCCCGAACGCCTCTGTCGGACCATGCCGCAGATAGCTCTTCATTTCCGGCGCGATTGAAGCGAGAGCGCGCGAGGAAAGCGAGTGGAAAGCGAGAGAGTGGCTGTGGAGGAGGTGGACCAAGCTGCCGAGTCCCGAGATGTCGACTTGCGGGCTGCTTTCGTGTGCGTGCTACTCGCGCAGACAGTGTACGGCTCGCCGGGAACAAGCGCGCCAAGCAAGGAGAGCGAGAGAGCGAGGGAGGGACCGGAAAGCGTCCGCTTGAGACGAGAGACAACTCCGTACCGTCCGCCAACCTCTCTCGCTGGACCGCCCGCGAGTCCACGAGCAACGGAGATGACTGCGAAGAAAAAGGGGACTTGGCAAGAACCCCCTCGGATTTCCCCTCGCCCGTCCCCTGCCTCCTCATCGAGAGGCGAAGGAACGACTCGGGCTCACACCGATTGCTACAACACCATCCCGACCACCTCCTCAGGAGCGCGCTTAGTTGCGGGCAGCAGCGACGGCCTGCTGGGCGGCGGGCGAGATCTTCTTGCCGTCCTTGTTGAAGCGGACGCGGGGAGGGGGCGCGCGGTTGCGGCGGCCGACGCGCGAGCGAACGCGGACGACGTGCGCGTGGATGGCGCACGAGATGCAGTAGTGGATCTTGAGGTAGAGCTTCGGGAGCACGTACTCTGCGCACAACGCGAACGAGAGAGCGTCAGGACGAGAGCTCGTCGTTCAACTCACGAGTACCGACTAGGAGGCAGGTCCACGCGAATGCAGCCTGCCCCCGAATCCGAGCGGAATGACGACGCACCAGCGTACACCGACGCATCCGAAAGGTCACGGATGGCAGCCGTCTCGACCATGTTGCGGACGGTGAAGCGGCGGACCGCCTTGTCCTGCGCGAATCGACGAGTTCTTTGATCAACCGACTGTCTTTTGATCGCTCCGACAGCACCGCCAAGCTGGACTCGGTCGAACGCACCTTGGGGCACATGCGCGAGCAGTTGGAGCAGCGGATCGAGGCGACGTGGCCACGACCCTTCTTGTTGCGGCCGTGGTTCCTCCTCTTCGTCGTCACTGTTCACGCGCACACAACGAGCAGAGTCAGCGCGAGGCGCTCGAGGCCGAAGGGCGGTTTTGCTGGAGAGTCGCGAGATGCCGCCAAGCCCGATCCTCCTTCAAGCGCGCTCGACCCGCAGATTCGACTGGTGATGTGTGCAGGCGTGAAAAGAAGGGATGGCGGACTCTGGGCGTGTCTGAACGAGGTGATGGAATGGGTCGAAGGGAGGAGGGGGAGCTGGGTCGGCGGGGTCGCAAAGTCGTGTCGCGGTCGTGTGCTGGCGGTGTCTGCGGGTCGAGCAGCGTTCCGTTCTGCCTCTACTGCGACGTCCCACGCTCCCGTCCAGCCCATCGCCCGCCCTCGCCCTTCCCTCTGTGCCCGTCGCAAACTCTTCCCTCGCTCGCTCGTTCACCACTCGACCTCGGAGTCTGGCGGTTGTTCGAGGGTGTCGGTGTGTGGCCTAGTAGTCGGTGAGACGCACTGTTGCCAGAGAAGGTGACTTCGGTGTTTGGGAGAACAGCGGAGTGAGGAGCAAAGGCGAGTCGGCGCTGGGCGGGCGAGCTCGACCAGCGACCCGCTCAGCTTGACGTGGCTTCAACCTCGCAATACTCGCTCTGTACTGCTCTGGCTGGGTCATTGGAACCGTCTATACTGCTACAGAGACTCGCACTGCTCGCCCGTCCAAGCCTCGCACCTCCAGCGCGTGTCGTTGCGCCCGCTCGCCTCCTCACCGCCATTGCTCCACCACCGCACTTTCACGCTCGAGACGCGCTTCAGATGGGTCGGCGAGGAGTTTGGGAGGTCTGTGGGACTGCTCTCAGCGCAGTAGCTGACGCTCGAGTCCTCTCGACGCTGCGTGCTCCCGCCCAGACGCTCTTCTCGTCCTCGCCCTCCTTTCTCGCCCACAAATCCGCACTTCGTCGCCCTACAGGACTGCTCCAGCAACACCACGACGGCTGGTCTCTCTCTGTTACATCGAGATTGAAAGGACACACTGCACGGCAGCACAAACGAGACGACACGGCCTACACGAGCCTCCTGTTCGCCATCTCCTCCTTCTTGCGGCGCCGCTCCATCTTCTGCTTCTCCAGCTTGTCGAGTCTAGCCTGCAGCGCCACCACCTGGTGCTTCAACGCCGGAACCTCCGCCAGCTGCTGCTTTAAGGCTGGCACCTCCACCTGCGCCCACTTGACCGCCTGCACTTCGCGCTGCAAGCCAGCCAAGCGCACCTCGGTCTCTGTGTCGTCTCCAGGCGACAGTCGAACGCTTCGGACCCTGTGCTGGATGGGTATGAACTCGAGGTAGTGCTCGTGGACTTGGCGGCCGATTTTCGCCAACTCGGACCTGACTGAACGGACGTTGTCTGCCAAGTCGCTGCGCAACTCGTGCGACTCCTTCCAGATCTTGCTGTTGACATCGCGGATGTTGTCCCGCAGCTTACTGCGCACGTCGTCCAGCTCAGTCCGCAGTTCGCTCACCCTGTTCTCCGCGACGGTTGTGACTGTTCGCATGCGAGGTCAGCGCGTCATCCGACAGGAAGGTTGTTGGGATGCTTACTCCAAAGGTGCAACCAGATCCCGGTTTCGAGGAGGCCTATGCCAATGACAACTCCGAGTGGAAGATCGAGGTCGCTCGAACGAGAGGAAGTGCTTCCGCTGCTGTTGAAGCGCTTCTGCGACTTGGCCCGGTGGAGCGGGGGGCCCAAACGCTTGTGCGAATCGCAGAGCGCATGAAGCTGGCGCGAGGGGAGGAGGCAAAAGCCGTGCGAACGGGACGGGAAAGGGAGCGGAGGGCGAGCGGCCGACAGAGGGGCAGCGCGTGCGGCAAGCGAGACGCGGGAGAGCATAAGTGAGCCTGGATGAGCAGTGTGCGGCCCGCCGTTAGCTATGCGAAACGGGTTGTCGGAGAGTGGGAGGATGCGAAGGGACAAGAGGCGGGTTGCGCGTGCCGGTCCACACTGCGACGCTTCTCGGCAAAGGTCCAACGCATACGCTACGGCGTCGCTTCTGAGATGGCAGCGCTGGCTGTGGAGGAACGGACAGCTTTGCGAGGCGCAAGGAAAGAAACGAAGGTCGAGAAGGTCGACGTCTCGGACTCGCTTTCAGGGGAGTGTAGTTCACACAGCGCGGGAGTGTAATGATTGCAAGAGGAGAGCGTGAGACAGGGAGAGAGGTGGAGAGCTAGCTAGACAAAGCTGACGACCAATTAGACCAGTGTCCCCTTCTCAAGCAAGTCGACCAGCTTCTGCTCAACTGCGTCGAGGTGAGCATACTGCTCCGCCGTCAAGTCCTGATGCGCCTTGACATCCGCAACTTGGCGTCGCAGCTCCGTCAAAGCCTTGTTGTAGTCGAACGAGGCCCAGCGGATCTTGCTGACCTCGAGCCCGACGTCCGCGAGCTGGCGAGTATGCTTCCGCGCGTCCTCCTCGATCCCATGGACCTTGTTGAATAGATTGTCCTGGTCGGACGACGCCTTCTTGACCGACTCGACGAGCGCAGCAAGTGTAGCAACGGTGTCGTGAGTTGCCGGCTGCGGTTCCTTGTCAGTACTGTCCTTCGCTTCGGTCACCCTGGACACCAATGTCGTCGCATCCTTGCTCAAAGCTGCAACAGCCTGCAGCTCCTTGCCCATCTCCTCATGCTCCTTCTCGAGTGCGTCGACCTTCGTCGCAACGCGCGTGATCTCCTCGAGCGTGCTGCGCAGGACCTTGAGCTCCTTGTTCGTCTTCTCGTGCCGCTGCTGCAGCCTGGCGTGCGTGCGTTCCAGGACTCGCAGCGTCGTCTTTGACCCGAGGAGCCAGTCCCAGCCGCGGTAAAAGACGGAGGCAATGAAGGTGTACGCATCGCGGGTCGCTTGGATGTAGCCCCTCCAGAGATCGAGCAGACCTGCGCGTGGGAAAGCAGGTCAGCACAAGATTGCTGAAGCTTGGCAGGAGGGAAGCGACGCACTGAACCATACTCCTAACGCCCACAGCAAGAAGAGCCATTCAAAAGCTTCTTTGGCAATACCCGACCATGAGTAGTGTCTACCCGAGCTCTGCCTCGAAGAACTGGACGAATGGAGCGGAGGAGGAGGGGACGAAGGAGGAGGAGGAGGCGGGCTCGCAGGTCCAGTGGTGTGAGAACGCGTTTGGAAGACTCCGCGTGGCCCACCGACCATGCTCAAGAGTAACTTGGAGGGAACCGCAGGCCTGCGCATCAACGGGGCGCAGGTGTACAGGCTGAGCACGCGGGAGGGAGTCGAGGGAACGGTGGCGAGCGCCGGGCGCACGGCAGCTCGCGCGAGCAGAGGAGCGGAACTGAACATCCTAGTACAGTCTGTGGGCTCGAAGCGGGTGTCCACCAAGCCTGCGATGGGGTGTGGGCGAGTGTGCGAGGGGAGGAAGGGAGAGCTGGGCGAGGCTGCGACGCCGGCAGGACTTGCGACTTCTCTCGGCAGACTCCCAGACGCGGCCGATGATAACGTTGCAATGCAAAGCGAGTGACTGATAGAAAAACGAAATGAACAGCGAAGGGATCCGGGGTACAGAACGAGTGTGGGTCGGAAAAGACAGTTCTCAAGCCAGTTCAAGGCTACTCGTCCATCTCGTCCTCCTCTGGCGCATCCGGCAAGACATACACCCTCTTGGCGAGCGGACTGCCGACCTTGGGTGCAAACGCGAGACTCTTCCGCCTCGCGCGCTCGATAGACGCCGCGATCGAAGCCTTGAGGGCCGACTCGCTCGCAGCCGACATGCTCGAGTTGGCGTTGTTGAGCTGCGCGAGCGCTTTCGGCTCCATCGACTTGCGACGCTTGTGCGGACCGCTCGCTGCGCCGGTCGAGGGCTTGCCAAGTCCGAGTGCGGCCTGGGCGGTAGCCGCGACGACGTCGACGTTCTCCTTTCCAGTCCCAGGCGCAGGCGCGACAGCATCTTCGACGCGGAACGGCCCTTCGTCGACGCGAGCACCGATCTCGGCGCAGCGGACGACCCAGGCGATGCCAACGAGGTGAGGGCGGTGCGAGGGGTTCGCGGAGCGGTAGAACTGGATTGTCGAGGCGCGACCGGCTTTGAAGATGATGTGCGTCGTAAGCGTCGAAGGACGCGACGTGACCTGAGTGAAAGGAGCCATCAGCGAGATGAAGGAGACTGAGCGGACCGGCAACTCACCCTCGCGCCAAGTCCTTTGAGCATGTCGACGAAGATCATGCCCGAATCGTCTCCTTCCGCAGTCCTGACGTCGACGAACGCGACAACGCCCTGCAACGCCTTGTCCTTGCGCTGACCAGCGTGCGGGGCCGACCCTTCAAGCGAGAAAGACGACGAACCGCCAGCGGTCAGAAGTGAGGTCGATACGGAAAGTCGACGAGCGGTCGCAGGGCGGGAAGAAGCGGGTGCAGACGCGGTGGAGAGGCAAGAGGTGTCGCCGAGGCTGGCAGCGCTCGACGGTGCGCGAGGCGGCGCGATGCTGCTTCGCCGGCGATTGATCGATGTCGACGGTAGTTGAGGCGCGATGTGGACGTTCGGAGCCGATGAGGAGGGAACAGGCGCGATGAGGGGGACCCTCGACGCCCTTCTCGCAGTGCGCGAGCCGATCTCTCCCGTCGAAGGCGGCGGCAGGGGGACCTCCCCGACATCCGCTAGCGCAACTGCTCCATCGCTCATACGCCTCGACGCCGGTCCAGCAGCCGGTTTGGGCATCTGCAGCCTGCTGAGCATGTTCTGCAGGTTGGCGAGTCGGCGAGCAGTCTCTTCTGACCTGACCGAGGTCGTCGAGGTGGCGGACGCAGTGGACAAGTCAGCAGAGGCGCAGGCGGACGAGTCGTCGATCATGATTGAGTCGTCAGGCGAGGCGACAGGTGCAGGGGCGGAAGGTGCGGCGACAGCTGGACGCGGAGCGGTCGACGTGGAAGCGATAGGTTGGCGGCCGTCCATCTTGGCCGATGCATCGTGGACGAGTGATGGCCTAGACGGGCGAGGCAAGCGACTTGCTGCAGCCGTCAAGCTTGGCGCGGCTGCCGACGTGGTGGAGGGACGGGAAGTGCCGGTCGATGGGAGCGGCTTGACCACGGAGTCAATAGCTCCGACGCCTCCGTCCGCCGTCGTTGTCGGAGGCCGCGCTGCAACAGTCCTCGACATCGGTGCCGAAATCGCAGGCGCCGTCAGGTTCGGCAACCCAAACGTCCGGCCTGCCGTGCGCTGCATCGGAACAGACGATAACATGGTCCGCGAGGGCTGAGGAGCTGTGCGAGTGATGGAGGGCGCAGGAGCGATCGGGGCGGAAGGGGCAGGGAGGCGCTTCTTCGGCGGCGGACTGCGAGGAAGAGTCGGCCTCTTCGTCTGGCTCTGCTCGACCTGCTCCAACGCCTTCGAGCTCGCGCCGACGGCAAATTCCAGCACGCGCGGCGCAACAGGGGACGGCTCAGCCAGATGGATCCTCTTCGCATCCCGTTTCTTCCGCGGACTCAAGAAGTCGATGTCGTCCTCGTCATCCGAGTCGGAGTCGACTTCGTCGAGCTTGCGCGTGAAGGCGCTCTTGCCTGTCAGCGACCGCGGGGAGATAGCTCCGCGGACAGGTGATGAGGGAGGGATCGGAAGCAGGTTGGCAGATGTCGGGGCGGCAGAGGCGATAGGGAAGGGGTCGACGTCCATCGCGGAAGCAGTCGCATCGTCGAAAATTGATAGAGGGCGACTCTTTGAGCTGGACGGCTTGGTAGGCGATGCAGGCCGCTGCTTCCTCGGCGAGGTCAGGTCGAACGGCAGCGCGTTCGCCGCTGACCCGCGAGCGGGCGCCACGTCCTCCTTCTCCTCCACCAGCGTGCCAAGCTGCGTAGCAAGTCGTCGACCATGCACGGTTCGCGCCGTCCCGGCCGAGCTTGAGCTCGGAAGAGGCTTGACGACCCGTTTTGGCGGCTCGGGCTGCTGAACCTCCGCCTTTCTCGCCCCGCCCGAAACCTCGAAGTCGAACGTCGGCCTGACGAATGCCGTTGAGAACGGGTCGTTCGATCCGCCCGCAAGAATCTCGCCCGTTCCGTCGCTCGTCGAGAGACCTGAAGGCGTCGATGTTGACCGGCGCGGAGGATGGCCCATGACCGCCGGTCCGGCGCGGACAACGCCCATGCCCGTCATCTTTCCTGCTTCGGCTGTGCTGAGCCTCCTCGAGCGGGGCTTAGGCTTCGCCGCTGCCGACGTAGAGGCGCCCAAGGAAGAGGACGAAGCTGAGGGGACCCAGTTCGACGATTCGCCCAAGATTCGGCGTGACCGGATCGAACCAGGCGCATGGGTGGATGGGACGAGCACTTTGCCGGTGGGACGGGTCGAGGCGAGTTGTGCGAGCGAAGTAGTTGAACGAGCACGAGGGAGGGCAGCCGAAGTCGACGCTCCGTCGCCCGGCGGGATCCGTCGCGCGCTCGAAGCCGTAGTCAAAGGTAGTGCGGAAGAGTCGAGCGGGCCTGCGAGACTGCGACGGGACATCGAGCGAGTGACGGCTGTTGAGCGAGTCGGCGGGGGAAGGGGTGGTGGCGCCGCTGAGGTGCCGGCCGGTCCAGACGAGCTCGACGAGGCCATCCTGATCTGTTTCACGCTAGTCAGTGCGGCCAGCAAGGCGTAGCAAGGTGAGGACGAGGGCGTACGTTTCGTCGGTTGAGTGACGGTGATGAGGCGACAAGCGCCACGGGAGGCGGCTGGCGGAGTGCGGTGCGCACGTCAGATTGCCCCAAGAGACCTTGTGACTGTGACAAGCCAGCGGGCGACGAAGAAAGCGAGAATTCGACGAGGAGGAGGAAGCGAGACGTGAACGAGGCGATGCGGAGAAGGACAACAACTCTCGCGTTGCTTCCTGGGCATTTGTACGGTCCGCAGAACACTGTTCCACGTTTCATACGGCCAACAAATCCGTCCCCTTCAGTCGCCCGTCACCAAACTCCATCTTCGCCGTCTGCGCCCCGAAATGAATCGCCCTCTTCTTCCTCACCGCAGCTTCCTTCAAACCCAGCCTCTTTGCAAGCAACCGCAGCAGCATCTTGTCGCCGATGCCCTCCGAGAACCGCAAGTCGGCCTTGAACCAGACGGGCTGACGAGCGAGAAAGGCGACGACATGGCCCGCGAGGAAGGGGTACCGCGCCTCCTTGCCGTGTATCGAGATGATGCGGTCATCGCGGCCGAGGTTGCGAGTCGGTAGGCGGTCGAGGTCGAGTTGCAGTTCGGCGATGAGGGCGGACCAGTTCTGGGGTGAGTTGACGGGGTCTGGCGAGAAACTCTCTGAGGTGGTGGGCTCAGCGGATGTCGAGTTGGCGGAAGAGAAATACGACGAGGATGCGACGGAGAAGGTGGCTTTTGGCGGAGGAGGCGGAGGAGTAGAGACGACGGGTTGTGCGAAGGCTTTACGGTGGCGAGCGTAGCCTGCGAGGAGCTCGTCGGCTCCGAGTCCAGTGAGGAGCACTCGGGCGCGGGAGTGATATGGCTGAGGCGGGTTGGAGGAGGGCGAAGGATCGGAGGAAGAGTATTGCGAGAGGTGGCCTTCGCCTCGTGCGGCGAAGTAGAAGGCGATAGATATGCTCTGTGTAGGCAGACGCGTCAGCTGCGTCTCCTTCTGGAGTACAAAGCAGACGCACGAGGTCCATGACGGTGTTTTGAGGCCGCATCAAGTCGATAACCGTCTGCCGATGCGCCAGCATCTCCTGGTACGGCACGTCGACCTCGACGAGATTCCATCTCCGTTTGGGCCGCAAGCGCTTGAGCTCCTCCCAGGCGTTGCGAGCCGTCAAGCGATCCGGGACGTCGTAGATCTTCGGATCCCGTGCAGTCGCCGCTGGAGATTCTGACTTCACGCCATTCCCTCGTGCATCGTCAACATCCATCGCATCGTCGTTCGAGATCGTAGCCTTCGCCTTGCCCTTCAGACCTTCCTTCGCCCTGAGTTTACGAGGATTCTCGAAAGCCACATTGATAAGGTCGACCGCCTCGCCTTCCGGCAGAACGCGGTCGAGGACGAGCGCGACGACGGTGCAGTCGAGTCCGCCAGAGAAGAGGACGGCGATGCGGGCGTCAGGAGGTGGAGGGAACGGCGGGACTGTCGAGACTCGTGCGCGGACGGCGGTTTCGAGTTCGGAGAGGAGGGACTGGACGAGGAGGGCGAGGTGCGAGGTGAAGACGGGTTCTGGGGGTGTGGTAGGCGTCATAGGGAGAAGGGTGCCGGGAGCGGGCACTGAGGAGTTAAGACGGTCGTAGGGATAGACCTGCGGTAGCTAGACGTGAGCGAGAGAAGCGCGAGGAGAAGGGCAGCACTGACGAGGATGTCTTGCGAGAGGCCCATAGACTTCGGATAGCGAGGGTACGAGGAGAGACCACGTCGTCCATCGACCTGCGAGAGGGAGATAAGCTTGACAGAGCAGTCGGAAAGCGGAGAACGCGAACGCACCGACCACGACTTGCCCTTCAGATCCAGCAGATGATAGCAATGTACCGCTTCACAGCTTACCTCTTCCCACTCCTGCAGCGGAAAGTCGGCTCCGGGCGCATTCGAGACGAGGAAGAGATAGGGCGAGGCGGGAGTCGGGGCGTGAACGAGGAGAGATCGCCGTCCGAGCGGGTCGCGGCCGAAGTAGAGTCGAGAGTTGGACGCTTGGAAGTAGACGAAAGCGTAGGGGCCTTCGACGTCGCGGATGGCGGCGAAGAAGTTGGAGGGACCAAACGCTTGAATTCGGTCAAACAGCTTCTGGCCGTCGTTCTCGTGCTCGCCGACCTGCCAGCCCGAACGAAGTCAGTCCTTGTCAACGAAAATGCGCAGAAGGAACAGGCGAACCTCCAGACCGTCAAAGATCTCGCCGTTCCAGAGCAAGACGTCCCCGTCCTTCGAGACGAATGGCTGGGGCGTGACGACGTCGCCCCGCATATGCAGTACCGATGCGTGGAAGCGCATCTCGAAGTGGAACGCCTTGCTAGCCTTGACGTGCTTGATGAGCGTATTCGAGACGTCCGGACCTGGTAGACGCGAATGTCAGCAGCTCGCTCAATCCGGCGCAACGGATCCCTTTCAGTACGTACCTCTGCCCTTGACAGCGTCGACAACCTGCTCCCAGGTCTCGTTCGCGTCCAGGTACTTTGCCGGCTTCGTCCCGTCAGGCAACTTGATCCCGTACTCGGGGTCATCCTCGTCGATCAAGTCCAGCTCCATGCCTCCCGGCGACCCTGCAGACCCCGTAGAAGCCGGCGAGCCCGCATCGAGCGCGACATTTGCCGGAGGAAGCCCCGACGCCCTGTAAGATGTCGAACTCCGGATGGCGAAGGCGATGCCGCACATTGCCGGTGCTGCCCAGCTCGAGCGGCCTTAGACCAGGACTCCAGACGCTCCGACGTGTCCACCACTGTCCCACGAGGTCGTGTGAACTGAGTCGACGCTTTTCGAGGTGGGGGTTGGACCGGCACGACAAGACCCAGCGAGCGGAAGAGCGGGATGCGGTTACGCGGCAGAAGCGAGCGAGCGCGGTCACAGAGCCAGCCGTCGTTGACGCTGCCAGGAGTCGGCGAGGTGAAGTCGAAAGCGGAGCGGCGGATCCGAAAAACGACCTCGAGGTGGGGTGGAGGCGTTGTCAGCGGCGACGGTCAATGCAAGGCTGCCGAGGCGACGGAATAGGCTGTAGCATGAAGTCCAAGCCAAGCGGCACGAGGAGGTCGCGTTCGCAGCGAAAGTCTCCTCGAAGAAGTGTGGAAGGGCATGCGAATGCGATTGGCACAGTCGACAGCGGTCCTCGACGTACAACACACCATTCAACACCTCCGACAGCCCAAGTCCCTGCCCAACTTAAGGCGATTCCGCCGCGATACCCTCGAGCTTCCTCCTGGCCTTCTCCCGCTCCTTCTGCGCTTCGTCCGCCTCGCTCGACGCCTGGTCCTGCCGCCCCACTCCATCCTCACCATGCTCGCCGTCACTCCCATCCGCACCAAGATCACCCGCGATATCCCGCGCTCTCAAGGCGGGACTCGGCAGACTCGAGACAGATCCTCCCGGCGTACTCGGCATGCTGGGTACCGCATTTCCTCCCCAACCACCGACGCTGAGGAAGCTCGTGACAGGCGGTGTGCCGAAGCCAGAAACTCCGCCTGTACTGGGCGTGGTGGGTGTCGAGCTGGCGCCGAAAGCGGGCGAGGGGAGAGGCGAGAGGGTGCGGCGCAGGCCGCCGAAGAAGCCGCCAAACCCGCTCCGTGCTGTCTGCGAAGAAGGCATGTCGGCGGAGGAGGTCGTAGGTGCAGGCGTGAGTTTCGGCTCGCGAGGGCGTTCGGGCGAGGTGGGTACGGTCGCGGCTGCGGCGGTCGAGAGTGGGCGCAGGAAGGATGCGAGGGAAGCTGGAGTGTGGACGGTTGTGGTAGGAGGAGGCTTAGGTGAAGAGGGGGGAGGCAGGTCGGAAGGGTTCAAGGAAGTCCTGGCCGACTGTGCAGGCGAGACGTCCGTCGATCCGGCTATCGAGCTGGGCGGACCACCGAAGAGGCTCGCCTTCCGCGTTGCTGCGCCGAGGAAGGAGCCGAGACCCGTCGCGAGCGTCGCTGCGCCCGTCTTGGCGACATCAACGCCGGCGAAGAAAGTCTGGCCGACGCCAGGGCTCGGCGGAGGCTGAGCTGACGGAGCGAGCGGGTCAGGCGCACCAGTCCCGCCTTCGCCCGGTGCAGCCTTCTCCCCCTCCTGCTCTGCCGCCGCCGCTCGCTTCGCCCAATCTTCCCGGAAGGCCTCCATCGCCTGCATTCCGCTCGACCAGCCCTTGCTCAGCCGCTCCCTCGCCTTCATGGGCAGCGGTGCGAGATTGAGGTTCTGCAAGTTGGCCGGGAGCTGGGAGAAGTTGGGGAGCGTGACGTCCGAGAGCGAGTCGTGCAGGCCGTGGACGAGCCGGATGCCGACGTCCTCGATCGGGTTCGTCTTGCCCTCCATAGGATGTCTGCGAAGCGAGCGAGTCAATTCACCATCTCAAATGCTGTGCGGACGCTGCGCACTTCGGCTCGACTAGGTCGAAGATTGCTTCGTCGGTCGTTCGGTCCCACAACTCGTACGCCGCCGTCCGCTTGAACGCATTCAAAAAAGCCTCGTTAAAGGACGCCGGATTGTACGATTCGAGTTCTGCAGGAGCAAATGTCAGCCTACAGCGCAGCGAGAAAGGAAGCGCCGAACGCACCGGGTGCCGACAACAGCATCTCGGCCCTCTCTCCCCTCTCCTTCGCCAAGAACTCTCCAAACTTGACACAGGCAAGCAATGAGCAGACGTATTCCTCGAACTTGGCGCGGATGAAGTCGTCGCTGCCGACGAAGCCTTGACTTGTCGGACGGGAGGGGTCGGCTGCGTTCCAAGACTGGTCGACGAGCGTGACGATCTCGTCCATCCATTTGCGGTCGGCTGCCGTGAGGGTGATGAGAGGCGTGAGCTTCGGGTTGAGGACGTCGAGTGTGGCCGAGTCAATCTGTTCGACAGCTCGTCAGCGGGTGGAGCGGATGAGGAACGTCGAGGAACGCACGTTGACGATGACATCGATGAAGCAGTCGCGCTGCTGCTGGAAGATGCTGTTTGTCGTGCCCACGAGATACGACTTGGTCTTGAGCAGGTCGATCTGCTGGAGAGGAAGGTACGGCTGGAAGAACGAGCCCTGTTCGTAGCGAGAGCATGTCGGCGTGATGTCCCCGAGCAGCTCCAAGAAGCGCAATAGTACACACCTTGCCGAAGACGTTCAGAGGCAATCCAAGGTACTTGATGAGGCTGTACTTGTCGCTCGTCCGCAAGCTCGAAGGCTTCGTTAGTCGCTTGACGCGTTCGTCAAGGAGGGGGGAGGCGGCATCTTGTAGGTTTGTGAGGAGGGCTGCGTTCATTCGAGTCAGCGCGAGAGCTGAGCCGAAGCAGCGCGAGGACGAACCCGGGATGAGGGTGACGAGCGAGTACTGGAAGGTGCAGAGTTGCTCCACGGGCGTATGTGCGGCGTAGAACATGACCTGCAGGAGGAGTAATCAGCGGTGCATTTCCTTCGAAGAGAACAACCACGCACTCTCCGCTGCAGGACAAGGAGCTTGAGGAGCATGAGCGTCTTGAAGCGGAAGCGGTGTACGAGTTCCCGCAGCGAAGTGCCTGGCGCAAGCTCGTCAGCGCGATCGAAACAACGAAATCAAAGGACGTATGACGCACCCATGTACATGCCGCCCGTTTCTTCCTCCGCTCGTTCCGCCGCCGTTGGACTTTCAGGAACCTCCGACGTCTCTTCGCCTCCTTCAGCGCCTCCTTCTTCCTTCCGCGCTTTCCCCTTCCTCGCCGCATCAAGCTGAGCAGAGTCGAAGCTCTTGAACAGGTCGACGAGGATCGACTTGTCGTTGAAGTCTCGCTGGGCAAAGAAGGAGCGGGTGACAACGCCAAGCTTGTCGCGGAGGGCGCCGAAGATGGGCTGCACAGCGCTTACGTCAGAGCTTGCGACTCCTACGGAGAATAACCGCAGACTCACCTTGGAAGCGAGAACGACAATGGCCTTCTGAACTGTGCTTCGCGTGACCTCCTTCCCCTTGTTGATGAGCTGGTCGGCGGGAATCTGGCGGTTGCAGGAGATGCCGAAAATGGTCTGAGAGGGGGCGACGGAGGGGAGGAGGAGGTGGAAGTAGGAGTAGTCCTCGTCTCGCTGTGATATGAGAAACGAATCGTTAGTCGGATTGGAGGTCCCGCAAGAATCGTGTCGACTCACGGCATGAGCCCCATCTGGCAGCGCCAAGAAAGGCAGATGCTTCTGCAGCTCTGCATTGTCCCGCAAGTTTTCCGGGTAGGTGAACTCGATGTTTGGACCCAGGGTGTGGTCAAACCCGACGAGGCAGACACCCCACACTTTCGCTCCAATAGTGGCCCCTTGCGACGACGTCGTCCTCCGCATGCCAACGCCCGCAGGAGAAGCCGACGAAGACGTGCTGGACGAAGGTACTGGCGAGCGGGTCGAGGTGAGAAAGGCGGACGAGGTCGAGGCGACTGGCTGTTCCGTCTGAGCGCTCGGAGGGAAGGTCGTGGCGACTCCGGAATAATGCTCCTGCCCACCCATCGCTCCCTCGCCCGTCAAGTCCTCGCTCCCCGCCGAGAGATGTGGGAGAGTTGGAACCGTCGGCAATTCGTCGTCGTCGTCGGGCAAGTTCTCGAGCAGAACCTTGGCAGCCTTATCCTGCATCTGCACGCTGTCCCGTGTGTGTTCTGGCTCTAGCGACGCCGTGTTCAGTGAAGAGGGGATCGTCGAGGAGCGGGTGGGCGATGATGAGGTCGACGTGGGCTCGGACGCGGACGAAGCGGTTGGTGGGCCTGTCCGCTGCTCTCCATCAGCCATTCTGGCAGTACCAGCGCAGCAAAGAGCGCGGAAGAGGCGACAGCGAGCGAGTTGTCTCCTCCCGAAAGACGATCGGGAGGCTTGCCCTCATACACTGTAGTCCTCTGCTTCCTGACGCCGCGTGGACCGCTAGAGACGCTCAGAGAGGAGCGCATTGACTGGCTGAGCGCAACTCGCGGACCCGCAGCTGGTCGCCGCTTGATGCCTCTTCAATGACCGCGACACCCGCCCAGCAGGACGGCCTCTTGCCCTACCCCGCCTCTGCGACGCGTAGCAACCGACGACCGTTCAGGAGTGCGGTGCTCAAGGCGGGATTCGGCCCGTTCGGAGGGGATGCGCGATGGGACGTCCTCACCCAGCGGGCGAGGACAACGAATCTTGCCGTCTTGCTCCTCGCTGGGACGGCGTGTATCAGCTTGTTGCTGAATGTGCGGATGTGGCTAGGGAACGAGGTGCGCCGCTTGTGTATCTCTTCAACGAGACGTCCTGACCGCGACTTCTTCCCTCCAGGTCTTTCGACGGCCAGAAGATTACAGCGAGCGCGTCCCTCTTTCCATACGGGCAACTTTACAGTCTCCTCATGCGTCTCTCAGGCATCTCGTCATGGTGCGTTGCCGTCACTGCTTCTTCTTCAGAACCGACGGCTGACCTCTCGCGCTTTCTCCGTCTGCAGGTGCCAGGTCACGCTATCTGGCAAGGCTGCGACGCTTCCCATGCGACGGAAGACAAGGATTGGATACTCGAGCCGATGCAGCGAGGCGGATCAGTGCGGACTTACCTCAAGCACATTGCGAAAGGGTGCGTTGCCTAGCATTTCTCGTCTTCCGCCCTTAGCTCACCGCTTCTCCCGCTCGCAGAGCTGAAGTGGCAGTGCGAGATCCGGAGGCGCTGCTTATTTATTCAGGGTGCGCAAGCCCCGCTCTTTACCAAGACGCCACCTAACCTCGCCTCCTTCGACAGCGGCCAAACCCGCCCAAATTCCGACCTCACAGAAGGCCTCTCCTACGCACGACTAGCCAAGCTCGGCAACATCTACGAGCAGTTCATGAACGAGGAGCAGCGGCATAAAAATGCGGGCGAGTTTGAGCGGGTCACGACGGAGGTGCGTGGCTTCCGAGTGGCTCTGTCTAGAGCGCGTCTACTGACGTCGACCTGAGTAGGATTTCGCCATGGATTCGATGGAGAATGTGTTGTTCTCGATTGCGCGGTTCAAGGAGTGCGTCAGCCTTGCTGTTACAGTACCTCGTCGAGTTGCTGACGCTGGTTCGAGCAGGTTCACCGGTCACTACCCAACCTACAGTACGTCTCCTTCCGCTACAATATCCCGAGAGCCTGCTGACGAGCCTCTCGTGCAGTCACCGTGGTCGGCTACGGCATGAAGCGGCGACGATACGAAGACGTCCACCGCGCTGCAGTCCGCTGGCCGGCAAGCGCGTTCAAGTATATCGGCATAGACAATGAGGGGGATGTACAGGGAGATTACGAGGGAGAGGTGCGTTCGCCGTCGCTCGTTCAGTTGTACCTGTTCTGGGCGACGAAGCTGATCTGTGGAAGGGGGCATACGCACAGCGCAAGTACGGATTAGAACCTTTCCTCCGCGACATGTATGGCTGTCACGGCAGCCTCCTCGCAAAGCGACGGAAACGCAACCCTTACCGACGATTCCACGGGTATCACTCTTCGGGTGCGTCCGCTCGCTTCACACATTCTCTCTGCAGCTGACTGACCGCTCTCCTACAGCGCCCGAGCTCGCACGACTACTCGAGTACTGCCCGGCGCACAACACGCTTTTCCCAGGCTCCTTACCCTGGGACTGAACCCGCCCTTTCCTCCTCGTTCATGGATTTGCATGACGGCTTTGCATCTTGTTCTTATCGCATTCTCCTGGTTCGCATACCCTGCATTGCATTCGGTCCCTTCGACAGAGTAGCCGTCTCCTCATTTTGTAGCGAGTCGGCCGTTCTTGGCGTTCGCTCTTAGTGACTTCGCGAGACTCGTGAGGGTACTGGCATTACGACAGGCATATCTAGACACACGTATCCGGAGGCAAGACGAGAACAACAGCTTACGACCCCGTCTCGGCCGCGCGACTCACACCCCTTCCTCCCTCTCCCTCCTCTCCCTCGCCTTCCTCCTCTCCTTCTCCCTCTCAGCCTCACTAGCCCAACTCCTCTTCTCAAGCCCAACCTCATCCACGAAAGCGCCCCTCATGCTCTTCACGAACGCATACAAGTCCCTCGACGAGTTGAGCTTGTCGAGCAGCGGTTGGGTGACGGTTTGAGGGAGGAACGAGGGCGGCGAGAGGGAGGGAAGGGAGTAGGTTGGGGTGGAGGCGTCCAGGTCGAAGGAGAAGGTGCGCGGGAAGGAGGCGGGGTCAATGTTGTGGAACTTGAACGAGACGACGTCGCCTGTGGCATCCGCGCAGTAGGCTCTATCAGCATCCTGTATAAGAGCGCTGAATAGCCGGGAGGAGGGAACGCGCGGACGCACGGGCTTTGCCGCGGATCCGCAGCCCGAGTTTCTCCTCGAAGAAGCTGAGCTCGACCGAGTTGCGATTGATCTGCTTCGCAAAGGCTGCCCGTTGCTTCGCCTTGACTGCGAGAGGTACTTCGCGTCAACGTGAGTGACGAGATGGTGGAGAAAGGGAGGGACGTACGGTCTCGCCGAGCCTCGAGCTTCGACTGGATCTCGCGGACCTCTGCCTGCGCCGTCTCGACCTGGATCCCCAGGCTCCTCCCGCGCGTCTGAACCTCACTCTCGAGCTCCCTCGCCTTGTCCATCTCCTCCTTCTCGCGCTGCACAGTCTTGACCATCTCCCTCGCCGCGTCTCCCAACTCGCGCGTCATCTTCTCGAGCCTCTTGCGTTCGGCGCCAATCTCCTCGAGTGACTCGAGGAGCGCAGTCTTGTACGTCTCGAGGGATGAACTCATGAGTGAGACGGCGTCGTCGACGGCTGAACGGTCTGCGGCGATCAACTCGCGCAGGTCGTCGTCCTCGGCATAGCTCTTCTCTGCGTACGTGCGCGATACAATGGGTGGGAGGGGCTGGAGAGGGGCGGCCGAGGTCGAAGCTGCGGCTGATGCGGAATGGAGAGACTGGCGGAGCGAGGGTGTGCCGGATGTGAGGATGCGGCGCGCTGCGGAGCGCGGTGTGCCGTTGACCGAGTACGACGAGCGTGGTGTTGTCGGCAGAGCAGAGTGCCGGGGTGCGTGTGCTGTGCTCATGGCGGTAGACGGGTCGAGGGAGTGCGGACTGATGAGGAGAGAGTCGGGAGGAGGGCACGCCAGGCGATGGGAGTTGGACTGGGTGGAAGTACAGCTCTGTAGCAGTCGACTGAACGTGTGCAAGCAGGCCTTCAGCGGTGTTGAGCGCGAGCGAGCGATGAGGTCGATGTTGAGGGACTCGCGCGTCGAGGAGCGCCATGGTCAGTCGCCTTCCTCACTCTCACACTCGCTCGTGGGACTCGTCTGCAGGCTACACAGCTCTATTAGACTCTGTTCACTAGCGCAAGCACGCCCGACCCGCCTACGAAGCGCCCGGCGTCGTTGTGTGGATCGCTCAACATCCCCACCCACTTCGACTCGCCTGACGACCGCTCACCTGACCTTGGCGGAGGCTTGACAGCGTTCTCCAGATCTCCAGGAATGGCGCACACCCCTCTCCACTCGAGCGGGTACAACTCGCGTCTCCCTCCTCCCCCTCCTGTCCTCGCTCCGCACGCACCCTCGTCACTCGCCGCTCACGCAGGGCCGAACAAGGAGAACCCCTTCACGATCCCGCACTCGCACGCCTACGTCGACCCAGCGAAACACCTGCCCGCCATGCCCCGCGTCGAAGCATTGCACCCTTCGCCCGCACCCACTTACACCCCGCCTCACCACCGCCCCCTTCCTCCTTCGCCGACAAAGACCACCGCAACAGCCACCGTCAATCACTACACCCGTCCACTCGGTGGGAACGCACGAGCGCAACAGTCGCAGCAGGCGGAACCGACAATGGTCCAGCTGCTTGCTTCGCAGGGAACGGCGCCGGCACACTATGCCTCGCGAGGTGGAGCAGGGGACGTTACAATGGGCAACGCAACGGGCGTCCTGAGCTGGCGGAAGGGTCAGGGCTTCAAGGAGTGGGAGAAGCTCAAGCTCAACTCGCCCGAGGTCAAGCGGAAGGCGGATGTCGCCCAGCTGTGTGCGTTTTGCATCGTTCCCGTTCTGTCGCTCGCTATCACAGACCTGACGGATCCTCCGGCACGCCGTGACTCACAGTCTTCTACGACCACTACTTCGACCTCCTCACCTACGTCTCCTCGCGCAAATCCCGTCTCGCCTCCTTCCAATCCTCCATCTCCTCCCGCCCCTCCCTCACACCCGCCGAGGTCTCCTCCGAATGGACAAGCTACACATGCCGCGAGCGCGTCCTCCTTCGCAAGCGGCGGACCAAACTCAAGGTGGATATGTTCCATGTCGTGACGCAGGTTGGGCAGGGCGGGTATGGAGAGGTGTATCTCGCGAGGCACAAGGAGACGAATCAGGTGGTCGCGCTGAAGAAGATGAAGAAGCGGACGCTGGCAAAGATGGACGAGGTGCGTTGGCCACGACGACCAGACCTTGGTCTTCCTCAGTTCTGTTTCCGGGATCAGTGGGCTCACCTGGGGGTTTCTGGCCATGTGCACAGATTCGACACGTCCTCGTCGAGCGCGACATCCTCGCCTCAACCTCGTCACCCTGGCTCGTCCGCCTCCTCTACGCTTTCCAGGACCCCGAACACGTCTTCCTCGCCATGGTACGTCCCACGCTCTCATATTCACCCTCCTTTGTGTGCTGATGTTCGGCGGCCGCGCAGGACTTCATCGCCGGCGGCGACTTCCGCACTCTCCTCAACAACTCGGGCGTCCTCAAGGAGGAACACGCGCGCTTCTACATTGCGGAGATGTTCACGGCCGTCAACGAGCTGCACAAGCTCGGCTACATTCACCGGGACTTGAAGCCTGAGGTGCGTCTCACAGCGCGGACATCGTACTTGTGGGCCGGCAACGAAGGGCGAATCGTGCTGGTACCGCTGTGTCGTGGCGAGAGTCTGACGCACTCGTCTTTGCCGCGAATAGAACTTCCTCATCGACACGACCGGCCACATCAAGCTGACGGACTTTGGACTCGCCGCGGGTGCGCTCAACCCGGGCAAGATCGAGCATCTCAAGCACAAGGTGTGTCTCCCCGCTCCGAATCGCCTATCGCACCAAGCAAAAGCTTGCTCTGTACTGATGATCGTTCGAGGCGTGCCCAGCTCGACGAAGTCGCCGACTCGCCTCTCGTCTTCCGCTCAACGCTGGAGATGAAGTCGATCTACAAGAGCATCCGAATGGCCGACGCGCGCTATGCCGACTCGGTCGTCGGATCGCCGGACTACATGGCTATCGAAACGCTGAGGGGTCAGAGCTATTCGTACAGCGTCGATTACTGGAGCTTGGGGTGCATCTTGTTCGAGTGCGTCGGGTCTCTTCCTGTCTTTTTCCAGCTCGTCCGTTTGGGTCCCGAAGTGACTCACTGGACGCGTCCACGACGCACAGGTTCCTCGCCGGGTTCCCTCCCTTCTCAGGCGCGACAGCCGAAGAGACCTGGACCAACCTCAAGAACTGGCAGCGTGTCCTCCGCCGCCCACACTACGAGCGCCCCGAAGACCGGATCTTCAACCTCAGCGACGAAGGGTGGGATGCGATCACTAGGTGCGTGGCCGATTCGAACGGCAGGTATCATTGAGGCTTTGCCTTCTCCCCAAGAAGGACAGCCTCTTCGAGTCGCGGCAGAATCCGCTCACGCGATACTCCCCTGGTGCAGGCTCATCACGCACAAGGACCGCCGCATGTCGACTCTCGACCAGGTCAAGACGCACCCGTTCTTCCGCGGCGTCGACTGGCCAAACCTTCGCGAGCGCAAGGCGCCGTTCATCCCTGCGCTTGACTCGGAGATCGACGCAGGCTATTTCGACGACGTGAGTTCAGCGCCATCGACGCGGAACGTTTGGAGCTTCGGGCTTCCCAGCCGGGCTTCCTCCTTGGAGACCGCGATGTTGCGCTGACCATTTCGTCCTCCCTCGCAGTTCTCCTCGGAAGCAGACATGGCCAAGTACGCCGAAGTGCGCGAGAAGCAGCGACACGTCGACGCCGTCGCCGAGCGCGCACTCGATGCCAAACTCGCGCGCGGCGTCTGGGTCGGCTTCACCTTCAAGGCCAAGAAGAAGGAGGACCGCTTGCTGCGCGAGAAGGAGCAACGGGAGAAGCAGAAGTTGCAGGAGGAAGAGGAGGAGTCGCTCTACACGCTTTTCTGAGGCGAGTCGTTTCGCCTGTTCGCCCATCGCCATCCCCCCGTTCGCTCTTTCGCTGTATAACCACCGCCTCGACGCCTAATACTGCGCCACATTCGTTCATTCACATCATCAGCACCCTTTGACAGACACTTCACCCCGTTCGTTGTACATCCACCTCGTTCTCCAGCTCGCTCGTTTCCGCAGTTTCCCCATCTCTCTCCTGTACTGCATCTCCAGCCGTTCATTCTTTCGCCCACTGCGCACGATAGCAAACGGCGATGATGCGAGAATTGCAGGAGAGACGCGCAAAGCGAGGGAGCGATACAACGACAAATCTAGGGATGCGGGCACAAGCGAGCAAATCGTGATAGATATACAAGGCTCAAGCGGTGTCCTCGTCGGCGAAGAGGTGACGGGATGCGCCGAGCCAGTCCTCCTGAGCCTCGCGACCGAGGTCTCCGAACGAACTCGCTGTTCTCCTCCTCGAGTCGAAGCTCAACCTGCGGATCTCCTCTTCGAGCTCCTCCTTCTCCGCACTCAATTCCCTGACAACCTCGTTCCCGCTCTCGATGCAAAGCGAGAGGCTCTTCTCGCGCCTGCGGAGGACGTCGAGCTCGCCGTCCTTGGCCTCGAGTTCGGCGCGGAGGATGCGATTCTCCAGCTCGGCCTTCTTGAGCTCAATCTCGAGGTCACGCTGCTTGCGACGGAGAGAGCGGTGCGAGGCGGACGACGAGGGGGGTGCCCAGCTTGTCCTGGCAGTCCCGGCGTCGAGCATCAAAGGGCGGGACATGGCGGAAGTGAAGCTGTCGCGCCTTGGTGTGTCGAGCTCGTAGTCTTCGCCATCGATGCGCGGACCGCGAGGCGAAAGGATGCTTGTCGGCGCTGTCGAGTAGGTCGGAACGCGGATGCTGAGGGAGGTGCGACGCCAACCGCCGGCGCCAGTCGAGTGCCGCGACGCCGTCGAGCCGGAAGCGGTGCGGAACGGGTACTGCTCGAGCGACGAGAGGATGGCAAGCGGGTGCTCCGGGTCTGCAGCTTCGACCGAGTCGACCAGGAGCGTCGGGACGGCGGAGGGAGGACGAGGGCGATCCTGCTCAGCGGCTCGGGGCTCGATAACAGAAGTGCGCGGCGGCTTGCCTCGACCCAGCAAGTTCGACGAAGCCTTGCGGAGTATGCGAGTCGCTGCGGAGTCAGTCGGCTTGACGTTCGTAATGTCGCCAAGAGGTCGGCGCGTACGCGGCGGGTCCATCTCAATGGGTCGAGAGAAGATCAACGGGATGTCGACCGGACCGCTCGCGGGATGGGGAGGAACGGCGGAGCTGGGAGCGCCGCGAGCGAGCAACTCGCCAAACTCGCGCAGCTCTGGCGAGATCGGTGGCGACTTGGCTGGTCTGCCGTTCAGCGCCCTCGCGAAGGAAGTGTAGGCGCTCGAACGCTTGAGCATGCTGGAACGCCGGGAAGGCGATGGGGCGGGCGGGCTGGTCGGGGAGGCGTCTGTCGGCTTGATAGCTGCTGAAGTCGGTTCCGTCGGCGGGATAGACTGCGCAGTGATCTGCAGCGAGCGTCGTGTGGCGTGGGCCTGGTGAGCGGGGACAGCAGGCGGACGAGTCTTGTTCTCCTGCTCGACCTTCGCAAGTCGGGCCGGTGGACCGAGAAGTGAAGCACGCTGGCTTTGCTGGCCGGTGAAGATGCTGCGAAGGCGTTGATGCATCGAGATCCGAGGACGGACGACATTCGTCGTTGGCGCAGCGGCATCGAGAGTAGCTGGCGCAGCGGACGAGGCGGAGAGGAAAGCTGGGTCGGGCGGAATGACTGCCGGCGTGCAGGGCATCGACTGCGTCTCGCCCGAGTGCGACGAGTCTGGCGACAGACGGCGCGAGAGAGGCGGTCGACGCGTACCGAAAGTCGGGTCGAGCGGCGAAAAGGGAAGCGGCTGCACCGCGAAGGACTCGATTTGCGGTGGTGCCGAGGTGACAGCGATGACTAGCTCCTCATTTTCAGGCGGCGCTGGCGTATCGACAGGTCCCTCAGGCTTGGGCGGCGGCGGAAAGACGTATTCGCGGTTGATCCGGCCCCAGGAGTTGCGCGGCCCGTCGTGCTCGCGGGAGAGCGTCGATGTCGCCTGCAAAGACCTCGTCGAAGGCGACGAAACTTTAGTGAAGGCAGTCGCGTCGACGTTGATGATTGAGGGGGCGCCTTGGTAGAACGAGTCGGGGGCGGAAAGCGAGCGACGGGTTGAAGGCGAAGCCTCGGTGTTGGAAGGAGTGAACAGCGGTCGGTCGCCGAGCAAGAATGGCAATGACGAGGCGTTGGGCGTGACAGCGAGGTGTGGCTGATTGAAGGCGAGGAGGATGGAGTAGAACAGTCGAGCTTCGCCTCTGCGGGCAACGAAATTAGCAGATTGTCCTTTTGCGCACGTTGAGCCGGAACGTACTCATTGCTGCGGACCAGGTTGTCGAGCTGGCCAGTCTTGATGAGCATCCCGAGGTTCTCAAGAATATCAGGCTCGAGCGCGTCTTGTTCGTAGGCGTGATAGGGGACGAAAGGCACGGCGGACGGGTGAAGCGAGGGAACGGCGCGCGGGATGGACGCGGACGGCAGGATGGAGAAATAGCGGTGTGCAACAATGCCGGGAAGCTGCAGAAGAGGAAGAATGAGCGAGTCGCTCTTCAAAACGAAAGCTGCGAACTCACCGTGATCCGCTCGCTGGGCGTGACCGTCAAGCAACGATTTACGAGGTCGCCCGCAGGCCCATCGACGAACTTGGGCAGCTCGTACTCACCCTTCTTGACTTTGTCGAGCACGGTCGGGACGTTGTCGGCATCGAAGGGGAGGGAGCGAGTGAGGAGGGCGAAGAGGACAACGCCGGCTGACCAGACGTCGGCGAGAAAGCCGTCGTATGCGTTTCCCTGCGAGTATAGCAAGCGTGAGCTGCGCAGGAGAGCAGAGGAAGAAAGCGAGACGCACGATGATGACCTCAGGCGCAGCATAGTGCGGACTTCCGCAACTTTCGGTCAACAGCTCGCCTTCACCCTGATACGCAACCATGCCGAAGTCGATGAGCTTGACGTGCAGGTCGCCGTCGACATCCGAGCGAATGAGGATATTCTCGAGCTTGATGTCGCGGTGGCAGAGGCGGAAGCGGGCGAGGTGGACGAGCTGTGTGAAGCGCAACGCCCGTCAGCTCACAGACCGTTACAAGTAGAAGTGACCGACGCACCGCGCTGAGGAGCTGGCCGAAGACATGCTGCACCTGGAAAGGCGCGAGGACGTGCTCGTGCAAGTAGTGGAAGAGCTCGCCGTCCGGGCAGTACTCCATGACGAGGTAGCTGCGACACGCTCACATCAAACAGGTCTCGAGGTTCGTTTTGAAGAACGGAAGGACGAACTGGTGGGTATCGGTCTCGAAGACGTCGAGGAGTTCGAGGATGTGCGGGTGGTGCGAGACAATCTTCATTGCCGTGACTTCGCGCAACAGGTCGTTCGCATGCTGCCAGAGGGAATAGATGAGCGGGGCTGTCAGAGGAGAAGGTGCGAGACGTACGCGGTGGTCGGGAGGCAAGCGAGCGACCTTCTTGATCGCGGCAAACTCGCCCGTCCTCATATTCCGGCAAAGCCGCACTTGACCTGCGGAACAGCCATGTCAGCTGGATTCCACTCGCTGTATCGAACGCGGAACGCACCGCTCGATCCCTTTCCCAGACTCTCCCCGACCCTCCATTCACCAACAACCTTGAAGTCCCTTTCCCCGTCCCTCCTCGCTCCTGCCCTCTCCCTCCGCCCAACATTGTCCACGAGAGGTAAGGAGCGACGAGCCATGTCCTTCGTCGGACGGGGGAAGCGGAACCAGTCGTCTTCGGTGAAAGTTGCGGTCGAGGCAGAAGGAGGAAGGGGGTCGACTTGCTGTCCGTCCGGCCTCGTGCGCTCGTGCATTCCATCCTCCGCGGTATCAGAGAAACTCTCGTCGCTCAGTCCAGGGGCGGGAGCGACGACGGGTGCGAGGCGCGAAGAACCCTCCCCCGACCTGGCCCTCCCCAGTGTCGGGGACGGGACAGGCGAGAGTGGGCGCAAGTCGAGCGCCACTGCGAGCGAGCGGGGCATTCGTGTAAGCCTGTAGCAGTCCGGAACGAGCGTGGTGTGAGGAGAGGAAGGTGATGAAGGAGGAAGAGAGAGGAGTCCCGAGATGGGCGGTCGGGCCGCCTCGTCGAGGGGCAGCGACGATGCTGCTGGAGCTTTCGCAGGAGCTGTAGGGAGCGCCCAAGGTGTCCGGTCAGCCTGCGAAGCGGTTTGACGGCGACAAACGAGGTTGAAATCCAAGTCCGCTCACCTTACAACGCTGAAAAGGACTGCGAACTATAGTCTGCAGCAAAGCATGTACTGATTGCAACAACAAAGAGCAACAAGAAAGGGCTGGCAACCGTCCGAACCAAGCAAAGTCCAGTGCATCTCTCCTCCTAATGCTTCACCGCATCTGCGCACTCGGCGGCATACCCCACTCGTCCAGCTCCTCTCCGTCGTCTCCTTCCTCCTCCTCCTCTTCGTACGTCAGGTCCTTCCTCGGCCTCAGCTCGCGCGACGATGACGAAGGAGGAGCCACTTCCTCACCCTCAACATCCGAACTTCCCAACACAAGCACCTCCTCCTCCCTCTCCTTCTTCCCCTTCCCCTTCCCCTTCCCTCCGTCGCCAGTACCACTCTTCACGCCCTTACCCACACTCCCCCTCACCCTCCTCTCCGTTTCCGGACTCATCTTCCAAGTCTCCCACCCCGCCACATGTCCCCTCCTCCGCTTCTTACCGGGCGAGAGGGACGGCGAACGCGGAGATCGAAGGAGCTTGGAGTGCGAGAGTTGGGAGAGGAGGAGGGAGGTGGCTGTTTTTGGGGAGGTGGTAGGACGGGAGGGGGGAAGCGGGAGCTTGGAGCGGGGAGAGAGGGGAGAGGCGGAGGTGGAGGTGGTTGCGATGGGTAGGGCGGAGAGGAGGGCGTTGGTGGCTTTGGGAGGGACGGAGCTCGTGGGTTGGGGAGATGGCGGCGCGGCGGACGAGGACGCTCCCGAATCGCTTGCAAAGATAGTGTACGTCGACTCTTGTTGCTGCGTCGAGCTGGCGGCATCAGCCAACCGACTCTCACCTTGGTGAAGAACACGCAGCGCACCTCGTTATAAACCGGCGCCGCAAACTTGGCCTCCCCGACCCTCCTCCCCCTCTTCGCACACTCGATCGCCCACTCGGGCGTGACTAACTTGGTCCCGTTCTTCCTCCGTGCTTCGAGGTAGTGTTGCGCCTTTTTTCCGGACAGGTTCTGCGTGATGAAGATGTGGGTGCAGCGCGCAGAGGCCATCGTGCTTGCGAAGAGGGGAGGCGGGTTAGGCGGGCTGTAAGGAGGGAGGGAGCGACTAGAGGGACGCACACGAACTGCCCGCCTTGACGCTCAACGAGCTCCTTCAGCTGCGTATTCGTGATGTCCTTTCCTGCGGTTCCAACCCCCTCTCAGTCAGCTTCCTCTCCCAGCCTCCGTACAAGCGACCGAACGCACCCGTGTACCCGCTGATATAAGCCACGACACCCTTGAGCGTCTGCGACTCTGCTGAGGCGGCTTGGAGGCGGAGCTTGGCGTTTCGGTGGAGGGACCATTTTCGACCTGGTCCGCCGCCGCTTTGATGGCCTGTTGCGCAGCTCTGCGGTAAGCGAAGGCGTCAGATCGTTTCTACCACGCCCGCACTTGCATGCTACGTCCAACCGCGCAGAGCGGGGCATACAAGCGCAAGTAGTTTGAGCTGAAGGGCGAAAGACGAACGCACCGAGACATGCAACGACCTCGAATACGCCGTACTGTTCGTGATAGGGTTATCTTCCTTGCCTAACGTGTTGATGATGGCCTTGTTGGCCTCGCGCAAGCCGCCCTGGACGAGGTTGAGGGTGGTCGAGGAGGACGAGGGTTTTGGCGCGTCGGTGAGCGAGCCGTAGAGGCGCTTTTTGCCTTTCGCTGGGTTGACCGAGGTCGAGCGGTCTCTTCGCGAGGGGTACGACTCCACGGTGTGCGCCCTGGCTGCTGAGGTGGACGGGAAAGTCGGTCGGTTGGATGAGGAGGACGAGGGTCGCGGAGAGCTGGCAGCGGGCTTTGCGGACTTTGCGCGCAAGCTCGACGCGGATGATGGCTTTGTCGCAGTCAGGTAAGCGTCCATGGCGGGTCCCTGTGAGCGTGTGGTCAGAGCATGCGAGCGCGTCGAGAGCGAGAGCGATGTCAAGGCGGGCAGAAGTCAACTCGCTCGCTCGAGTAAATCCACAAGGGTGCCTAATAATCCAGCGAGACTGTACTGTATAGCTTGTATCTGTTCAGTAAGCACTCTGATGCGTTGTGACAGAGTTGTCCTCGTCACGCTCACTCCCTCGCCTCCGTCGCGTTCTGTTCTTCCAGTCGCGCTCACTCGCTTGTGCCAGCCAGACTCGCTCGACCAAGCCCAGCCATGCTCCGCCTCAACACCTCGCCGCGCGTCCCCTCCTTCTGGGGCCCGATGCTCCTCGCCGCCGCCCTCCTGTGAGCCAACTCCCTCTCATCTCTCAGTGCGCACCTCGGACACGCACTGACACCCTCGCTACACTCCCTGGACACCGCGCAGCCTCGTGTCCAACTTCTCCGAGCCCTACTGGTGCGCGCCGACTCCTCGCTCAGCCATACGCGACCCTGTTGCTCCTGCCCGCGCGTGCAATTACCTCGCACGCCAGGGCTGCTCGATTGGGACACAGTCTGACACCACTAGATCCCGCACACAGGCAAAACTTCTACATCGTACAGGGCAAGGCGCTCAACACGACCATCAAGCTCGGAGCATGGGGTGCCTGCACCAGCTACCGGGTCCGTCATTTTGGGACTGCATTCACAGACAGGACGAACGGCTGACGGGTCGAGTGCTGCAGAATGCGACCGGCATCAACGGACCGTCGACTTTCGTGCGTTCCCCTCGACCTTCGCCCGATCATGTTCCGCGATGATGCGGGCCTGGCTGACGAGCGTTCTTGATTGTGCGCAGTGCACTAGCCACTACTCGGGCTACGACTACTACTACGTCCCGAACAACACTGCGAACGGCATCAACCAGTTCGTGCGTCCCTCCTCTCATCCGCTTCGCTCCTTTCCATCTGCTCATCTGCATCATCCCGTCTCGCAGCCCACCGTCGCAGACGACAACACGATCCTCGGTCTCAATGCGGCGTCGACGGACCGCATCTTTGTCCTCGGATCTGGCGCAACCTCGACTTACTGGGTTCACGTTATCGGTGCGCAGCCGCTCTTCCCTTTCCCGCTAGAAGCACATCGAGACTGACATCTGGTTCCACAGCAACCATCCTCACCTGCCTCTGCGTCGCCTCGCTCATCCTCTCCCCCAAACACCTCGGCTCCGAAAACTCGCGCCTCTTCGCGCTCCAAAAATCCGGCATCGTCACCATCATCCTCGCACTCATCTCGTTCGTCGTCACGCTCGTCGCGTTTTGCATCGAGATTGCGGTGGCGCTGCCGGCGAAGAATAGGTTGAACAATGCCGCGGATGGGATCACGGCTAGTTTGGTGAGCGCCCGTTTGATCCTCGTGTGAAGAATGTGATTCCTAATGGCCCTCTTGGGATCTCGCAGGGCAACGTCCAGTGGTTCACCCTCCCCTGCGCGATCGTCATGATCCCCGCACTCCTGAGCGTCGTGCGTCCCTCCTGCCTTTCCCTACGCAGCCTGCACAGACGTGACTAACTTGTTGGGAACACGAACAGCTCCTCCGCGCGACGACTCAGCACGAATACGTCGACCTCTAATCCGTCCCGAACCCTTCCACCATCTCCTCAGCTATTCGCTCGCGCCCCTCGACTCGGCTCGATCTACGGACTTTCTTCCCCTCCTCGTTTCCCCTCTTCGCTCGCTCGCTTGCAGACACTCGCCTCACCAACACCACACAGCCTCCTTACGCCCTCCGCATCTCCGTCCACTCGTTATACATAGATACATCTTGCCGTGCCGACCCTCACCCCCGACGGCCTTCTCTCTCCCGCTTTGCGACCAGAGCGAGAGGGGAGGACGGGATGGAGGGGGAAGGGAAGGACTTGTCATGATACCCGGCCCTGGTTCTTTGCCCTCTTTCGTCTTGGACGTGCGAGATGGAGAGCGTGAGTGGGAGGGAGTCAAGCGAGTCGACTGGAGGGGCTTGAGCTTTACCGGGGTGTAGGAGAGCTAGTCGATGGGGACTTGTGAGCGTGCGAGTCGTCTCCCAAGGCTGGATTTCGAGCGCACCATGAGCGAGACAGCCGAGTCTGAACGGATGCTGGTGTATTGACAACGAACAAAGACAGATTTACTGACGAGCCTGGCCAGCGCCTTCTCCTCTCACAGATACTCCTTAAACCACTCCCTCGACCTCTCCAACCCCCTCTCGAACGCCTCCCTCGTGCGTGGATCGCTCAACCTCGGCCTGCACCCGAATCCGTGTACGGTACCGGGATTGTCGTCGTAGACTTTCGTCGCGATGTTGTGCGTGGAGGAGAGGGAAGCGAGGGCGGTGAGGGCGGCGGGTTTGATAGAATCGAAGGACATGTCTTCTGCTCGACTCGACGTCTGTCAGCTTGTCTGGCTCTTGGAGGGGGGAGAGGAGTAGGAAGCGCACCTTCTGAGCAGACGAGCATGAAGGGCCTGCGGATGTCCTCGATGTTCTTGACCGTCAAAGTCCCGGGGTGGAAGCAGATGGCCGTGTCGAGAGGCGAGGTTTCGCCTGCGAGGAGGACAGCAAGTGCGCCTCCCCAGCAGTAGCCGATCCAACCTAGGCGCTTGAAGCCTTTCTGTTCTCTCAAGTCGCGGCAGAACTGCACGAGAGTGGGTGTCAACCTTGCGCGCTCGTTTCGAGACAGGGCGGGGCGCACCTTCTCTGCCAAAGGCATGCAACGACTCATCCTGTGGCGGTACAGGTACCGCGGTCCGACCTTGACAAGCATGGCCGAGACGAGCGAGAACATAGTCCAGGTGCGCTGGAAGAAGGATTTGGTCTTCATTGGCTCTTCGAGAGCGGCGAGTTGTGGCTTGATTGACGAGGTGTCGATGTAGTCGCCTGACAACAGCAAATGTCAGCGCGGTCTTGCCAGACGAGGGAGAACGGCGCGCGCCTTCGAAGTAGTCGGGAACAAAGACGGGAAATCCAGTCTTGTCGGCGAACCAGTCGGCGAGGATCTTGCAGTTGACCAAGCCGAGGCCGAAGATGTCCGTGCCGCTGCGCAGAGGGCAAGCGTGACTTAGGACGTCAAAGCAAGTCTCGTGAGAAAAGCGCAGGACGTACAGGACGATCGCACGGTCTTTCTCGTCCGCTTTACCGGCCGCCAGGTAGTAGCTCAAGCCGCCGAGTTCGCCCATCGTACCCTTCGGCTCGCCGTCGAGCTTGTAGCCCGCGAAGCAATGCTGTCGCAGAGTGAGCCGAGAATGTCAATCAACCAGGAGCGTTGAGCGGGTTACAGACGAGCCGCAGCTACCTCGCAGGGCTTGTACGCGTCGTTCGTCGCCTGTGTAGCAGCCATCGTAGCGGGAGGAGGGCCGCGAGTGGAGCGTAGAGGAGAGAGTGGCTGGGGCGAGGGGAAGAGCAGCTGAAAGACGAGGACAAGACGAGGATAGGCGAGGGTCCGTCCGCTCCGTCGCGAAAAGCCGACTGCTAACGTCAGCAGCGGTATCGGAACGAGCTTGAACCCGAAAATAGCGCGAACTTGTCAAGAGGGTTCGCCAACGACGAGCAACTCTCGCTCGCTCGCCTCAGCTTGCTTGGACGCTATGGCCAGCTCGGACGCTCATTTGAACTTCCCTCGTGCGTCTCACGCCGTCGAATCGGCGCGCCTCGCCGTACTGACACCGTATTTGCCCTCATCACTCGCCAGTCCTCAAGCTGGTCTCGGACGCTCGCCTGACCTACGGGCTGCGTCACCAGGACTTTGGACGGTACAGGTGAGATCTACGAGGGTCATCGCGGTCGCGCAAGGAACGCCCACTCACCTGTTACACTCCGCAGGTCCCACTGCGTCGCCAAGGTCCACTATCTCCGCAAGTCGGTTGGCCTCGCGCAGACAGCTGGCAAGTCGCGCAAGTACCAGAGAAAGGATGTCGTGGCGGACAAGGTGGCGAGCGACAAGTGCGTTGACCGTCTCGCTCATCTTGACCCCTCCTCCTGCTGACCCGCTCGTACGATTCGCAGGCACTTGCAGATTGTCCTTTTCAACGCCGAGCGATGCTGGGCGTACTCGCAGCAGCTGAAGGAATCGCTTGACGACCCCGCCACCCCTCCCACGACTCGACACCTCCTTATCAAGCGGCTGGGCAAGGCAGTCTCGCTCTCGAAGGACCTCGTCGCTCTCGCTCAGTCGCCCGAACTCTCCTCGCCCCTCTCCGCTTCACACGCGGCCCAGATTCACGCCTACCACCTCGTCATGGACGGATCGCTCGCCTTTGAGCGGGGCAAGCACGACGTCGGCCTCAAGTCCCTCAGCATTGCCTTCGAAGTGCTTGGCAAGCTCGCTTCTACGGCGGCTTCCGCCACAGACGAGGCGCTCGCGAACGAGATGATGGACGAGGTCGAGCCGATGCTCCGCTTCTGCGCCTACAAGCTCGGAAAGGACACGGCCGCTGGTGTCGCTCCTATCGCGAAGGGGGTCGCGGAGCAGGAAATGGCGACTGCTGTCCCGGAATGGGACGAATTGAGTCAGCGCTTGGCGGAGGAAGGCAAGCAGGGCGAGAAAGAGTCGGTCGAGATCACCTGGCGCGGCGAGACGATCCCCGTCCGTAACGCCGAACTCGTCGCTGCTGCTGTCAAAGTTCGCGACGCTCTTGCGACGCTCAAGCAGGACCAGGCGACCGCTCGCAAGGCTGAAGTCGCGCAGGGCAAGCAGAAGGAGGGGAAGAAGGAGATCCTCGGCACGAAGCGGATGGGCACGTACGATAAGGCGCTACTCGTGCTCGGCGAGGCGGAGGCCATCGCGAGCCAGCTCGTCGAGGACAACAAGGTGCGCCCGCTCGATCTTCTCGTTTCCGAACAACGCTGACTGCGCTTGTACAGATCGCGCGCAGCAAGGGCAACACAGCTCGCTTTGAGGCTTCCTCTCGCCCTCTCACGCTGTTCCACACCTATGTTCAGTACCACCTCCTCTCGATCCGCATCAAGCGCGACCTCCTCGTCGTCTCCTCCGCCTCGTCGAAGCTCGCCGCTCGCGAGGCCAAGATCCGCCACGTCGAGCAGACCTACGTCGCTCGGACCGAGACGCGCAACCCTGCTGTGGCGGACGGCAAGATCCGCAGGCTGCGCGCCAAGGCCTACCCGGGACTCGTCAAGGTCTTTGACACGATCTTGCTCAGCCTCGAGGCGATGCGGGATAAGGAGGTTGTTGAGCAGGACGACGAGCTGGCGTCGACGGTCGAGGCGAGGATTGCGTTCGTTCGCGCGCAGCGGTGCGTTCGGGCGTGCCCTTCCTCTCTCATTCGAGGGCTGACACTCGCCTGAACAGCTGCATGTACCTCTCGCGCGGCTACGCCCTCGCCTCATCGTTCCCCTCCTCCCTCTCCCTTAACGCCCGCGCAAAGCTCTACGCCCGGCAATCCCGCTCGACCGTCCAGTCGCTCTCCTCCGCCTTCGACACTCCCGACGACGGCGGAGAGCGTGACCACGACTTCATCGCCGACCAACTCCCGCTCGATGATGCGTCGTTCGATGCGCTCGATCGCGAACTCGAAGCCGATTACGACCGGATCTCGAAGGAGTGGTTCGAAGCGACGGGCGGGAAGGTCGGCGAGAACGCGGACGAGGAGGACGACGTCGCGGCTGGCGTGCGCGACTTGTCGCTTGCCGATGGCAAGAAGGAAAAGAAGAAGGCCAAGGTGCCGTTCTACGACGTCGCGTTCAACTATGTCACGGCGTTCGACCTCGATGCGATGGCCATCAAGGCGGGTCTGGTCGCAGCGCCTGCGGACGCGCCAGCCACAACAGCTCCGGCACATGCGCAGGTGACGGAAGAGGCGAAGGCAGCAGTGGGAACGAAGGAAGAGGAGGAACCGCAACCTGCGAAGCGCGGCTGGGGATTCGGCCTCTTTGGCAGGCGATAGACTCGCTCTCGAAGGGAAGCGCAGGGCACACGTATGGAGACGACAGTTTGCTCTTTGCAAGGAGAGTATCCAGGCGAGAGTGGCGAGGTCAGAACGACGGGGAGTCCGAGAGTAAGCCTGCTAATAACGGTGCGGGGATAGTGAACGGAGAACGGGGGTAAAGGGAATCCAACGAAGCGAAAAAGCGGGGGTTCGAGAAGAAGGTCTGTAACAAGGAGGGTAGGAGGCGGCAGTCGATGCTGAGAAATGAGGTGTAGAGTCGCGAGAGAGAGAAACCCAAAACGTGTGAGGAGTGACCCGAGTGTATGTTCCTGATTCCTGACAGCGCGAGTCCGAGAGCCGAGAAGAAGAGACATGTACGGTCGAGGGTATGTATGGCGACGGGGAGGCGAAGGCGAGGTGGAGGATGGGGGCCGAGTCGGCTTCGCTCAGTGCTGAGGCTGCGCCGCGGCACCGGCGGGAGCAGGCTGTCCACCCTGCTGCGCCATCATCTGCTGCTGCTGGACGTACGCCGCCCACTGGGCGCCGTACTGGCGCTGCCACTCGGCCATGGCTGCCGCAGCCGCCGCAGGGTCGGCTGGCGCAGCGCCGGCAGGTCCAGGCGCCGAGGCGCCCGCCGCAGGACCAGGCTGCGCGTAGGGCGAAGGCGCGTACATGCCGTAGCCGGTCTGGGGCGGCGCTGCGCCCGCAGGTCCGTCCGCCCTGTCCTTGCCCCACGCACACTTGAGGCCGCGACCGTGAACCATCGTGCCGGTGAGGTTGGCGATGGCGTTGGCGGCGTTCTCGTGCGTGTCGAGCTTGACGAAGGCGAAGCCGCGATCGGGCTGCATGCGGATCTCGACGATGTAGCCGAAGCCCTGGAAGAGCGGGATGAGGTCGGCTTGGGTCGTGTAGGGCGTGAGGTTGCCGACGTAGATGGTCGAGTTGTACGAGGGGGCCTGAGCGACAACCGCGTCGTACTGTGAGGGGAAACGAGCTCGTAAGCTATACTTGCGGTACTCACCGAGGCGAAAGAGGACACACCGAGGAAGGGGTACCCGAGTAGCCGCTGCCTCCTCCGCCGCCCATCGGGCCACCCATTCCACCACCAGGTCCGCCTCCGCCGCCCTGGTTGTTCTTCTGATTCGCCCAGTTGACACGGATCGCCCTCGAGCCAAGCCACTCGCCGTTCATCGTCTGGATCGCCTGCTCGGCGTCGGTCCTGTCGCGGAAGGCGAGGAAGCCGTAGCCACGGCTCTTGCCCGTGTTCATGTCCCACATGACACGAGCGTCCGAGAGCGAGCCGAACGCCTGGAACGCCTTCTGGAGGACCGAGTCATTGACTTCGGGCGAAAGGTCGCCGACAAAGAGATGGAAGTGGTTCGTGAGGTCCTCCTTCTGCGCGTTGGTGTTCTGGTAGGCCCAGTTGACCTTGATCTCCTGGTCAAAGATGCGGCGGCCGTTGAGCGTCTGGAGAGCCGTCTCGGCCGATCGCATCTCGTGGTACTCGACGAAGCTGTACGAGACTGCTGTGAGCTATCGAGGCGCATCGTGAACGCGAGTGACAGCTCGACTCACCCGTAGTTGATTCCGCCGTGCTGGAAGGACCGGTCGGGGATGATCTTGACGCCGAGAACGGGGCCTGCGCGCAGGAGCGACAATGTCAGTCCTCTTATACCCACCGACCAGTCGTACCCACGCTCAACAGCCCGCCGGCATGAAGGCCGCAACACCCCGGAGCTTCGTGGAGATCGCAAGTCCTGCCGACTCACCAGCAACGGCGAATATCTCCTGGAGCATGTACTCGGTCACACGGGGGCTGAGATTTCCGACGTAGAGATGCGCGCGCTTGGGAGGCTCGCCGCCGGGTCCGAGAAGCGACCTGCGAGTGAGGGAGGATGCCGAAGCGGGTGGCAAGCGGGAGCCTGTCAGCGCTGGCGGTTCGACAAGGGTGTGCGATAGACTGTGTGACTTACGGCTGGCCGTACGCGGGCGGAACGGATGCCGGGAACGCGTCCATCTGGGTTGGTGTCGACGACGAGGAGGAGGTGGGCGCGGGGAGCGAGGGAAACGAGATGCGGGCGGTGCGGTTGGCTGCAGACGGTCTCTAGCACGTCTCGCGTGTCCCTTGTGAGCGCTGCACGGACACGAGCAGCAACAAAGCGCAGGCGACGAGGATCAACCAGCGAGGACACCGGGTCGAGGAAAGACCCTCATCTCGCACGCTTCAACCTCGCTCTGGCTGCTTGCTGAAGACGCCGCTGCACTCTCTAGACTCTCCTGATTACGACAGTCCTTGTCCCGCCCGGAATGGCCTCGCCGTCGTCTCCCTACCTCCACCACCCCGCTCAGTATGGAGGAGCAGCGTACGGGCACCCTGCAGTCGGCGGGAAGGGCCTTCCAATGCATGTACCAGCTCAAGCGTACGACCCGTCTTCACCCGCGCCTTCCTCGCCGAGCGTCGCCTCCTCGTCTGCCCGCTGGCCGCATCAACCGGGACTCGCTGGGGGACCGCCAGACTTGACGGGTGCGTGGGTCCTCGACGTCGAAGCAGAGCGTGAGACCTAACACTCACCACGAGCAGAGCGGTACCGCCTCAAGGCCAAGTACCTCAAGCTTCAGAAGCGCTACTTCAGGAGTATCGAGGCAAGTCTCGCTCATTCCGCTTGTGTTGGCCCGTCTGACCCGCCGTATGACGTACAGATCCGCAAGGACCTGACGCTCGAGCTGGCGGAGAAGGAGGAAAAGGTTCAGCAGCTTCAGGATGAGGTCGAGTACGTTCACCATCCTTTCTCTCCCCTCCTCCGTCAGCAGGCTGACCCTCGCTCTTCCAGCTTGATCCTCGACCAGATCCACGACTCTGACTACGCCCACCTCCGCCCAAAGCACGACTCGCTCTTCTCGGACGACGAAGACGTAGGGTTCGAGCTGGATGACGAGGAGGACGAGTCACCGCACGTCAAGGTTGAGAATGGCGAGGAGACCCTTGAGGGAGACGTCAAGGGGAAGAAGCGGATGAGACTGCGAGATTTGGAGGACGAGGAAGACGAGCGGAGGAAGGAGCTTGAGGCGAAATACGGGATTGACGGAACGAAGCAAGTGGTGAGTCGTGCTTCAGGCAGCCTTGCGATGCGCGAGACGCCACTACAGGGTGCTGACTGCTCGGTTCGACTCGCAGGTCACCGTCGCACCGCCCGAGCCTACCCCTCCTCCACCCGCTCCCATCCCCGCCGCCGCTCTCCCCGTCCTGCCTCCCATCCATCCGGCACCCGCCGCTCATCCCGCCTCAATCGCTGCCCCTTCCTCCGCAGCTACGTACGACCAACAACAAGCGCTAGCCCAGGCTGAGCAACCTGCGGCTGCGGCTGCGGCACCGAAACGGTTGAAGCTGACTTTCGGAGGAGGCGGAGGGGCGAGTGCTTCGTTTACTTGAGAGGCTCGTGTGAATCGTGGCGCAGTACGTAGTAGGTGATAGTGCCTGTTGTCAATAGTACATCTACGGAACGTATCTGAACCAGGGACACAGAGAGAAGAGGAGGACCAGTACGACAGATTTCTCCCCGATCTGCACCAGCGTCACACCACACCATCCCGCAGCCGCTGCTGCCGATGCCTCGGCGAGACCTTCGTCCTGCTCAGATCGAAGCAGTCGAGCGCGAAAGAAGCGACGAACGAGGCGGAGAGGAGGAAGGAGAAGGCGAGGGCTGTGTTGTACAGGTTGCTGCGCCGCTCATTCGTTAGTTCGTCTCGACGGAAAGTAACCGCAACGAGGGCGCACCAGTATCCCTCGAGTCCGCCCGCAGGACACCTCTTTCCACCCGTTACTGCCCATCCCGCTACCCCTCCCCAACCCACCGCGCACACCGCATCAGCCACAGCTACTTTCTTCGCCCACGAGCGAGCTTGACGCCACGTAGTGTCGAGCAGGACGTGTGAGAGGAGGGATCTGCGAGGGTTTGAGGAAGAGGAAGAGCGAGCGGTCCAAGGGTCCTCTTCGCCGGACGATAGGTCTGAATTAACTCCGTCTGAGTCGGAAGACGACGACGAGTCGGTGGCTCGTTGGTCATCGAGCGGAGAACGTGGATGACGCCGCTTCTTGCGCCGCTTCTGCCGCCCTCTTCGGCTCGCTCGTCCGCCCTCCTCCGATGTCTGCCCCTGCATCGCCGCCATCAGCCTCGGATCGACGATTAGATTGAACTGCGGTGGGTGATACTGCCCTCTTGGCACGCGACGTCTCGACTCCCCGAGACAGTCGCACCAGCCTCCGGTGGGCTGGGGTTGTTCTTGTTGCAAGAGAGGCATAGCGAGGCCGGCCTGAGGTTGCGGAGAGTGATGAGAGCGGCGTTTGTAGAGCAGAGGACGGATGGCGAAGAGGTAGGTTGTGAGGAAGAGCGAGAGGAAGGGGAGGAGGTAGAGGATCAGAAGGGGGGCTGAGCCGGAAGGAGGGGGCTTGTCCTTCGGGTGTGTAAGCTGCGACACGTTGCGTCAATGTCAAACAAGAGAGGAGGAGAAGTGTGCGAAGCGAGACGCACGACAGCTGCCCCGATTGATCCAATCCCAACAACGACCGCTCCTCCCGCCTGAAACCACCTCAACGCCAGCCTCTTCCGCCTTCCCATCACGACGAGTCGGCCCTTGTCGTCCACCCCGGTCGTACGCTGTACCTCCAGCTTCTCCGCCTTCTTCGCGTCCTTCGCTTCCTTCATGCGCTGTTTTGCCGAGACACCCGCCGCATCAGTTGGGCGCTCCTCGCCAAACTTCTGCGCGAGCTTCTCCATCCTCGCCGCAGCCTTCTGCTCCAGTCCCAACCCCTTCGACCCAGACACACCCTCGAATCCAACACCCTGCTGATACGACCCCGCTGCCTCGAACCACTCTCCTTTCTCCCGCTCGTCCGTCAGAGCGTAGGCGAGGTCTCCGCGGGTCTCGTCGTCGTCAACGTCGTTGTGCGAGAATGGGTCGCGGTAAAAAGCAGAATGTGCGGAAGGAGAAGTAGGGAGATGGGCGGGGTCATCGAAGAGGAGGGTTGGGAGTGCGAACGGTGCGTCGTTCGAGGGAGTACCGTAGGAAGAGGTTGGACGGGCGAAGGAGGAGGGGTGGTGAGCTGAAGGCGGGAAGGAGGGGAAGAAGGGAGGCGAGTGCGGCGAGTCGAGCGAGTATGTCGGCCTTGGGTGAGGTTGGGCTGGAGACATGTAGGCCGCGTATGAGTACGAATGCCGAGGATGGAGAGCGGGAGACCACGAGTCGATTTGATAGTGCGAGGAAGAATGGTCGAAGCCAGAGCGTCGCGGAAGTGAGTCTGGCGGTTGTCGCACGCTGTACCAGCCACCGTCTCCGTCGTCCCTCCCATACATCGCGGGTCTGATGCTGCCCCTCGTTCCGCCGCCCGCATCCCGCGACTTGAACGACCCGCTCGCCAGCGACGAGGGTCCAGCTTGTCGTGCCGCCGCAAAGTCAGCGAGTCCGTCTGCTTCGACCAGCGAGTCTTCTGTTGCCTCTCTGTCATGCATCGCAAAGCATCGCAAAGCATTGCGAGCGCAGACGATGCAGCGAGAAGAGCAGCGGCACGGTCACGTTGAGGAGGCGAAGGAGGACTGAGCGGGCCTCGCGTGGCCAGCGTTCCTGTCGGGCTTATCAACCCGCATCTCCTGAGGACGCAAAGTCCAGAGCGACGCCGTTCAACCTGTGCGAACGGCGAGCGAGCGTTGTGGTCGTCTTGCTGTGTGACCTTCTCAAGCGCGACGAGACTGGATGGACTCGCCTTCCATGCCGCCTTTCCCCGTCGATGCGCGCGCTCGGCATGTCGTTCGATGCTTTGTAACACACTCTTGACTGTCCACTCAACCTTCCCAGTCGCCCACGCTGCCCTCGCGGATCCTTCTCCGCGCGACCTCGCCAGGAGGCGTCACCGCCAGTCAGAGTCGGCCTGCCAGTCTTCTCCTGCTCGTCCTGCTCACGCCTGCACAACGACGCTAGCTGTCCGACTTCGCTACAGCTGTCTGCGGACTCGCGTGCGCGTGGCCAGAGCCGGTCGTCGCCCTTCTCTCGCCCTTCACACACGACAAGGCAAAGCGGGAGCGCGTCATAGGCGATGGGAGGCAACAAGGGAGGACCCAAAGGCAAGGCAGGACAGTGAGTCGTCGTTTGCGAGTTGTTTCGAGTCGTTGGAGGCGAAGGATCGCGCAGGCGGGCTGTTCCCGTCGACGAGCCACTTCTCGAAGTCCTCGAAGGAAGCGACTGATCGAAATCTTCGTTTCCGTTCTCCTCTGCAGGTCTGGAGGCGTAGAGCCGTCGGTCCTGCTCACTTCGAAACCCGTCTTTGAGCCAGACTGACCCGAACCGCTCCTTGCAGGTCCGACGGCGACCATGCTGGACAGGACTGGATCATGAAGCTCCCCGACGAGCTCCTCCTCTCCATCGCACGTTTTTACAACCCGCCTATACCATTCCAACTTGGCCACTTTACCCTCTCGTCGCGCTACATCCAAGACGGACGAACCGAACTCCGCGCGCTCGTCGCGACCTGCAAGCGGTTCGCCAAAGTCCTCCGCCCTGTCCTGTACCGAACAATGGTGTTCATCGATGACAAGCGGCGGACAAAGACGGTCAACTTCTACCATGCCAAGGAGACGCATGACCTCGTCAAGGAGATGTACTGGCAACCCTCCTGTACGTTCCTTCGCTTCTCGATATTTTCGCGGCCTGCTGTCCAGCGGGCGGTGCATGTGTGTAAAAGCCGTAGAATGCTTGCTAATGTTGCGACCTGCAGACCTCTACAACGACATGTCGCCCCTCTTCCTCCCGCTCGCGAAGAACCTGACCTACCTCGTCCTCGCCTTCCTGCCTCAAGACGTCCCCGACGACTTCATCGCCGACGACTACGCCGGGCTGACGACGCTCACCAAGTCCTTCACCGACGCTTTGCGGCAGTTGAAGAATTTGAGCGCGCTCGAGATCCCGTTCTGGGAGTCGAGGCAGGACAAGTCGTTCCACTTTGGAGAGGAGATCTTGCCGGCCCTTGACTCCCTCAGTATCGGTGACTGGCAGGAGTGGGATGCGGTACGTTCGAGCTCTTCCTTTCTTCGACCGTCGCGTTCTGACCGCCTTGCCTCGCAGTTCGAGCACTCGCACAAAATCACGACCGTCAAATGGCTCATCCACCCCGACATCGACATGGAAGAAGGTCTCCTCGAAGGCTTCAATGAGAACCTCGCCGCCAACGCCAAGTACTTCCAGTTCAGCGCTCACTCGGGTTGGGGGCGGACGGATCTGCCTGAGAAGCTGCCCGACACGGTGGCGCATGCGTCGTGGTACAAGGTGAGCCGAGACGAGGCCTGCGGGTGTCAGGACTGCGGGACTGACGATTCCATGTCTGCCGAGCAGGACATCAAGAACCACCCGCTCGAGAGTCTCACTCTTCACGGCTTCAACCCCATCACCAGCTACAAGGAAGAGTGGGCCAAGACGCTCCCTAGCTTCCTCAGCCTCCTCCAGATGTCAAACCTCCACCACATCGCCTTCATCGACGTCCCCTCTCTCCGGAACAGCGACCGCGTCCCGCTCAACTGGGACGACCTCGAGCCGCTGCAGAAGATCGATACGGTACAGATCTCGCTTGCGACGGAGGAGGACGTGGGCAAACATGGAGGAGATCCGGAACAGCATGACGAGGACGGTGGCGACGAGGCGGAGGGCAAGCAGCACGACGAGATGAGCCAGCGGGTGAACCTCTCCTCTGCGAGTTGACGAGCTCCTGGCGACTCGCTAACGCAGCTCTTGTTTGCGGCCCGCCTCCAAGCAGATCGCGCCGGACGATCTGCAAGCCCTGCTCCGCTGCTTCCCCAACATCAAGCACCTGACGCTCGCCAACTTCCACCGGTGCAAGAAGCCTGAAGAAGTCGAACAGAACCGCAAGGAGCGGCAGAAAGAGCGCGACGAGAAGCAGCAGGAGAAGGAGGAGAATGACGAGATGGACGAGGACGAAGAGGAGGAGGAGGACCCCATTGAGCGCTTCGCGGAGGACATCTTCCAGCCTGCCGCGCGCGACTTTGTCAACGCGCTCGGTCTCCTCGAGCAGTACGACAAGCTCGAGCAGGTCATCTTCCGAAGCGTCGAGGCCGAGTTGGTGATTCGGTTCCGGCGCGGAGGTGAGGAGGAGGACGACGACAGGTGGCACGAGGAGTTGAGGCGGCTATACTGAACTATCCTTCCGGGCTCTCTTATTCGGTGCATTACGCATGTGGACGTACGGACTTCGCAAAATTGTGTAAATACAAGAACCCGTCCCATAGTCGAGCGCGGGACGAGCTGCGGTTCCGACTGCACGAGAGGCTACAATACTAGTCGATTAGAAGGAGCTTGTTGAGGAGTGATGCCGGCGTAAGCGTGATGGGGAATTGAGGGGGGTCATCCGTCGCCCGCTATGTCGCCGAGACCGTCGCCTTCGATCGTGCGAACGGCACCCTTCCCTGACTTGCCCTTGACCTTCTTGTTGCGTAGAGACTATCGAAGAAAGCGGTCAATGAACGAAAGCGAGGAGGACGGGCGGGGCGAACGAACCTTGTAGTACTCGCGCATCGCGACCTTGTCCATCCCAGCCATCTCACTCGCCTCATTCTCCTCCTTCCACTTGAGTTCCCTCTCCTCCTTCATCGTCAAGCCGTTCTCGTCGACCTCGGTCTCCTCGACGCCCTGATCCAAGTCGTCGCGGCGGAAGATGCTGGCAAAGTGCGCCGCCCAATCTTGCGACGCGTCGCCCTTGCGCCAGGTCGGTACGCCGTCGCCTTCCGCGTAGGAGCGGCCGCGTTCGGCGGGCGTAACGTAGGTGAAGGACTGGAGGAGGAGGTACCAGGTGTAGTCTGCGAAGGGGAAGGGGGATCGTTTCGTCAGCTCGCTGCATACACACAGCTTCTGCCGCCTACACAGAAAGCCTCAGAGCTCAGGGCAGAGGACACAAGCGACGCACTGAGGGTCTGACTCCTCCGCCAGCGCTTACAGACGAGTCCGACGGCGAGCAAGTCGTTGGCGTTGAGCTCGCCCAGAATGCGGCCGAGGACGACGTTGGGGAACCTGAGGAACGGGTCGAGCGGGTTCCTCATCGCCTCTGCCTTCTCGCGCTCCTTGGTCTTGTCCCGCCTCGGTTTCCCCGCCCCACCTCGCCTCTTCCCAGCGCCCGCGCGTGTCGGGGACGCAGAGCGACTCGATGCCGGAGTCGAGGCGACAGAGCCAGCGTTGGACGGGACGGGCGTGCACACCTCGATCTGCTCGTCGTCGTCTGAGGCGAGGTGCAGTCGGTCGATGGCGGGCGGAGAGAGCGGCTCGCCGTCTGGTCCGCGGGCCTGCGAGGCGTGGCGGTTCAGCGCTCTGTGTAGCAGGTCGTGCGACATCTCACAGCAGTATCCGGGCGAAGCAGTGTGAGCGGTTCGAACGAGAGAAAGCTTGTTCGCATGTGGGGACGGAACGGTGACATCAGGCAAAGGGTTTGCGAGAGCTGCTGCTGGGCACGCGCAGAGTTAGTGTCCTCGAGAACGGAGAACGAAGCTCTCGGGACAAGCGAGAGGCAAAGGCGAGACTTGAACGAGCTGTCGCTCCTTGTTGAACAGGGTGTCCTGCGATTGCATACCGAGTCTACGCCCCTCGCTGGCTCAGCGAAGGCTTCAAGCATCAGGCAGGTGAGCCTGTCTATGCTTTGGGAAGCGGGAGGAAGAAGGCAGAGGCGAAAATAAGCTGTCAGCGAGGCAGTCCTCGAGGTCGTATGGAACGACGCCGACGCACCTGCTTCTGGTCAGCGTGGACGGCAGTCATCGAGCGTCGTCGCCGATCAGACCTACACAAGGTTGACAGCGTTAGCGAGCGAGCGAGTCCCGCAGCGAGAAGGAACGCACGTCGGGCAGCAAGAGCCAGTCTCGAGTCCCGTTTCGCCTACACAGCCTGACCCCCTTTGACCTCCCAACAACCTCGAGTCCGACGGCCGCAAAGTGCTCGGGATCGGGGAGGATGGTCGCGCCGCCGTCCAGGTGTTTCCCGCCCGAGTTCTCGATGCTCAGCTCCGGCACACCCGCAAGATCGTCCTGGAACCGAATACCGATGCTGAGAGAGCACTCTTCGAGGGATTGCGGCTCCATGTTGAGGACTTGCAGCGCGCCGAGGTGCGATTCGGGAAGAGCCGCATCTTGCGATGGCTTGGGGGTGTAGATGGTGAGTTGGCGAAGGGGCAGGGCGGCCAGTGCCTTGAGTAAGGGCTCGAGATTTGGGCATAGCGCTTCGGGCGTCGTGTAAACGCTCAGGTCGGCTAGTTTGACCGAGTCTTTGACGAGGTCTTGCAGCGGGATGATGGAGCCGTGAAACGCGCAGTGTTGAAGCGTCCGTGCGTGGAAGAGAGACCTGATGCGAAGCCAGACCTGGCGTGCGAACTCTTCCTCCTGTGCTGGGTTGCCTAGTCCCGACCTCTTGACACATACATCGAGTGACATCAGCTGGAGGGGCTTGGTGACCGGCGTATATCGTGGCGATGCAAGGCCCCTGCCGATGACGTGGAAGTGAACGCCGAGATGCTTGAGATTGCCGAAGGCGGCCAGGCGTTCTTCAAGCGGAAAAGTGTCGAAGTCAATGACGATCGGGACAGCGACAAGGTCGGGTCCGCGGATGGCCGATGAATGTACTACTGGGCTTGCAATTCCGAGGGTCCGCAGTGAGGGAGCGGAAGGAGACTCGGCGACCGCAGCGAGGAGTATGGCGGCGCCAAGGGCGCATTGAAGCGAGACGAATTTGAGGTTCTTCGCGTTCCGCAAGATGGTGACGAGCTCACCAACTGTCGGCATCAAGCTTAACGGTTCCACCTCCTGATCGCGGGTATGGCTTACGACGAGGCTGCGGACGAGGTCGAGCAGCTCTGGTCGCGCAACCAGCGGCGCAATCGCCCTCTCATCCTCGCCGAACGTGATCTCGACCCGCCGCCAGCTCAAAGCCTCGCCGAGTGATCGCCATCTCCGGCAGACGAGCGAGATCGTGCCGCCTTGCTTTGCTCGTGCGGGCCAGTCTAGGTCGCGGTAGAGGGAGTCGAGGACGAAGGAGACGATGTCGAGCGGGATGGGACGAGTCGCCATTCGGTCGAGGGTGTACCTGCAGATGACCTGTGCGGTCAGCGTTGCTTGACAGGCGGCAAGGACCACTGGGAGACCCACGAAGTGGGGGCAGTGATGAGGATCAAGGACGCGGAAGCACGGCGCGAGCGGGTGACTGGGTGGACCTGGACGCCCTGTCAGTGAGCGTGGAGCAGCACAAGCCAAAGCACAAGCGGGCAGAAGTCGAGGAGGACGCAGAGCGAGTTGAGCGAAGCCGCCGGACGAGGCGAAGTCGCGGGTCGCTCACTCTCCACCGCTCTGACTGATGCGGCAGCAAGCTTGCTGTACTTGCGCGAGTCTATCTAGATTTCCAGGCCACTCCGCCGATTTACCCGGGTGCAGTGAGCGGAGGCGGTGTTCGATGTTCGAGCTCGAATCTCTGCTCGCTCACACTCACTCGCTCCCTCTCTTGCTGTGGCCATGTCGGACGGCTTCTTGCCTGCACACGCTACATCGGCAAAGGCGAAGAAGCACGCCCGCCAGCAGGCGTCGAAGCCGACCACCTCGTCCTCGACCGCCAAGGCAAAGGGAAAGGGAAAGGCATCCGCTGCCTCGCCTGCGCCGCACCTCCTCTCGACTCAGCCGAGCCAGGGAGCGGATGACATGATGGAGGATTTTGAGCGGGTGCCGCTGGACGAGGGTGTCGAGCGGAGGAAGGCTGTCGGGGGTCAGGCGGTGGCTGCGGGAGAGGCGGACGCGGCGATGGCCGTTGAAGAGGGTGCAGCAGGAACAGGAGGAGACGACGAAGACGACGCCGTCATGATCGACCCGTCGCAGCTGCCAACTCCCGTCGTCCGCACCCCGATCGCCTCACTCGAAGCCAACGCTGCCGCTTCTTCCTCTTCCGACCCGAACTCGCTCTCTTTCGCTCCTGTTACACACCACAACGCGTCTGGCTTGACCCAGCGACGAAAGATCTCGATCCCGCCTCATCGCATGACCCCGCTCAAGCGCGACTGGATCAAGATCTACACGCCCTTGGTCGAGGAGTGCGGCTTGCAGGTTCGCATGAACGTGCAGAAGCGTCAGATTGAGATGAAGGTGCGCGCGTGATGCTACCGTGCTGTCAAAGAGTCGCAATTGACCAATTGCATTTCTCCTCAGACCTCGAAGCACACCCCTCATCCTTCTGCTCTCACCCGCGCCGCCGACTTCCTCTCCGCCTACTGCCTCGGTTTCGCCGTCGAGGACGCCATCGCGATGCTCCGTATGGAGGAGCTCTACATCGTGAGTCTCTCCGTCGCCCTTCTGCCCTCTGTTCCGCCTTTCCTTCGCTTCCTTGGCGCATCACGTCCTCTCCCGCTGTCTGCCGAACCTCTTGAGTACGTTTAATGACATACGAACCACCCAACACAGGAATCCTTCGAAATCAAGGACATCAAGATGCTCCACGGCGACCACCTCAGCCGCGCCATCGGCCGCTTGGCAGGCCACGAAGGCAAAGCCCGCTTTGCCATCGAGAACGCGACCCGCACACGCATCGTCCTCGCCGACACCCGCATCCACATCCTCGGCACCTTCTCCAACATCGCTGTCGCCCGGTCGTCTATCTCTGCGCTTGTCCTGGGTTCGCCGCCTGGAAAGGTCTTTGCGAACCTGTCGAGGTACGCGAGCTTGCAGAGGTCGAGGTACTAGGTCGGCTTTGCGCAGGCAGTGAGGCAGGGAGAGGACGGCAGGGAGGAAGAGGAGTGTTGTATCCTGTATAACTTTTCGCAGGTGGAGGTTCTCGGGTCTTGCTAGTAGACGTTTTTCGTTGCGCTCTTCTCTTGTTTGTGGATTCACGAGTGAAAAGACTGGAAGCGGAAGGGGCCGGAGGAGGAGAGACGAGCACGAAGGAATGTCTCCCGCCGGCGACGCTCCTGCGCCGTGCTGGACAAAGAAGCAGTTAAGTACAGGGGCATGGGTGAAGCGATGTCGGAAATGCGCGGAGCGGGAGCAGGCAATAAAACAGTCTGAGCAACTCGAGAGGGTGGACCAGGAGGTCGTCCTCAAGCGAGGTACCAGGGTCTCCGACAGCAGTGAGCCGTCGATCGTCTGAGAAACTTTCGCAGCTGAATCGGCGAGAAAAGAGAGGATGCGAATGAGCGGGTGAGCGCGCGAGTGTTTGGCGCGGAGGCCGACGAGAGAGGCATTGGACGTATTGCGGGGGTCAGTCTGCTGCGACGACGCCTACGTTACGGCCCTCTGCATTGCGCCTGCAGCGTTTACGAGAGAAGAGCCTGAACGTCGGTGAGCCTAACGAGCGGCCGCAAAGCAGCGCGCCCTTCCTTGCCCCGAGTCGAGTCCTGGCAGCGCTTCGGCAAGATAGCCAAGCCTCTTCAGCAGCCACTATGACCCCAGTACTCGCTTGCGACGAGACGACGGTGTCGCGAGATGTGATGAAGGCGAGTATCGGGGCGAGGGTCGGAGGAGGACGACTGAAGGCGGAGCGCAGTGAGGAGGATGGAGGGACACGATACAGCAGCGAGAATAAGCGAACGGGCGGAGAGACAGCAAGAAAGGCCAGTCGTATCGCGGTCTTGACGGGGCAAGCGCAGAGACGGCAACGGGGTGGAAGATCGTCGTTTGAGCGACGCGCCCGAGCGTGCTGGGTCTCCCTCTGACCGTACGCTGCTTCGGCCTGCTCCGATACGACCCCTGATACCCCGGCATGCTGGTACAAAAGCGAGTTGAGGGTCGGCGGCTCCTCGTCTTCCCGCTCGAGCCGGACAAGGGCGGACGGATCCGGGTTCTCGCCGGCACTTAAGGCGTTCTGCGTCGCGCTGGGCGTGGTCGATGTCGATAGCGAGACGTTGGCCGTCTGGGCAGCTGCTTGTCGGGCGTCCTGAGCGGGAGTGAAGGCCACCTTGCCCCCGAGTGTCGCGTCGGGCGAGCAGGCTGGAGACTCGAGGGCCGCGTTCGTTCGAATCTTCGGGTGCTGGCTTCTTCAGCAAAATATCTGGTGTCGTGGGACCGATTCCACGGTTGTGCACGAAGCAGCTGAGGAGAAGGGGCGGCGGAGCGAAAAGGGATAGTGAGGAGGACCTTCTGAGCAGGCAGGGAGAGCCTCCCTCCTTCTGGCGCCTCTGGACCATCGCGAAGGCGTTGGCTACCATCGTATCCGTCAGGTCGAGCCCGCAGGCGGCCGTCACGTCGGCGCAGAGGGTCGTCGCCGGATCGCAGGGGTCGAGTCGAGGTGTCGCCGGCGAGCGAGTGCCATGACGGCGCCGCCGCACCTCAAGGGGCTTGCTGCAGCCCAGTAGAGTTGCGCAGGCCAGCCTGTGCCCCTTCGCACCGAGCTCAGTCAAACGGAGCAAGTTGTCGAAGGCCAACCGGCGCCAACCCACCATCTCGCTCACTCGCGAGCCTCTCCCTCCCGCCAACAACGTCCACCCTCGCTTGACTGCTGGTGCTGGTGCTCGGGCGACGCAGCAGACCAGCTAGAAGGTGGACAGAACAGCCGCCAGCCAGCCAGACTCGCCCGAGGAGACGCCAATCCTTCCTCCTCCTCCTGTCCTCATCTCCATTCTCGCCTCCCTCGCACCGTCTCGCTCGCACTCGCCCATTCCGCCATCCGCCGCACCTCCGCCACGAGCCCTCGAGCGCAGACCCAGCCCTCGTCCTCGCCCCGAAACCGGACGCACTGCTTCGCTCTTCACCGCAACTCGCTCCTTCCCCTCTTTCCCTCCTCCCTCCCACTCGCTCTCAGCGTCTCTGTCTCCTCTGCGCCCATCACGACAGTGCGCTCGAACAGCCGTGCGTTCCCTTTGCCTCCTCGAGCGTCTGAGTGTCTCAGACGGCGCTGCTTCGCTCGCTGCAAGTCCTCACTGACGAGCTTCTCTCGCAGGATGCCGAGGCGGGCTGTTCTTCGCCCCGTCGACGACGCTCGCTGTTTAGAGAGCTCGACGTTTCCAGGTGGCTTCGGTGCGAACCGGGCCTTCCGCCTCCGCTTCTCTCGCTTTTGCCCCCTGGCCTCCGCCCTCTTCCTTTCCAGAGCGCCTGATACGACACTCGCGCAAGATATTTTGATCCGCGACGGACAATGCGACGATCTCGACGAACCCAGTCGCAGCGCTCGGCGCAACCTCCCGCGCTCAGAGCCAGCTTCTCGCGCTTCTCTCCTATCCTGCTGACGCGAAGTGCCTGCTGATCCAGTCTTTTTCGCCTGACACCGTAACTTCTCGAGCGATTCGTTCGACCTCAAGCCCGCCTCTGAATGCTGCTCGAAGGCGCGGGTCGTCGCTTCATCGCAAGCCGCGCGCTCCAGCCCGCTCGCTCAGTTTCGCTTGGACTCTTCCTCGACGACTCCCCTCCTCGACACGGATGCCACAGCGGTCTTCAGTTGCATGTCAGACGCCAATGCGCTGATCCAGGACGACCCTGCACCCGACGCGAGCCCGCAGCCGTTCGGGCCTTTCCTCACTCCTTCCGGCGGTCTACGTGTGCCGTCAACCCTCCCGCAGTTCCCTGCGCTCGCTGGCAGGGTGCCTACGCCGGACGACTCGCGCTCAGCGACTCCCGAAGATGGCGTAGGACAGGCGGATGCACTGGCGGAGCTTGGGGAACGACCTCGCTTCCGCCTCTCGCGCATGTGCTGACGCGCTTGCTTTCCCGCAGGCGCCGAATGCCTCGAAGCGGCGACACGAACGACCATTCAGCCTCATCTCGTCTACGACCCGGACGGCGGAGACCCGACCGCCCGTTCGTTCGCTCTTTGTATCGCACCGCCGGCGACCCTCCCGCTCCCAACCCACGTCCTGCACCTCACCTTCTCCGCCTGCGGCGAGACACTCCTTCTCCCCATCCACCAGACCATCTGGGCCATCAAGACCCGCCTCTTCGCGCGACCCGACTCTCCCCTCCCTCCGCCTCCTCCGCCTTGGCCGCCTCCCTCGCGCCGAAACCTCATCTCCCTCCCTATCGTCCGCTTCTCCGTCCCGTTCAAGACGGTCTGGTCGATCCTGTACGAATACGTCCACACGGGGTCGACAGCAGCCGTCTTGGCCGACCTCCTGGCGCACCAAGTCCCGCCCTCGCCTCTCTCGTCCGAACCGCCAGAAGTCCAGCAGTACCAGATGGGCGCGCTCATTGCGAAACTCGAGCGCATACGCAGGTTGTGGCACGATGCGGTCGCGCTCGGGGCGGAGAACGAGGAGCTGTGGGAGGCGCTGGCGAGGGCTTGGGGGGTCTTGTTGGCGGAACTGACGGAGAAGCTGGAGGAGCCTGTATGAGGGGTCGCGACGCTATACCTCGTGCTGTACCATACCCGTTCTGTCTCTCTCTCTCTCTCTCACCAGCGCATCGTCTATACCGCCTCTCGCAAAACTGTCAAAAGGGAATGAATCGCATGCCCAACGTTGCACAACACGCCCCGCGAGACTCGAGTCTAGTCTAGTCGAACGTGATCTTCTTCGCCGTGCCCTTGACATCGTCGCGGAAGTGGGCGCCATACGCCGAATGCGTCGTCTTCTTGATCGTCGTGCCCCACTGGTCCAATCCAGGCGGTACGACGGCGTTCGAGTCGCGCAAGAGGCGGATGAACTGGCCCGCGAGAGCCTTGTCCGCTTCCGTGAAGAAGGTGATCGACTTGCCCGTGCGGCCTGCGCGGCCGGTTCGACCGATGCGGTGGACGTACTGCATGCGTGTGCGAGCGTCAGCGGGCGCGAATTGGAGGAGAAGGAAGCGCAACGCACGTCTTCGATCGTGAGCGGGAAGGTCTGGTTGATGACGAGCTCGACCTTGGGGATGTCGAGACCGCGAGCGGCGACGTCTGCGTCGCGCCAGTCGTCAGCGGCCAGCTTCGAGACACAAGGGATGGTCGAACATACCAGTCGCGACAAGGATGTTGGCCTTTCCCAGCTTGAAATCCTCCAGGCTCTTCGTGCGCTTCTCTTGCGACATGTCGCCGTTGATGCACGCGACCTCGTAGCCCTTCATCCTGAGGAACTCGAACAACCTGGTCGCCTCCTTCTTGTAAAGCGCAAACACAAGCGCCTTGTCGCGGTCCTTGCCCTTGTCCGCGCCTTTCTTGGTCGCGTTCAGGGAGAAACCGTTGTCGCGCAAGTGGGTGAGGAGGAGGGTCTCTTTCTGGCGCGAGTCGGGGACGACGATGGCGACTTGTTCGACGCGCGAGTTGGCGGTGAGAGAGTCGGAGCCGACGGTGATGCGCAGTGGGGAGGTCATGAAGTCGGCCGCGAGCTTGCGGACCGACATGGGCCACGTCGCGGAGAACATGGCCGTCTGCGCCCGCACATCGTCAGCACGGGACGACAGACGTAAGAGAACGTTTTTGCACGCACCCTGCGAGCCTTGGGCTCTCCCTTCTCCTCCTTGACCGGCCCAAGCGGACTCGAGGGACTCGGCAAGCACAGCTTGATGATCTCGCGAATATCGTTCTCGAACCCCTTGTCGAGCATTCGGTCCGCCTCGTCGAGTACGAGCCAGCTGACCTTTCCGAGATCGAGGTTGCCCTCGCGCGCGAGGTCGAGCAGTCGACCTGGAGTGCCGACGACGATTCGCGGGCGGTCGTTGCGGAGGATCTTGACTTGTTCGGGTTTGGGCACGCCGCCGTAGAGGCAGACGGAAGGGAGGGAGGGGGAGAGGGCGGACGAGATGAGCGAGAGGTTTTGGTGAGTCTGCATCGCAAGTTCGCGAGTCGGGCAAATGATGAGGACCGAGACGGGCGCGGTCGACTTGCCCTTCTTGCCGGCGGGTGAGGAGGGGAGGGAGAGGATGTGCTCGATGGCGGGCACGCCGAAAGCGACGGTCTTGCCGGAACTGCACACAGGAAGCGAAGGTGAGAAGGTCAGTTCTGGCAAGCGCAAGGAGGCGAGAGCGGACGCACCCCGTCTCGGCGATACCGATAACGTCTCGTCCAGCCAGCATGAGCGGGAACGAGGCGCTCTGAATGGGCGTTGGCTTGGCGAAGCCGCTCAATCCCTTGCGGACGCCGTCGGCGAGAGGGAGCGAAGCGAACGAGAGGACGGGCGGGAACTGCGTCTTGGCCGACTCGGGCTCGTACGAGATGTTGTTCTCGGAGAGGAAGGCGTCGACTTCGTCGGCCGAGGGAGCGGGGGCAGTCGAGGTACTCGCGACGGGAGGAGCGGGTTCGGAAGCGGGAGTCGAGGGAGTCGAGGGGGTATCGGCAGAGACGGCGAGCGCAGCCTTGTCCTTGTTCTTCTTGCTCTTCTTCGACTTGCGCTCGCCGTCCGCCTTTGCGTCTGCGCCCTCCTTTGCCTCCTCACCATCGACCTTGGCATCCTGGCCCTCGCCGTCGTCCTCACGCTGGCGCTTCTTGCGCTCCTTCTTCTCCCTCTTCCTGCGCTCCTTGTCCGTCTCCTCCTGCGCGCCGTTCTCCCCCGCAGGCATCGCCGTTGCCATCACCTCGTCCGCTCCGTTCTGCTGGGCCTCTTTGAGCGCCGCCTTTTTCGCCTTCTTGTCAGCCTTGCGCTGTTGTTTGGCTGAGAGCTGTTCGGGTGTCAGGTCTGCCTTGGCCATGGCTGGAGCGGTTGAGAGTGAGTGAACGCGCGAGCACAGCCATTCGGAGACCAAAGCTCTTCGCAAGGACAGGGGGCAAACACGACCAAGTCCTTCACTCTCGAGGTAGTGGCTCAAGTAACGTTTGCTACTACTTACTACTGCTAACCTTACTTACAACCCTCGCAACTTACCTGGATTTCGCTCTCTCCGCCCGCTCCTCCGCGCGCGCGCCGTCATCAGCAGGTCGATCCTCGTCCCTTCACTCGGTCCCGTCTCTACACCTCGCTGACTCTGCTACACCCACTGCTGCACTCTACAGACTCATTCAGACGCTGCCCGCTTGCACCGACCGCCTCACGCCGCTCTCCCGCTCACGATGGGCATCCTCTCAGGCCTCATCCGCTTCATTCGCATCGGCCCGCCTCCAATCCGGCCCAAGCAGCCCGCCCAGCCTCAGCAGCCTCAGCAGCACCGGCCTCAGTCTACCGCCGCACAAGACACCCGCCCCGCCGCCCGCAAAAGCCCTCACAACCCCCTCGTCGACCTCCCTCTCGACGAGTTTCTCCGCTTCGAGGGGGACGTCGCGTGGAAACGGTTGTTGGCGAATGTCAATCCTCAAGGGACGAGCAAGGGATGTGTGGTCGCGAGTCCGAGTAAGGCGTTGCCGGATTACTGGTCAGTTCGGACTGGATTTCCTCCTCTTCATGCTGGACTTCCTCTTCTTCGTGCTGGACTCTCGCCTCTTCAGACTGGATTTGCTCTTCTTCTCGAAGCTGTAATTGACGGGAGGACTTGCCGCAGGTACGAATGGACTCGCGACAGCGCCGTCGTCGAACGCACGATCGTGCACCGCTTCATCCGCGAACGCCGAGCAGAAGACTGGACGCGCCTGACGGATTACATCGAAGCGAGTCGAATCATGCAGCACAAGCAGACTGTTCTCGGTGGGTTCGAGGATGGCGGGTTGGGGGAAGTCAAGTATCATGTCGATCACGAGCCGTTCACGGGGGACTGGGGTCGTCCGCAGGCAGACGGCCCAGGATCGAGGATTGTCACGCTTGCGACGTTGGCGATCTACCTCTTCGAGCAGGGGAAGCAGGAGGAAGTCGAGTTCGTGAAGAGGGCGCTGTATCCTGGGAGGTCGGAGGAGGGGATCGAGTGGACGGGCGTCATCAAGGGCGACCTCGAGTACGTCGCGACGCACTGGAAGATCAAGGGCTTTGACCGTGCGTTTCCCCGTTCCTACCCTACCTCAAGCTTTCGGACTCACGCTCTTGACGCCCGTAGTCTGGGAAGAAGTAAGCGGCCGCCACTTCTACACCCTCCTCACCCTCCGAACCTCCCTCCTCCTCGGCGCGCATCTCGCAACCCTCCTCTCCGACCCTTCCGCCGCTGCACGCTACACCTCCTCTGCCGATCAGATCACTCCCTTCCTCGCGCGGTTCTGGGACGCAGAGAGAGGTGTAATTGTGGTTACGGTCGATCATGGCAAGGAGCTGGGAGCGGTGGGAGCGTATGCGGGAACGGCGGATGGAGCTGATGTGGGTAAGCAGGTGAAGAAGGAGTCTCACGCTGCCACCGAGCAAGAGGACGAGGCAGACACGAACGACTACGACGAGACGCACGGCAAGGTCTCCGGACTCGACACCGCCGCCGTCCTCGCAGTCCTCCACGCAGGCCGTGGGACATCCTGGGCTCGCCTCTCAACGCCGGGATGCGTCGACCCCTCTACCGTCTTTGAGAACGGCGAGAAAGTGCTCGCGACGCTCGCCAAGATCGTTGAGGCGTTCAAGGGGCTGTATCCGCTCAATGAGGGGAGGAAGAAGGGCGAGGCGGTTGCGTTGGGGAGGTATCCGGAGGACAAGTACGGTGCGTGAACGCTTCCTCTCTCGCTGGTCTGGGGGCGGAACTGATCGATTTGCGTGCGCAGACGGTGTCGGTCTTTCGATCGCGCATCCGTGGTACCTCTGCGTGAGTTCCTGCCCAATGCCACAGTATCCGAACATCGCTGACGCTCGATGGTGCGCAGACCGCCGCCGCCGCCGAGTTCCTGTACCTCCTTGTCGAGGACCTCGCCTCCCTCTCGACCTCTGCCTCCTCTTCCTCATCCGCCTCCTTCCTCCACCTCTCCCCTCTCCTCCACTCATCACTCACCTCCCTCATTCCTTCGCTCTCCCCGCACCTCCCCCCTCCCGGCTCGTCCCTCCTCTCCACTCACCCCTCCTTCCCACTCCTCCTCCGCTCCCTCTACACCCTCGCCGACTCGTTCCTCTCCATCGTCCAATCCTACGTCGGCCACTCCGGCTCTCTTTCAGAACAATTCGAGCGTACAGGCGTACCCCAGCGATCAGAGTGGCACGAGAACGGACAGTTGGAAGACTCGAAGCGCAACCCCGAGACGGGCGAGGAAGTCGAGGCGATCGGGCGCGGGGCGAGGGATTTGACGTGGAGTTATGCGGCGTTTGTGACGGCTGTCGAGGAGAGGGATGTGGCGAGGAAGGCGCTTGAGAGGGTGCTGGGAGCTGGATTTGAGCGGGAGGAGGGGGCGATCAAGGGCAAGGGGCGCGAGTAGAGGCGGGCGAGAGTTGTGTAGATACTGTGTCGTCGTTTATCTGAGTCGTACAGGCTGTTCTTTGCCGTAGATTCGTCGTCGTCCTCGTTGTTCTCCCTTTTCGCCGCTTTTCTCGTCGTCTCTCCCTTCTGCTCGTTCGGTCGTGTCTTCTGCAGTTTTGTGTTGACATCTAGGCCATGCTTCAAAGCCGTACAGAGCCGCAGAGACAGTCCTTGCAACCTCCGCCTCTTCGCGCCCTCCCCACTCGGCGCTCTGCCGTTCACCACGTCTCCTCGCTCCCTCGTTGGCACACGATGGGGCTCACGAACTACATCAGGAGCGCCGCCAACTCGGTCTCGAGCGGCTCGTCCCCCGCCAAACCCGGACAGGCGCCTGCGACGGCGGGGACAGGCGGCTCGGCGGCAGCTGCTGGCGACGACAAGATCCCCGAGGGCGCGAGTGCAGACGACACAGAGTGCGTCCTTGCTCTCTCGCAGTGCTATCACGAGCACCACACGCCCCGGCGAGCGTGCTGCGAGCAGGGAGGGACAGGAGCGACGTCGTTTCTTCCCAGCGAGCTGATCAGCATGCTCACGTCACGGCTCCCTACGCGCGCAGAGAGGTGGACGATGAGAACAAGAACTGTGCGTTGGCTCGTTGATCTGCTCACGGCCGCGTACGAGCGGGTGCCGAGCGCGCGAGGGCTTCGAAGGGCGACAAGGCCGGACTACGGCGAACTGCGTCACTCGCGCTCATCGCTCCTCGGGCGTGCTTGCTGGGATCAGGATGGCTCGGACGGCATGCAGGACCTACTTGAGCGTATCACGGACGCGATCGAGCGAGAGGAAGAAGGGAGGACGTCGTCTCCGCACGTTCAGAGTCGGCGGAACATCCACGGGGGCATGGCTCGTGTTGTTGCAGCGGCGCGGGGCAAGGAGATTCACGACGTGTGAAGGAACCCGGCGGGAGGCTTTGCGGGACGGAGCGGCGAGAACAACGAGGATGCCGTTTGCGCGAAGAGGGGTACTGACCCAAGGCCGGCTTCTTCGACAGTGTTGATGGCGCTGATCAGCCAGCTGCGACCTGGCATGGACCTGAGTCGCATCACTTTCCCTGTGTGAGCTGCCGTTTCTAACCTGTGCCGAAGTGCGGTCGGAGGAGCGCTTCTCGACATTTTGGGTCAGCGGGCAGCTAACCACGCTTTCAATTTCGCAGCTTCGTACTCGAGCCTCGCTCTATGCTTGAGCGCGTCACCGACTTCCACTCACACCCTGAACTCCTTCACGGGTCAGTCACGCTTCGCTAGTTCGCCGGCCGTCCTTCGACGCCAGAGTGGACGGCGTCCTCGCACTAGACTCGTGCTGACGACCTTCCTCCACCTGCGCAGGGCTGGTCAGCTCGGCGCGCCGGAAGACCGTTTCATCCAGGTCTTGCGGTACTACTTGGCGGGATGGCACATCAAGCCCAAAGGCGTCAAGAAGCCGTGCGTCCAGTCTCTCGCTAGAACTCATATTGCTGCATTGCTGCCTTGCGTAGCGGTGCCGGCATCCGAGCAGGTTGTGGGATGCTGACGCTCCCGTCCTTTGCAGGTACAACCCCATCCTCGGCGAGTTCTTCCGCTGCCGGTACGACTACTCGGACGGCACGTCGGCGTACTACATCGCTGAACAAGTCTCGCACCACCCGCCTATCTCTGCTTGGTGAGTGAAGCGCATACTCCCCTACCTCAGCTTCCATTCGCTACACAGCGGAGGTTGCGAGGTCCAGCTCGTGCTTGAGCTCTTCGACTGACGCTCTTGAGCGCTCTAGGTACTTCGCCTCCCCCGAGCAAGGCCTCGAGCTCTGCGGCGAGCTCCGACCAAAGTCCAAGTTCCTCGGCAACTCGGCGGCGAACCTGATGGAGGGCGAGTCGCACCTCAAGTTCCTCGAGGGAGCGGGAGCGAGTGACGGGGAGTACGATATCACGATGCCCAACATGTGAGTCGCGTCGATTGTGGTCGAGCGAGTTCTGGCACCGTTATGCGGGCTTGCCGCCTCGTCCTTTTTGCCGCTTGACCTGTGCTGACACTGTCTCCACAGGTACGCACGAGGCATCCTCTTTGGCAAGATGGTCCTCGAGCTCGGCGACAACAGCACCGTGCGAAACGACACGACGGGCTTGCAGTGCGACGTCGAGTTCAAGACCAAGGGCTTCTTCAGCGGCACGTACAATGCGATTGCGGGGAAGATCAAGGGTCCGAAGGGCGAGGTCGGCGAGATCTCGGGCAAGTGGAACGAGGTGATGGAGTTGCAGCGCAAGGGGGTGAGTTTGGCGCTTCCTCGTTCGCCGTTCGAGCAACTCGCGTTAACGCTTCTCCGCTCGCAGGGCAAGGGCAAGGAGGTCCTGTTTGACGCCACCAAGGCCGACGTCGTGCAGAAGTCGGTCTCGCCCGAAGACCAGCAGGCGCCGAACGAGTCTCGCCGGCTGTGGGCGAAAGTGACGGCCGCGATCAAGGCGAAGGATCTCGACGCGGCGACGGACGCCAAGACGGCGATTGAGGAGACGCAGCGGGAGGCGGCACGGGAGAGGGAGAGCAGGGGCGAGAGTTGGCAGCCCAAGTATTTCAAGCCGACGGGCAAGGGCGGCGAGTGGAGGCCGGCATTCGCGTGAGCCTCGCCTCAACCTCGTGGTTCTATCTGTACGCTGACGGGCTCATGCGCGCAGTCTTCCTGCTGGCGACAAGTCTGTGCAGGTCGAGGCCGTCCGTCAGTTCGTCTACGGCTCGGACCCCGAACCTCCCGCCGCCTTCTTCGACGCGCCCGCTGCGACACCCTCGGCGACCGAGTCGGCGGTGCCTGCGCAGCCCGCGCCGACAGCATCGGCATGAGCGCCCGTCTCGTCCCCCCTCCTCATCGCGACGCCTGCGCTCGCTCTCTACGAAGCGCCCCTTGCTGTCCCTTACCTGTCTTATCGACTGAAGTATATCTGACCGCTCCTCAAACCTGTATGACTGTCTTGCCTCCCCCCTTCTCTCTCTTTAGCCTTCCAACCCCAAGAGACGTAGTGCGATATCAGACGTTCCTTCCCTCTGTCCTTCCCTTCCCTGCGAACCCCTTCTGTCAATATACGTAATGCGCCGATAGCAAAGTCTCTCAGACTCTCGGGAGCGCGAGGAGCAGAGGGCGAACAAGTACAATTGCTTCGCCGATTAGAAGCAGGTCTGCCATCGTCAAGCCGCCGTCCGCAATCCGCCGCTCACAAGCACAATCGGTAACTGTGCGCGCAGGTACCAGGTCAGCCTCGACTTCGCTCGGAGTAGCGCTAAAGAGATGCAGGGTGATGAGAGGCTTGACGCACCTGACATATCGCCCCGCCGTCTCTGAGGGCCGCGTGATCTTAACCACCTGTCCTCGCTTCAGGCCGTAGTAGCGTGCGACGGGGTCGTGAAGCTGGATGCGCGGCAGTTGAGTGTCTTTCAAGCGGCTGTGAAGGGGGAGGCGAGGTCAGTCGTCTTCCTCACGACGCAGGAGAAGCGAAAGAAGAGAGGAAGCCACACGTACTACTTCTGCAGAAGAAGTTTCTTGTCCTCCGGCTTCAGGACCTCGTGCTTCGGAACGAGGACGTGGTGGGTGATGTTGACGAGCAACTCCGACTCCTGGAACGCCTCGATTGTGAATTGCTGCGCCATGGCCGTGATGACCTGTCGTGAAGAAGTGTGCTGTCAGTCGTTGCCGCAGAGGAAGTAGAGGGAACCAGGAAACTCACCTTGTTCGCTGAGGGGGTCATGCTGGTCTTGTAGATGAGAATTCCTCGAGGAATCTTCTGACTCTCCAGGATGTCGATGAACCTGTAACGGCGATGAAATGGGTCAAACGTCACACGCGCAGGCTGAGCGAGACTCGACGCACTTCCGCATCGTTTTGATGCCCACCGAAGCCTCCTCCGCGTAAAAGATGTAGATCTGCTCTTCTGGCGCACCCTCTTTTGCTGCTGAGAAGTTGATCTTTGCCTTGCTGCGAGAGGAAGCGAAGGAACGGTCAACTTGGCTGCCGTGTCGCTCGAGGCGAGAACAGACGCACTCGATCGCCGTTCCGCCCGCCGCATACTGCTGCTTGAAGTCGTCCAAGCTCATGCCGATCTCCTCGTCTGCAATGGCGTACCCCTAGATGCCGCGAAGGAGGACATGTCAACAGAGGCAGGGCTGAGACGCGGGCAACAGCACGCACCCGATCCCGCACGAGCTCGTGTGCCGTCCTGCTGACCCGAAAGAGACGTGCGGTCTCTCGCTCAGCTTCGTCGGCCATCCTAGACGTGTGTGCGGGGCAGGGAGAGGGAGTCGAAGCGGCGAGAGGTGAGGAGGGTAAGCCGGCTTGATGGAAGCTCGTCGGGGCGGCTCAGCGGGTTGGGCGGGGTCTTGAGCTGTCCTAGAGCAGCTTCGAAGCCTAGCAAGAGCAGCAGGAGCGTTTGTGTGGTGTTGGCGGTCTCCAACTCTCCGCCTCGAGCATGGCTTCGAGTTCATCAGCTCACAGCGGCTCACCTCGTGCGACATGCAGGGGCTTTGACTGTCTCTACGTCACGACTGCACCTCTTTCTAGTCACTGGGCCTTGTCCGACCGAGCTCCAAGCTGGCGTCGTTGTGCTGTTGACCTCCTCCCGACTCCGCTGCAATGCGTCCGCCCTGCTACGCTGGGCGTGGCGCGACGACGCTTGCGAGTGCTTCCAGACATGCTAGGAGACTCTCGCACACGCTTCGTGCCGCTCAAGCCGGGTGAGGTCGCCTGCTTCCCTCATTCGCTCTTTCTCCCTCCGCCTCTCCCTCGTCCCTGCTTGTCTCGATGGCCTACCCTCCAGTACCTTATCCGCCTTTGCAAGCGATCCTGGAGCAGAAGACAGGCCGTCCCACAGCGAACGCGGCCGCCGACAACGACAGCGAGCGAGCGAACGAGTCCTCTCTGGTGCGTACCCCTCGCTCCTCGTCTCAGCACGTTGGGACACCTCGCAGACCAGTCAAGCTGACCCTTGGCGATCCCGCGAGCAGAACACGAGCCAAGCGAAGCGCAGACCGCTCCTTACCTCGCCTTACAAGACGCCTTCAACCGTCACAACGTCCCAAGTCCCCGCCACACCTCGCCGCACCAAAGTTCAGCACCTCGCGTCCGGCTCGCAAACGTCTCCCGACAGCACGGAAGCGAGCCCGACCACGCCTTCAGCCTTGCCAGCCCGCCGCCTCGCTCGCACGACTGTCCCCTTCAAGACGCCCACAAAGTCTGCGGCCGCCGCTTCGGAGCGCTCGACCGCGGCGGAGATCGCACAGTTGGAGCGAAGGATTGCGCAACTGCGGCAAGCGAGGCGCTATCAGCTTGCGACGGTGCGGGGCGACCGGGACGGCGACGGCGAGTTGGAAAGGTTGTGCGACAAGTGGAAGGACGCCGGCAAGTACGTTCGCTTTGCTCGCCTTCGACTACTTAGTAGCGTGCTGACCCTTGAGTGCGACCGCAGACTCGCCGCCGAAATGCTGTTCGAACAGCTTCCCTCGCCCGACTCAGCCTCCTCCGCTACAAACGACCCCTTCACCTCCTGGGGCTTCGCCGACAGTTCGGCGACCAGCAAACGCACCTCGTCCGATGCGTGGTGCTCGAGCTGGGGATTCTCCTCGTCGCCTCCCTCCTCCGACCCGCTTGGTCCCTGCTCTTCCTCCTTCTTCACCAAGCGTGGTCCCACCTCGGAGGAACTCGTCAGCGACTTCATGCACAAGGTTGACGAGGAAGCCCAGAGGCGCGGCATCTCTCGCCTCAAGGTGTTGGAGGAGCTCGAGGATCGCGAGCACGACGAGTTCGGGTTGGACCTCGAGCATCCCGACCTCCAGTTCGCCAAGCTCGCGCAGCTCAACAAGAAGCGCGTCGGTGTCAAGCGCACGGCTGGGACGGGCGCGTTGTACTCGAATGCCTCGAAGCGCGTCAAGCTCGAGGCGCTCGAGGAAGAGTCGGTGTCCGCCAAGCCGATCGAGGAGGACGACAGCGGTGACGAGCTACTCGAAGCACTCGACGAGCTCATCGCCACTTGCTCGCAGGCGAAGACTGGCGACGAGGCAGAAGACGACGACGAAGAGCACGAGGAGGAGGAGGACGACCAGCGCGAGCCCGTCGAGCGCGAGGAGCCCGTCTTCGAGGACGAGGCTGAGGAAGACATGGAAGTCGAGGCCGAGCAGCCGGAGGAGAAGGAGTGGAACGTCGGCAGGATGATGCAGCGCGTCGGGATCGACCCGACCTTGTTCGGCTGGGACGAGACGTTCGAGGCGTTCGCATAGACGGGGTTATGGGACGGTGCGCTTGCAGGATGGATCTGTCTGTACGGACTATGCGTGGAAGGCTTTGCATGGAACTCGGAACTGCTCTTTCTCCTCGTCGCGCACCGGGATGACCTTCGCAACTTCGTCTTCCACTTCTTCGGCGCTGGACAGACTCTTACAGCTGCGTGTTCGCTTCTCTATTCGCGCTTGCAGAGACGTCCTCGTCCGGCTCAACCTTTCGCTCGGACCGCTCACCTCCTTTCCTTCTCACCGCCTCCTCGTCCTGCTCCTGCCGCCTGCCGTCTACTTCGTCGCTGAATCTTCCGTCCTACCATGCTCAAGTCCCCGTCTGCTCTCACGCCCTGTCTGCCTGTCCTCCCACCCGACTCGCCGTTCCAGCTCGTCGTCGACCCGGACAAGGGCGTCAAGGCTGTCGCGTCGAGGATGGTCAAGGCAGGCGAGCTGATCCTCACCGAAGCGCCCCTCTTCATCCTCGACGACGACCTGTCCGAGCCGACCGTGGCAGCCGTCGTCTCCGCCCTCTCTCCCGACGAACAAACCGTCTTCTACGCTCTCGCCAACAGCCTGCCAGAAGTCGGACCGCATCGTGGGCGTGTCGAGACGAATGCGTTTGCTTGCGAGCCGATACCAGCAGGCGTCGAGCTGTGCATCTCGTACGGCACGCTACTCAAGCCGCGGATCCAGCGCCAGGCTCTCCTTCAGAAAAAGTATCGCTTCGTCTGCGCCTGTCCAGCCTGCTCCCTTCCGCCCGCCCATTCGCTCCAATCCGACCTCCGACGATGTACGATCGGGCACATCGGTACAGCCCTCTCGTCACTCAAGCACGACCCCGTCGCGCTGATCGAGTTGGCGAAGCAAGGACTGGCGCTGCTCGAAGCCGAGGGACTCGCAATTGGGCGCTCGAGGCTAGCACATCGAGCGTACCGTGCTGCAGTCGTCGCGGGGGACAGGGAGGCGAGTGTAGCATGGGCCGGGAAGTTCCTCGAGTTCAACGCAAGGGAGGAAGGCATCGAGGCGAGCGAGTACAGAAGGGTTCAGGCCGCGGTGGACCAGTTGGAGCGGGATCGCGAATTCCGCAGGACTGTGGCGTCGGAGCTGCCACTGCCATGACCGTTGAAACTGTACGAGCTGGTAACCTGGAGCGAAAGGCGAGAAGCGAGAGCAGGAGAAGGACTGCTTCAACGATCGCGCGAGATGAGCCGCGCAGCGCGGCGGACGACCTTAAATAGTTCAGGGCATGCCCCTGCTGCACTTAGCGAGATCAGCGGGAGTCGAGGACGAGGTCGAGGGGAGAGGAGAAGTCTCGGTGGGGGAGTCGGTCTTCTCGTCCTTGTACAGACTCCGCTACCGCTCTTGCTGCCCGCTGATCGCTCGGAACAGTCTATCGACGGGCTCTGAGCCACCGCCGAACCACCGTACAGCCCGCAACGCCCGTCAACCGTCCCAGCCTCTTCATCAGGCGACTGAGACTCGCCGGTCCACACAAGTCGCGGCACCGCGGATCCAGGGAGCGGCAGTATCGGACAGCGACCACAGATCCTACTGCTTGCATTCGCCGCCCATGGCGAGCCCGCACCGACGCTCGACGACTCGCGGGCCCGTCCTCATCCCGGGTGCGGACTCGGGAATCGCACGAGCAACGAGGCTCAGGATGGGCAGGAGCGAAGTCGGGATGAGCAGGATCTGGGCGGTCCTTGCGGTGGTCGCGGTCGCAGCGCTCTTCAAAGTCCCGACACCAGCGCGTGCCTACATCCCGGCTCTTCCTGTCAACGACACTTCGGCGCTGAACAACTCGGACGACTTGCTGCATCTCGCTTCGTACAATGGCGTGTTCAAGTGAGTCGCTGGGCTGCACAGATGCTCGCTCGCCCTACCGATCGGAAGGGAGAAGCTGACTGCTTCGTTCGACCCCTTTTACACAGCACCGGCATTAGTCGTCAGCTCTGGGCCGAGGGTTTCGATGACAACGGCAACTACACGAACATCACGACGATTGTGCCGTGGACCAAGTACTCCAAGGTGGGTCGTCGATGCTTGCTCGGCAGATGCGAAGCTTGGGTGCTGGCAGACACCAGCACTCATACCGCTCCAGGCAAGGGAATTCCCCACTGACGAGAATCCGCATTTGCAGGGCGTCCTCATCCACTTCGACGAAGGTCTGCGGAATCAGTCGCCTTCTGCCGTCCCCTGGATCGCCATGATCTCCTGCGACACGAACGGCACGTCTCCTTCCGAAACCGACGACATCTTCACCATCGTCCGCGATCTCGGTGCTCAGGCTGCGCTGCTGTACTCGCTGCACTCGGAGGTGCGTGCTAACTTCGCTTCAAATGGGGCGATGCTGACAGTACTTCTCGCAGGGCTGCCAAATCAACCAGGAGTACCTCAACTCGTTCGAGAAGGTCCTCGACGTCTTCGCCGCCACCTCGTTGCAGGGCTCGCGGATCATCGAGAGCCAGTTCACGTGCGTCAGCGTCTTTCAACAAGAGCGACTGTAGCTAACTCCCGTTCGCGCAGCAACGTCAACATGGCGGCGTACCAGTACAACTCGACAACGCTCAATGCCTCGTACAACGCCATCGAGACGCTGCTCAACAGCAATCCGCTTTCGGTTCGCGGCAATGTCCCGATCAACTCGACCTCGAGTTTGTCTGCCGACGTCGCCACCTCCGTTGACGTCAACGCATCGAGTACCATGCCCTCGGTTTTTGACCCGAATGCGAGCGACAGCGCACCTGCCATGTCGAGTGACACGGCCGTCACGACCGACTCGAGCACCTCGTTCCCGTCCCTCTTCTCCGCCTCGATCGCTTCTCCGCTCATGCAGCGTCGCCAGAACACCGCAACGTCCGCACATTCCGCGTCTTCCATCTCTCACGCCACGTCCACTCACTCTTCCGCGACTCGCACGAGCTCCGCCGCTCCCGCCGCCACGACCAGCAACAAGATCGAGAACTACCTGGGTGCCGTCATGGCCGCCGCGAACCTCACCGTTGGCGGTCTCAACTCGGCATCTCCCACTGCGACCGCCTCCTCGAACAACGGCGGTCCCAACACGTCAACCTCGCTCGCCATGATCATCCTCTACGCCATCACCGGCGTCGTCACCTTCCTCTTCCTCATCGTCATCATGTCCGGTGCGATCCGCGCTGCGCGCCATCCCGAGCGGTACGGACCTCGCGCGGCAGGCGGGTTGCACGGTTCGGGCGGACCTGGCGGAGCGGGCCAGACTCGCGCGGCGGGATTGACGAGGGCTATCCTCGATACCTTCCCCGTCGTGCGGTTCGGAGGTGGAGCTGCAACGCCGCCGGCGAACAGGGTAGACGAGGAGGCTGGGGCGGATGGGTCGGACGGTCAGAAGAAGAGCGAGCCTGGGACGCCAGAGGCCATCGAACTGGCGAGTTTGCCGACCATGGCTGCGGTCCCGACTGCCGTACATTCGCTGGGAGACGGCCGAGATGTTGTCGAGGAGCACGAGGAGGTCATTGCGGATCCAGCGAGGGCGAGGAGCGCTTCTCGCGCCTCGACGATGGGCGGCGACTCGTTCTACTCGGCCGAGTCGACGCCTCTGCAGCACCAGACATCGACTACGCCGCTGAATGCCTCGGCTGGCCTCGCGACCATCCCCGCCTCGCCCAACCTGCTCGAATCGCCTCCCACCTTGAAGAGCTCGATTGCGCCCTCGGCCCGCCCAACGGCCGCCGAAGAAGCCGCCATCCTCGCCTCCACCGACCTAGCCAGCTCCTCCGAATCGTGCCCGATCTGCCTCACCGAATTCGAAGAAGGCGACGAGCTTCGCATCCTTCCTTGCGACGAGCGCCACCGCTTCCACCCGGAATGCATCGACCCGTTCTTGTTGAACGTCAGTCGGCTGTGTCCGCTTTGTCGGCTTGATTTGGGCAACGTTGGAGGGAGGGAGAGCGATGAGATGGGGAGGGAGGAGTATGCGAGGAGGGAGGAGGAGCGCGTGAGGAGGCATTTGCGGTCGTTGGTGCACCGCCGTGGTGCCAACGGGTCTTCGGCGAGTGAAGGAGCGGGAGGTGGATCGGGGCCGTCGACTGCGGAGGAAGCGAGCGGCGAAGGATCGACGTCGACCTCGACGTTGAGGAGTCGCTTCGCGCAGTACGTCGTCGCGCGGCGTCAGCGGGCGTTCAGCGGCAGCGGCAGTGGCGTCGGGTCTGGGCTCGTCAGTCTTGGCAGGCGGAGAGGCAGCTCGTCGGCGACTGCGCGAGCGCTGGTTGTCGATGGTTGACCTCGCTCTTCTCTCTCTCGGTACATACGCATTCGCTCTGCTTTCCTTCTGTTGCCTGTAGCACTCCTTCCACGTCGTTTCTAGTTGTTCTTCCACGCACCTTTGCCGCCTCGCACGCTTCGAGCGACACTGGCGATAGAGGTCTGCTTCCGCGCCGGATCGCTTCCTTTGCTTCGGCACCAGCTTGTACTCTCCTTGTCAGCACCGTAAGCTCTGTCAGTCTCGCTCGGCGTGCCTGCCGGACGTAGCGATTTTTCGCGGTCGTCGTGGAAAGAGGGAGCTCTTGGTTTGGACTCCACCAGCTCGCTGTGGTGCTGTTTTCGCCTGCTGGGTTGTTGTCTGTACTATCTGGACACGCAAGACTATCCCTAGACTACCCAGTGAGTCCTCGCTCGCCCGCGCTCTCACCGTGATGGCCCCACTCCACCTCCTCGTCGACGGGGCGCCCTCTTCACGCTGCACAGCTCGCTGACAGCCTCGCGTGCGTTCGTGCGTGCTCGTGCGGACACAGTCATGGCGCCTGCATCGTCTGCATCCTCGTCAGACGGCGACGAGAAGGTCCAATACCTCGCGACGTCTCTCTCTGGGCTGCCTGTGCGCGTCCCTGGCCAGCAGGACGGGCTGGAGAACGGCAAGGGCGAGCCGAAGGGACTCAAGGACACGCTTGACCTCGCCGTGCGTCCCTTCGCTGCTGCTGCTCACCTCATCCACCCTCCCCCCCGCGCCTTGCTCGCTCGGCGTCGCCCAACTCGCTCGTCTCGCCTCGTCTCGCCACGCTCGAGCGGCGCTTACCAGCTCGACACGTCCGCCGATGAAACAGACCAACTCGCAGAACCCGGCCGACGTCGCAGCCGTGAGCTCCCCGTCCCGTTTCCTTTTCCTCAGCTCGTTCCCTCTTCGCCCACGCGGCACCCTCGTCCCTCTCCCTCCTCGTCCATCTCGCTCGCTCTGCCCGCTCGTGGACCGCTAGCTGACACAGCTCCAATGGGCGTCCCCATCAACCCGGATCGGCCTATCGAGCAGAAACTCGAGCAGAAGCGCCTCGAGCACGAAAAGCAGCGCGCGGCTCAGAAAAAGGCCTTCGAGGAGCAGGTGCGTTCTGATGCCCCTGGGATGGATTTCGAGCACGAGGGCTTTCGGGGAAACGCGCGGGCGGGCAGCGGGCGCGAGAGACGGATCATCGGAGGTTGAGGCGACGTTGCGGTCGGATCGTCTGGGAGGGATACCATGAGAATAGGACGGCCTGCTGACCTGCTTGCGCTTCTTTCTTGCTCTCTGCATCTTTCACATGCATTCACGCCGCCTCGCCTCGCCCTGCGTCGACTTCTGCCTCGCCGTCACGTCCGTCCCCTACGCTCGCCTCGACCCTTTCCTCCCCTCTCCTCGCACCTTGCGCTTCTCAACTTCGCCATGATCGACACAGATGAAGCAGCTCGAGCTCCAGCAGCAGCTCGAGGAGCAGGCTCTCCTCGCCGCGTCTGGAGGCGCCGGCAAGTCCTCGGGTCCCGTTCGCTCTCGCTCCGGCAACGACCTCGCCTCGTTCAACACCGCGAACGGCAGCGCCGCCGCCGGTGAGGCTGGCGTCGCGTCGAGCGCGTCCAAGTACGCTTCGGCCAAGTCGATGCCTGGCTCGAGGAGGCACTCGGGCGAGATCAAGGACGAGCAGGCCAAGGACGGCCAGGATGGCGTCAGGAAGGTCAATGGCCAGCAGAAGGACGCGGACGGCAAGCCCATGTTGAACAGCTTCCTGTTCGACGACGAGCTTGACGCCGACCTCCAGAGTGCGTTCCCCTAACACAGGCTTCGCTTCCTCTCGCTCTTGCTGATCTGGGTTTGCCGCGCAGACTCGGCCTGGGGCGGCAAGTACCTCCAGATGAACACGGACGACGACAAGTTCCCCATTCTCGTCCGTCGCGGCTCTGGCACCGGCCTCGTTAGTCTCCGCTCCTCCAATGACACGTCCTGCGCAACGCTAACTCTCTGCACCTGTTTCTTCACCATCACTGCCTGCTCCTTTCGCCCCTACACCCATCCCACCGCCAACAACCATCGACCTCGACCTCGCCCTCCTCCCTCCCTCCTTGCCTTAGCTTTCTGCTTCCTCCGCTGCTCTCGACCTCGCTCCCCTTTCCCAGACTCCTGCCCGTGCTGGCGCTACCGGCGAGTGGCCCGCCTTTGCTGGCGGTCAGCCCACCGTCTCGGCCGCTGCCACGTCCGTGCCTGCGACTCCTGCCGCTGGCGTCAGTCCCGGCGGCCGCAGCTCCGCCCTCCCTCCTCCCAACAAGAGCGAGCGCGCTTCGCCTACCGGTGCCGTCAAGATCAACGGTGCCGTCGGCGCCGGCGTCGTCGACGCCCTCGGCGACCAGTTCTCGAACTTCTCGATCGACACCAAGGCCTTTTCGCCCTCGCCGAACGTCGACGTCCCCTCCCTCTCGACTCCCTTCCTCGGTGGCGGCGCCAGCAGCTACGTCCACGACCACGGCGCGTTCGTCTACGGCGGCCCGACGGGCGGCGCAGGCGGTCGCAACGAGGGCATGGGCGCGAACCGCTTTGCCGGCCTTCGCCTCGAGGACCTCCAGGGCGACATGCTCTCGCTCTGCAAGGACCAGTTCGGCTGCCGCTACCTGCAGAAGAAGCTCGAGGACGGCAACCCCGAGCACCGCGACATGATCTACAACGAGGTCTTCCCGCACTTTGCCGAGCTCATGAGCGACCCCTTCGCCAACTACCTCGCCCAGCGCCTCCTCGAGCATGCGACGGACGAGCAGCGCGACGCGCTCATCGAGTCGATCTCGGGCGAACTCGTCACCATCTCGCTCAACATGCACGGAACACGCGCCGTCCAGAAGATGATCGACTGCCTCTCGACCCGTCGCCAGGTCCAGTCGCTCATCCTCGCGCTCAACCTCAACGTCGTCACCCTCATCAAGGACCTCAACGGCAACCACGTGATCCAGAAGTGCCTGAATGCCCTCCCTCCGGAGGACAATCAGTTCATCTACAACGCTGTTGCGACGCACTGCATCGAAGTTGCCACTCACAGGCACGGATGCTGCGTCCTTCAGCGTTGTATCGACCACGCCTCGGAGAGCCAGCGCATCCAGCTCGTCACCGAGATCACGTACAACTCGCTCACGCTCGTCCAGGACGCCTTCGGCAACTACGTCGTCCAGTACGTCCTCGACTTGAACGACAACCGCTTCATTGAGGCCATCGTCCGCCAGTTCCTCGGCAACGTCTCGGCCCTCTCGGCACAGAAGTTCTCGTCAAACGTCGTCGAGAAGTGCATTCGCGTCGCCGACGCCACCGGTCGCCGCGCCATCATCGACGAGCTCCTTGTCAAGAACCGCCTCGAGCGCCTCCTGCGCGACTCGTTCGCCAAC